CCATTCTATATAAATTATCACTAACTTTTTCCAAATTTTGCATTGTATTAATTTAAAATGGCATAAATTCTTATAGGTGGATTTTCATTATACCAAGCTACTTTAATAATTTAATTTTAAGTTCTCTGTCTATTGTATTATTATATTATTAGCCAATTTTTTTTGGAACAAATCTATTTTTTCATTTGTTAGTAATATTTAAATATCTATAGATAATTAAACACTTTAGAAATTATTAAAATTATCATAATGATCTAATAATATTTTTCGATATATAAAATAGCTAAATTTAGAATATAAATTACTTAAAATGTATTCGTAAGTAAATTAAACTTTAAGGAATTTAATATTTATCAAATAATGGCAAACCTAAGTTTCAAGATCAGGTAATCTATTTAATCCATAATTAACACGCGCATAGAATTTAGTGTTTTTTTCAGTTATCATTTACTTTGAGGCTGCTTCATTAAAAATCTTGAATGTATCTTAAATTTATAAATTTACTTATCTAAGTTAGGAAAGAACAACCCAAAATGTACAAACAATATTAGTAATAAAGACCATTTTCCTAAATATGTCTAATATTCTTTCGGCATATAGGTTCGAATATATCCATTTTTAGATTATTAAATAGTGTCAAAGCTTTTTCAGATGAAAGATTTTAACAATCTAAATTTATGAATGTTTTTTAAAGATTAAAGGACTTGACTATCTAAATTCTCAATAATATTTAAGTATGCATTTTTTTGCTATTAAATAACAAGACTCAGCTTTTTTCTCATTTCTTTATTTATCATAAGATTAATAAAGCAGATTTGTGTTAATAAATTTGATTTAATTTTGAGATCATTTATGAATTATTTATTTACTTTCTGTAATAATTTATTATAATAAAAAGGTAATAGATTTTATTTCTTCAGTACTTTTTTTAGAAATAGTTAATAAAATTAATGTCAATTTATTTAAAAATATATTAAGGTCTCTATCATCTAAATATTCTCTTTTGATATTATCTATATTATTAATATTATAAAATAGTTTTCTTCACTTGTTTTTTGTTTTGTGAGGGTTCTTAATAAGGGCAAACATAGATTTGATGAAATAGTTTTTGAAAAATAAGGCAATTAATTTTATATGAATAATATATATATATTAGGTAATTAATTTTATATGAATAATATACATATATTAAAATAATTTATAAATGCTAAGAAATATGTAATATGTACTTTGTATAATTTAATTAAGATATAAATTTAGTATATAAGGATTATTAAAATGAAATAAATAATTGATATACATAAAATAAAAATAAATAATTAATTAATGGAGCAACTCAAAAAGCAAATCCAAGAGCAGGTTGAGGAGTAAGATATAGTAGAGGATTTAAATATTGAAGGTGTGAAAATCACAAAATTCACCGCGGAAATGGCCGCTCTATTTACTCAACATTAATAACTTCTTGGTTTGGCATTATAAAAATGTGGATTAACAACACTTGAGGGATTTCCAAAAGTGAGCAAGTTATAAAATTTGGAATTAGAAAATAATTCTTTAACAGGAGCAGCAATAAAATTTATAGCAGATAATTTCAAAGAGTTGCTCAACTTGAATTTATCACAAAATAATATTAAGTCAGTTGATGTAATCATGAAGAATATCATGATAGGATTTGAAGCCTTTAGCCTCTTTAACCAAATTAGAATCCTTAGAAGTGAAAGATAACCCTTTGACCAAAGAAGCAGGATATCATAAAAAGATATTCGAACTATTACCATCACTTAAAGTATTAGATAATAAAAATTAAAAGGGTGAAGAAGTTCTCGATGTATTATTTTATTAATATATATATTAGGATGATGGTGATGAAGATATTGATGATGATGAATTTGATGATGAAGATGGAGATGATTCTTATGATGAAAGTGAAGAAGATGATGATGAAGAATCAGAAGAGCCAGTTAAACCAATAAAAAAAAACAAAAAATGACATCTTTTTGTTTTGCCCATTAAAACATATAAAATACCGCCAATAATCATTTCAATATTCCATTCTATATCACATTCTCAATCTCAAAATATTTAAAAATCTTACTCTCTATGTTTATTTAAATAACGCGCCTATTTTCGATAATACTAATTTATATTACTGAAACTAAGCTCATTTCTATTTACTTTTTTTTCATTCTCAACTTTCAATATTATTTTTAAATACTTTCCATTCTTACTATCTAAATATTATTCAACTGATTTCAATATTCACAATGGAATCTTATTCCTTTTATTACATCTATTAAATTTTAGATATTCCAATTCTTTAAAGACTCTTCTATCATATACTTTAACTTTTCACTATCTTAAATCTCTGTCTTTTCATTGTAAATGAATTCTGGATCAATTTCAAATGATAAAGATTCAATATTTTACCTAAAGAATTAATTGTCTTAACATATTTATTATTCCTATTGAAAGTTTCACTCATTATAGGCATGTCTTTCTTCACATTCAAACCATAACACTAATATTTATAATTCTAACTAATGAACTCTCTTATAATAATATCTAAATATGGATTCTTTTATAATTAAGATTTCCTCAATAATAATCCACTTTTGAATACCATAATAAGTTTAAAAGGGTGATGAGATGAGTGCGTTCAGATTAAAGTTATCTCGATTTTACATCAATAATAATAGTACCTATTTTCATTGGTTCTCTATCCATCTCTTCTGCAATTTACAAATATATATCTATCCATAAAACCAGTTTCTGATAATATAAATGTAATCAAATTCTATATCTTTATTTTTTTATCCAAATCTATCTTCAAAAGCATCGATTAATCTTGGATTTTATTTTTAATAATTGATCTTAACCTAGTCCCATTCTATCTATTACTTTATATGGGAAATTCTCAAATCGAATATACAAACTATTGAGCTAATGATATATTAAACTAATTTACTTTCGTCAAATTCATTATTTGCTTCCATTTATTTTAAAAAGTAACTGCTTTAATTTTTCAAGAATCGAAGCTCATGCTTACATTTAAGAATTTCATCCTCTTTACATTATTCTACTTCTATAAGCATCTTAATCTGAAAGAAGAATTATTGCATTTAGTAAAATGAAAATTCTAGGTAAATCTCAAATTTGAAGTTGTTTATACATATTTTTAAAATTAAAATCCTATTAATCTTAATTTCACTTTGAGATTATAATCTTTTTTTTTACCTTATTCAACTTTTCATACTTTCTTTTGTGTAAATATCTTTTACTTTGCTCAAAAAAAAAATATAATAACATTGTTCTCATTATTTTTATTAGTTTGAAGAAGTCTAGTATAAAAAACTTTAAATCATGTATATTCAAAATAATTATTAAATCTTAATCAGTAAATATTTAATTTGATATGAATGCCTCAAAGAAAAATTTTAGTCAAAAATATTTAACTATACATTTAATAAATGTACAAATTAAGAAGTTAATATTGAAAATATGCATTGTATTTATTTTTTCCTTCATTAATTAAAATTCAAAGATTTGAAAAGTTAAAAAACAATCATTAATTGTTTTAATTATAGATTAATTAATATGTTTGAGTAAAAAAATAAACAAAACTTAGATTAATATTATTTTATATCAATATAGAGTAATCATATTAATTCTCTATTCTAATTTTTATTTTTATTCATCAACTTTTTAATCTTTTGGAATGGAAAAGAAATAATTTTGATTAATTTTATTTTTTTTGCTACCTACTTTCTAAATCCAAATAAGATTTTTAATTTCTTAATTTTTGATATCTCGAAATAATTTTAAAACTGTAAGTAAGGAAAATAATTGGAGTGTTGATGATCCATATAAGTATATTAGTTATCCAACTGGGTTTCTGATTAAATCAGTTACTAATACTGTAATACTCAAGCCACCAAATAAAATTTCCAAAATAATTCCAATATAAACCAATAATTATATTTTATATAAAATCTATTTGTCAATAACCAAATTGGCTGATTTGTTGTTGTACTTTTCTTAGTATTCATCAGATTAATAGCGAAGTTATTAGGTTTTTTATTCAAAAGAGCAATTATTAATATGGGTTGATTTATTATTTTCACTATGTGATTTAGATTTAAAATTTTATATCTCTGATAATTTTCGTTTTTCAGCTTGTTCCTTGGTTTCTTTTACAGCTTTAATTTATTATCTGACAGTTTCTTAGTAGGTTATCCTATCATCATCATTATCCCATTTGAGATCATTTTATTAATCTTCTTTTAAACAACAACTATCCATTCCCTCTTCTGGTTATTCTTCTTAGAGTTAATTTTCGAATTAAGAGGATTCATTTTTATTATCTTAACTTTTTTGAAGTGTCTTTAATTATTTTTAACTTTCTTATCTAAAAAATGATGAACCACGCATCCCTTTAATAAAAGTTCTAGCAAATGATACAGATTTAAATTTTGTAACTGCAATTTTATGTTTTACTTCTTCAATTTATTTGACTTCATCTTTAATTTCATTTTTTTAATCTTCAATACTTATTTATCTAGACATTCTTAGATATCGTTGCATAGATTCAGGAGATTTACATAAACTATCATTTTAAGGAACTTGATCAATTTAATCATTGTTTAGTTTTTGCTACTCTATAAATTATAATTTGCAATTAGAAATCTATTCTCTAATGCATTTTTAAAGAGATTATCCATAGATCAAAAATTCAAGTATGAAAAAAAAGAAATTAATCAATAGAAAACTATAGCAAAACATCAAAAAGGCAGGATATTAAATGCCTTTCCTAAGACCTAGTTTCTTAGAATAAAATTGATACCATTCATAATGCTTACAGCAATTTAGATTAGAAAGACAATAAAAAGTCGCAACTTTAAAACTTCCTTATAATATTTGAATATGTATTTCCTTTTAGTCTTATCCTAATATACATTGAATGATATTTCATCATACATAGTATACCAGACAATCAATAAACAACCATAGATATAAAATAATAGAGTGTAAACTAAATCAGATAGAAATCTCTTAATAACAGTTGTTTTGTCTCTCTATTATAATTTAAGCTTGTTATACTTACATAAATTTCGAAAGGATCCAGAATCAGCCAAATCAGTTTACAAATTGATAATATTATCGTTAGAGCAAGTATGTAATTCTAAGGTGACCCTATTAATGCATAGGCAAACTAAAAACAACTACAATTTGTTCAGACCAATTACGTATAATAAGATGGGATCTTAGATGCCTTTAAAGAGGTCTAAAATTGTCGAATTGTTATAAAGAGAATAAAAACAAAAGCAGCACAATAAACACCTAAAAATGTGTAATAGGGAGCTATGTAAAGGTCTTATAAATTATAGTAACACTCTTCACCAAATGCACCAATATCACATCTGCATTTGCCATCAATCCTTATTCCCTTATCACAACACTCTATCTCACATTATGACATTATAAATTTATATTCTTAAATATTTACAATCAACAGTTTTATTATGCTATTAAATATATTATTAATATCTTACACATTTAGATTAATATCTAAACACTTCTTATGTAATAATTAAACTAAATATAACAAACACATTTTCAAATTTAATAAATGATTGAAGAAGAAGATGTTATTAATACTTCATAATTCAACAAAATCAGTTAAATTTCCAATATGGGAGGTAAATTGTCTAAATTATAGCTACAATAAATGAATCTTGAGAAAATCATTAATTAATGTATTAACTTGGTTAAAGAGGGAACTTCATTTAGAGAATGTACAAATTATTTACATGGATTGGCAATGGTTTATTTAAAATAATATTAACTCTTAAGATAAGAAATCATCAATTTATAGACTTCAATGATGAATAAGGAAAACTTTGTTGAAGTCGAAAAAAAAGATGCCCGCTCAAAAAATAAATAAACAAAGCCAAAGTTAAACTAATAAAAAGAAGCAATCACTGAATTATAAGAACATTCAAACAGTTCAAGAGATAACCCAAGAAATATAGCAAGTGCTGAACGATTATAATTGGATTCTTAAAAAAATCCATTTGATATTAATCTATATTTAAGAAAGGAAGACACTGATAGTTCAAATGGTTTTGGAACTGCGAATTTTATTCTTAAAGATGTATAATCTATTGAAAAACAATCCTTAAAAGAGATTCTAAATAATAGAAGAAATTAAAAAGAGAATTCTCAAGTCTCTTCTAAAGATACTCCATTATTACCATAAATTATTGTAAATGATGCAGATAATGAGATAGAAGAAGAACATTTTTAATTTTAAAATTCAGATGAAGAAGATCAAATTATGGATACAAGAGTTGAAGTCAAACATGGAAATATTATGAAAGCTTTGGAGGAATTTGGAATCAGTTTTGATTAAAACTAATAAGCAATAAATCAAACTAATTTTAATGATAAGAGTAAAAGAAATACAAAAAAATAATAAAATACACTTTCTAAATAATTAGATCTACAAGATAAGGATAGAGTTCTTCATGAAAGTTATTAAAGAAATTTAGAAGAGTTTATTAAATATTAAGATTAGATTGATGATCTATAAATGAAAATGGAACTCATGAATCTTTAACCTGAATTTTGGTCTAAACAAGATGATTTAATTCATATGATTAATCAATATGAGATACCACTTAATTAAACTATTATTAACAAGTATTAATTATTATTTTATTTAGTAAAAACTTACCTATCTCTTCTTTTTCTAAAATTTAAGGAATGACTACTATTGATAATTCTAATAATTAGTTTTAAGAAATTAATAGTTTTGATTATTAAGCAGAAATATCTGAATTTGAACCTATTAATTCACATAGATACTCAAAGGATATCAATATTGAAACCATTGAGTATCAATTATATAAAAGATTGATTTAAGATTTAAGGAACGAATTTACAAAAGACAAAGTTATTAGTTCAATAAATGTTAATTTTTAATTTTATATTTAGTATTTTAAATTTAGATAAGAAGAAAATAAAGCCAAGAGCTTTTATGACTTATTGTTGATGAGTCGCCTAGGATTCTGTTAAATTAAAAAGGAACAGTAAATTGGAAGATTTACAAACATGTCAATAGAAATATGATAAATTTTGATTTATTAATAATATTTTCCTAATCACATTCATCTTATTTCTAATACAAAAATAATAAATAAGTTCTTATAAGCTTTATTAAAAATATGAATAAAAATTAATTAACTAAAATTACTGAATTAAAATGCAGTTAAATAAATGATTAAATATCCTCAATGAATTAAATTTATAAAAAATAAGCAAAAAGCAAGAGTTATAATTATGAAGGAATATCGTAAGAGCTGGAGTTAAGATGTAATTCTTATAAATATATTTATAGGAAGACTAAATACTATAAGAATTATACAAAATTTATGGCGATAAATGGAAAAAGATCGCAGAGCAACTACATCAGCAATAGATATCATAAGGAAAAATAAGAACTGCAGCAGCTTGTAGAGAGAGGTACCAAAATATTCTAAAACCTTGTTTAAATAAAACTGAATGGACTAGAGAAGAAGAACAAAAATTATTTTCATTATAAAAACTTTTTGGAAATTGCTGGACCAAAATTACAGTAAAGATGAGAAATCGTTCAGAACTGATTTGCAAAAACTACTTTTATGCTACTATTAGGAGAGTACTAAGAAGATTGAGCAAGTAAGTTGGCATCTTAAAACGTAAATGAAATAATATTCTAATTTAGCTTCTCAAATGCTAAAATCCATTAAGCCAAGCATTTTAATGAGTATTTATTTGGAAAGAAATCAAGAATAATAAATGGTTTTTAAAGAAGAAGTACGTCTTTAATTAAAATAATTGATAACTAAATATTAATTTATACAAAAGGAAGAAAATATCTAAATAGATTATGATGAAATTCAAAAAATAAAATAGTTGATTTAAGTATTAGTTGATGCTAAGTATTGATATAATTTTACAATTAGTTCATAATATTTAGAGTTAAAAGGAAAGCCTTTAATTCAAAAATAAAATAAGCCCAAGAAGCATATTGGTAATTAAATTTTCAGGGAGTTAGAAGAAAAAAGAATTATTAAAAGAATATAATTGAAAAAAAAGTTATTTGTGATCAGAAAACGGAAATCTGAAATTGAAACATATATAAACAAGGAATAACCATAAAACAGTTTTTTTAATGAGAACAAAGGTTTTTCAAAATTCATCGGAAATTATATTTCTAAAATTCCAGAAAGCTAATTTTAAACTTAAGAATATTGGTCATCATATTAAACTTAAGCCTATTTTTAAATCTATTTTGTTTATTCTAAATATGTTTCACAATATATGTTATAGTATGGAAACTTATTTGATCCAACCTAATATTTTTATAATTAATGTATTAATTATCCATTTTAATTGAAATAGAGTATTTGAGATTGAAAATAACTTGAATAAATAAGAAATGCTTAAATTTAAAAAATTTATTAATAAATTTGATATAAAAAACAATATTTAATCATGATTAAACTTAAATTTGAACCTACTCTTATTTTTGATCCTTTGATTATAAGTCTTGTTTTGCAAAAATGTTAAATATTTATTCAATGGAGGCTTATTTAATAGAGTATTAAGAAATAGACAATTGTTATTTATTTTTTTCAAAAGCTGAAAACAATTTTCCAGCAGAAATATTGGATAGTAATCTAATTCTATAAAATGTTTAGAAGTGTTCAATGACTTCGTATTATCCAAGTTGTTATTGTATAAAGTCCAATAATTGCTTTCCATTCTATTCAACAAGAATATATTCTGCTAATGTTTCAACACTAATTCCATGTCTATTTAAATCATTATACAAATGTGATCCTGATTCTTTAGGTTGGATTAAATTCATTAATTGTGCTTAATTGATTTTTTACAAAGAACTAAGAGTTGCTGACTAATTAAGTTTAATTCCTCTACTCAATCCCATTTCATTGATAAGTTAATCTAGTATATTAATTTAAGGTTTTTTTAATTTAATTTCAACTTCATATCCTTAACCATATTTATTTTTAACATGTTAAACAGTACCAAAACATCTTAAATTACCATCTACTTGAATAGCAATTTTAGTAGATAATGCTTCAGCTTCTTCCATAGAATGGGTAGTTAAAATGATTGAGCTTTATTTTCTTTAAGTAGAGATTCTAGAAATAACATTCCACATGAATCTTCTAGCTTCTGGATCCATACCGGTTGATGGTTCATCAAGAAATACGATAGGTGGATTTCCAATCATAGCAATAGCAACTGATAATTTTCTTTTGTTACCTCCTGATAATTATCCAGCCTCAACAGATTCAAATCTTTTAAGATCCATTTCAACCATTTTTTTTTCAACTAATTCATGGAGATGTGCATTAGAAATTCCTTTAATTTTGGCAAACAATTCTAAATGTTCTGAAACAGTTAGATTATCTAATAATGCATCAAATTATGGACAATATCCAATATTTTTCCTAGCATCTTGAATTTAATCAATAACACTATTTCCAGCAACATAAGCTAATCCAGAAGTGGGTTTTAATTCTCCTGATAATATTTTGAAAGTAGTAGTTTTACCAGCACCATTAACACCTAATAAACTGAATACTTCTCCATTAGCAACAGAAAATGAAATATTGTCAACAGCAACTTTATGTTACTTTTTTTCTAACATAAAAACTTTTCTAAGATTTCTAACTAGAATTGCTTATTCTTACGGTTTATAATTTTAACAAAGTTATTATTCTTTTTCAACATCATCATCAAGTATTTTTGGATTATAGGGTATAGATGCTTCATTAGATCCTAATTTTTATAATGAACCATTATCTTCAAAGAATTCCAAAATAAATACGATTATCATATAACCCATTCCACTGATTGCAAGTACAAGTAAATCTTCACCTGCAACTCTCATGGCAAAAGTATTAGGTGGTGTAATTGAATTTTAGAATATTAATTCAAAGAATTATTTAAGACTTGTTCTCAATAATCCTAAAGCAAAAGAGAATGAGGGGATAGGTCTAAAAATCCAAACTAAATATGAAGCAGCATCTCTAGTCGATTCAATTAAAAAGAATACGTAAATAACAATACTAATAATTGATCCAAATACAAGATGAATGAAAAAAGATGATAATAATGAATTTCCAGGTACTCTAAAAAAAAAACTTAATACATAACTAAAAGGTATAATAGCCCATCCATATAAAATAAAGAATAAAAATACTGCTCCATAATTACCATCTGAAATTAAGGCATCAATATCAAATGCTAATACCATTAATGCACTTACAATTGCTGGTATCAAATGTTTTACAATATCAATAATCCAATTACTTGCCCAATAAGCTAATACTGATACTCCAGATACCAATTACTAATGTTTTATATTGATTTCTCTTTCTTTTACTATGAATGATATGATTGATGCTGGAATAAATGCAAAACCTATTGAAAATATAAAAGCTGATAAATATCCTGCTACTGATTAATCAATACTTTTTTCATTATGAGTTTATGGGAATGGATAAAATGCTAATTCTAGTTTAGCTGTTGCTGTATTTGTAACTTTCCTTAAAATTGCTTAATTCATCTAATTTAATAAAAGTGGAGAACTTTATACAAACACTGAATTTTATAAAAACCAATATTAGTATGTAGATCCAATCAATTAATTAATGAAGTACCATCCTGGACTATCTCTTAATCCAAATTAATCAAAGTATTCTTTATCTGCTTATTCTATATTTGAAGATAGTTTTTCAATATTCCAATCATCAGTCGAAAAATATTACATTAAATCCAAACCTGTTTAATCTCCTCCCCAAAACAATTATAATTTTTAATCATCATATAGATTCTATGGTGTAATGATAGCTAAATCATCATCTTTCATCCATTTTACAGTCATTATTGCTAATCCACATATTACTACTAAAATTGGTACAAATATTTCACAAATTAATCCTCTTGTATCCCTTTTGAATATTCTAAATCTCTTTTACATTAATGCAAGCAAATGTAAAAAGAAAGTTTAAAAACACCCTTCAATTTTTTGAATGTTTAAATCTACATTTTAATCTATCTCATCATTCTTCTCTTTATTTTATACATCATCTACCTGTTCATGTCCAGCTCCTATCTTTGCTACTTTTAAAAAGACTTCTTCTAATGTTGTTATGCTAATACCATATGTGGCTATATGTAAACTTTTCATATTTTTATCTAAATATTCAAATAAATTTGGGAATTTATCGACTGAGTCTATTGGCAATTACATTACTACTTCAGCTGAAACATTTGATAAAACACTTGCAGTGCTAATGTATTTTGTTATATTATCTATAATTTATTATGAATCATCCTATGTACTATCTTTTACTAAAGTTAAATTATATCCTACTCCAAACCTATTTTTTAAAAATACACTGCTTCCGGAACATAGTAATTTACCTTCACCCATAATACCAATTCTATCACCTAAGAAATCTGCTTCATCCATAAAATGAGTTGTTAATACAATAATTCTATTATCTTTGTAATTCTTTAACATTTCCCAAATATATCTTCTTGCACTTGTGTCCATTCCTGAAGTAGGTTCATCTAAATATACTAACTTTGAATTTCCAATAAATGCTATAGCAACTGATAATCTTCGTTTTTAACCACCAGATAAATTTTTGCTTAAATAATCTGTTTTATCAGTCAAATCAACATCAGCTATAATTTTAGTTATCTAATCAGAAATTTCACTTGATTTCATTCCTTTGAATTAAGCAAACAATTCCAAATGTTCTTTCACTGTAAGATTATCAAAAAGGATATCATGCTAAGGACATACTCCCATAATTTTTCTAAGTTCTGATAATTAGGATTTGACATCAAAGCCATAACCAATAACATCTCCTTTTGTAATTTCCAATAATCCAGTGAGCATAGAGATAGTTGATGTCTTACCAGCACCATTATGCCCTAATAATGCAAATATCTATCCTTAGTACATAGATAAATTGAGATTACTAACAGCCTATTTGCCATTAGGATATGTTCTATATAATCCTTTAATAATAAGTGCTTCATTTTTTAATTCTTATTCTTTTAAAGCTTATTCAACTTCTTCAAATTTATCATCATGTGTGTTCATTCTTTCCAAAACCATTGATGAATGACTTACTCTATCCATTCTGTTTTTTTCCCATATCCAACTAATGAAAAATAATGGATGTTTCTTAACTCCCCATTCATTTGGAAATACTTAATCTAAATATATGGCTAAAATCAAATATGCAATAATATTGATTAGATGCCAAGTCCAAGCTATAGAAATACTATAATTATTGATAGTGGTTGTTAAATTCGATCCATCGAATCCATTTCCTTATGATTCCATTAATGTAATGACACCAAATGAAAATGATAAGGAAGCTTGGCTTGAAAATGATACCCCCCAATATTAACTTCTGCTTGGAATAGCATTTCCAGGTACCAAGTTCAACATTAAAAACATAAGTAAATACCAAACTATTGAAACAATAAGTCCTGTTAAAGCTTATGAGAAAAATACTGACAAAAAAAGTGATTAAACAATTAAAACCAAGCAAAACAAGTAATAATTTAAAAATACAAATCCCCAACCAGATTCAACAAATATCATACTTTCTAAAAATATTATTTATATAAATTTACTTAGTATTGCTGTTGCCAATGCTGCTATTATTCCATAGATTATTACATATTGAATTATCCATGATAAATAAAATTAAGTATTACTTAATCCCATAATTTTCATTCCCTCTCTTAACTTCTTCTCTTTCTCATAAATAATTCCATGTGTCATTCTTAAAAATACAATCATCAAAGGTAATGCCAAATAGATTCCATATGCTCCATTTACAAATTCTGGAAACTTATCTTCTATATGATCTCTTGATCTCACATGACTTAAAGTTGGTTCTATACTTATTTATGGATCATATTATTGAATAATTAAATTATCAATCCAATTTTGAATTGTTAAAAATCCATTCTTATAAAATAAATATGTGATTTCTTAATCCTCACTAATAATATATTCACAAATATTTACTATTTAAATGAATTTATCTTATCCTTTCTATTTAGAGGATACTCTATATAGTCAGTTGAATCTGAAGTGTTGAATCTTAAAGTATAACTAAAATTCATCTATGCAAAATCATCTCTTTCAAATATTATTGCCAAGCAGAGTCCTCTGTAATTTTCTAACTTATTATATCCCTCTGATCTAACATAATTATCTATTTCCTCATTATTTTCGAACCATTTCACTTCATATCCATAATAATCAACAAAGTAAGTTGATAATTTTTAAGCCACTTCATTCTCTTCTGGTCCAATACCTATTAATCCATTTCTGTATGAGGCTCCCTGATAATCTGAATTATCTATACAATTCCTTAACTATAACTGAAACTCTTACTTTAACTAAGGAAGCGAGCTTAGCAATTTCTCAGTGTCTTAATTAGGATTCTTTGGAAAATTAATCAAATTTGGTGCAATCACTCTAGGAAGATCGGAATCTTTTTCTACTTTTAAATAAGATGATTCAGCTATATCATCAATTTCTACTTGTACTCTATTTTTTATGTTAAATATTTACCTGATAGTCAACAATAGGCCGATGAAAAATAGTGGAAGTAATATTTCGCATACAGAACAACAACAATTTCTTTTCCATAATATGTAGTTCTTTCTTAGTAAGGCTGTTAAGTGAGACATGATTTAGTAATTTATTTAATACATATTTCTATAAAATCAAACTCTTCAATAGCAGTGTTCTATATAAAATTTGCCTTTTTATGGAATAAATTAATTATTCATCAAATTTTTGTATATTCAATTAAATCAATAATGTGTAATAATATTTAATAATTAATATATAATAATAAACCTATTTAATTAATAATATTTAAAACTTTAATCCATATTCCTTAAAATTTCTCAATAGAAATCACTACTTTAAAATTTGATGAATTTTAAACGATTAGGATTCAGGAATTTAATATTTGATATCAATTTTTGATGTTAAATAAAATAATACATTTAACTGATTAAAGTTGAATTTTGATTTGTACCCCATCAAGATGTTAATTATTTTAGGGAGATTTAAATCCCAAAAGTTTGAATGTTAGAAAGTAAAAATATAAGAGTATTGAAAAATTTTATATTACTATAAATAAAATAATTGGGGGAATATATTAAAAATTGAATATTTTATTAAAGAGAAGGGGGGGTTTATAAACTTGGTAACTCTTAACTAAATTTGAATTTTTTATTTATTTTTTGTGATGAGCAGCAGAGACGAATTGCTTTACATGGCCAGACTCACAGAGTAAACAGAGAGATTTGAGGACATGGTTAACTACATCAAACAATTAGTTGGTGTTGGACAAGAATTGTCAGTAGAAGAGAGAAACTTGCTCTCTGTTGCTTACAAAAACAGTATTGGAGGAAGAAGAACAGCATGGAGAGTCCTTTCTAGTATTGAGAACAAAGAAGAAGGAAAGGTACAGAAATCTCATTTTTTATTAATTCAAAAAACTTATACCTTATATTAAATCATCTTTATATATAATTATTGTAGGCTCAAACAAATCCAGCAAGTCAAAGAAACCTTGCCTTAATTAGATCTTACAAGAAAAAAATTGAATAAGAATTGAATGGATTTTGTAATGATGTACTCAACCTCATTGACACTTCACTTATCAGGACAGCTACAAATTCAGAAGCTAAAGTCTTTTATTTCAAGATGAAGGGAGATTATCATAGATACATTTCAGAATATTCAAGCGGAGACCAACATAAACATGCTGCTGATGGAGCATTAGAAGCTTACTAACAAGCTTCAAATGTTGCTAATTCAGAGCTTAAAACCACAAATCCAATTAGATTAGGTCTTGCTCTCAACTTCTCTGTTTTCTACTATGAAGTCTTGAACGACCCAACAAAGGCATGCAGTTTAGCTAAACAAGTATTTATTTACAAAATATCTTCAAGGCTTTCGATGATGCTATTGCTGATATCGAATAAATCGAAGAATCATAATATAAGGATGCCACCACAATTATGCAATTAATTAGAGACAACCTCACTCTTTGGACTTCTGAATTAGAAGATGAAGAAGGACCCAAATGAAGGAGGTATATCATATATATATATATATAATATATAAAAATATATAAACAAACATCATCATATTCTCTAACCTTCTACTCTTGAGGTTTATACATCAATATATCATTGCTAAAATTTTACTTTAGTAAATTTTATAATCTAAATAATTATATATTTTATAATTTCTATAAAACATTGTTTTGAGTATTCAAATTTTTAGATTAAATTTAATATTTTTATTTATTTTCATTTAAGATATCGTATCTTATAGTATTTAAATTCAAGATCTTTTTAAGGTTACTTCTTATAAAAAGTTTTATTAATTATTATTTGAGGATTAAATTGAAGAAATACTTTATAATACTTTTAAATTTAATTCAGTCCAAGATGCAGAAATGAATTTCTTTGATTAATCGATCTATTAAATAAAAATTTTCTAAATCCTTTGATAAATTTTCGGTTTTGATTCTTAGAAGTGTTAGCTAGCATTCTTAGAATTTTTAGCTATGATTCTCAAATTAACATTTAAATCACAAATTAGAAGCAAATAAGATATTGAATGAAAACTGAAAAGTTGTGCGAAGTCTGTGTAATTAGTTTTAACGTACTAATTTATAGCCTCATAACAAAACTTTAATGAATAGAAAATATAAGGCACAATAACTTGAAGAATACTATTAGTCTGAATTCCTAAAAAGGAATTACTTAGGATTTCAAAAATTAAAGTCGGTCTATATTCTTGGAAATTTAATTAGATGAATAAAATAAAATTGATTAAATATTATCATGAAACATTAACTATAATTTAATATAATTAATGAAATAAATAATAATAATAATAATAATAAAATGAATCATGAATGGATGTAAAAACAGATTGGAACAGACTAATTTCCAACATTCTGAATAGTGACCTATTTTAGAATGATATTTAATGTTTTTGGTTTTAGAATTCTTTAGGTATGTGTTGATTTGCATAATATGTTATGGTATTAATGTCTAATTGCAAATTTCAATTAACAATTTTAGTTTAAAATTAATTAAATAGATTAATTTTGTTGTAATCTAATAATGAAGGCAAATCCTGATTCTAATTTTCTATATTTGGTAATAAGATTAACGATGTTAAGATTAGCTAGATATTTATTTAGTTCTTGTAAAATTTCTTTTTTTTAGTAATTGACTAAATTGCTGACAGACTCATTCATTTGAATTTCTGAAATAGAAGATTCAAATAAATGTATAGGATTAATAAGTTTTTGAATGTCTAAATCTGAAATTTATTCAAATGAATTTATTTGATTAAGGATGTCCATTTGAGATTCTTCCTATTAATATTTGGCTGGAGTCTATAGACAAGAAGCAGTCAAGATTTATTAATTAAATACATCCCTTTATTGATGTTCAAGTATTATTTGATAGAGATTCTTTGATCTTGGTCTCAACCAAGTTGTAGTGTATTTATATTCTGTTGACTTCATAAATTATTAATAATAATCAATCATTTAGTAATGCAATTCTGACATTATTTCTACAGGATGGACATAAAGGTTTTGTATTAAGCCATTCATCAATGCAAGTATCATGAAAATAATGGTTGCATTTAGGTAATTGTACGACTATCTCCATTTATTCTAATTAACACAAACAAATAGGACAATCTTCTTATTATTAGACTTGATATTCAACCCATGGTTTTCGTGTCAATCTCTAAAGTTCTTCTGGAGATAATGCTCTGTTTACAATAGGAATCTCTCCTCTAATAAGTCCAAAAATCACTATAAGAACAAAAATTATAATTGTGCAAAAAGAGAAAGCATAACAAAGAGCATTGGATAGTAGAAACAAATCGAAAACCCATTCACAAATCTATTAATTGTGTAATGTACTATAATGTAAATTGATTCACTGGCAGGCTGAGCTTGGAATGAATTCACAACTTTCACAGTTGCTAAAAAAATTGTCATTTCATATTCAAATCTACTTTTCTGTTTATAGAATCTACTTTACTACAAATAAAAACCTATAAAATGCAAAACAATTTTCTAGCCTTACTATCAACACTACATTTATACTCATTAAAATTCTGGCCTGATTGGCATTCAAGTTTGGCCATTCATAAATAATAAACGATGTAAATAGAATTGGCAGTACATATTTGAAAATTACTTTTATTAATAGTTTTATGATATCTATTAAGATCATTTATCAAAGCAATTGAGGTTTTGATTTTCCTAATTTATTTTTTAAATTAATGAAACTCATTAAAACTATAAGAAAACATAGTATTTTCTAAACTAATCTTACATTCTAATATTAAAGAACAATTATTTGAGGCAATATTTATTAAGAACCTGTAAATAAAATTTACTAAAATTTAGAAAATATTAAGATAATTTTAATAATTATTATTATTCTCTTATTAATGGAATTCCCTTTGTATACACATTTTTATTTTTAGTAATCAAAAAAAGCCTATAAAGGAATTGATAATTTAAACATAATGGTAAAGTATAGAAGATTTTCATAATTAAGTAAGNAATATTTGGCTGGAGTCTATAGACAAGAAGCAGTCAAGATTTATTAATTAAATACATCCCTTTATTGATGTTCAAGTATTATTTGATAGAGATTCTTTGATCTTGGTCTCAACCAAGTTGTAGTGTATTTATATTCTGTTGACTTCATAAATTATTAATAATAATCAATCATTTAGTAATGCAATTCTGACATTATTTCTACAGGATGGACATAAAGGTTTTGTATTAAGCCATTCATCAATGCAAGTATCATGAAAATAATGGTTGCATTTAGGTAATTGTACGACTATCTCCATTTATTCTAATTAACACAAACAAATAGGACAATCTTCTTATTATTAGACTTGATATTCAACCCATGGTTTTCGTGTCAATCTCTAAAGTTCTTCTGGAGATAATGCTCTGTTTACAATAGGAATCTCTCCTCTAATAAGTCCAAAAATCACTATAAGAACAAAAATTATAATTGTGCAAAAAGAGAAAGCATAACAAAGAGCATTGGATAGTAGAAACAAATCGAAAACCCATTCACAAATCTATTAATTGTGTAATGTACTATAATGTAAATTGATTCACTGGCAGGCTGAGCTTGGAATGAATTCACAACTTTCACAGTTGCTAAAAAAATTGTCATTTCATATTCAAATCTACTTTTCTGTTTATAGAATCTACTTTACTACAAATAAAAACCTATAAAATGCAAAACAATTTTCTAGCCTTACTATCAACACTACATTTATACTCATTAAAATTCTGGCCTGATTGGCATTCAAGTTTGGCCATTCATAAATAATAAACGATGTAAATAGAATTGGCAGTACATATTTGAAAATTACTTTTATTAATAGTTTTATGATATCTATTAAGATCATTTATCAAAGCAATTGAGGTTTTGATTTTCCTAATTTATTTTTTAAATTAATGAAACTCATTAAAACTATAAGAAAACATAGTATTTTCTAAACTAATCTTACATTCTAATATTAAAGAACAATTATTTGAGGCAATATTTATTAAGAACCTGTAAATAAAATTTACTAAAATTTAGAAAATATTAAGATAATTTTAATAATTATTATTATTCTCTTATTAATGGAATTCCCTTTGTATACACATTTTTATTTTTAGTAATCAAAAAAAGCCTATAAAGGAATTGATAATTTAAACATAATGGTAAAGTATAGAAGATTTTCATAATTAAGTAAGTTAATATCAAATATAAGAGTTGTTTTAATAATTTAATACATAAATATATTTAAATAATCAATCATAACTTCTCTACCTAACTAACATATGATATCTTGGAACCATATTTGATAATGTTTAGTCTTCTTCAATAGAATCATCCATATTTTCGAAGTAATCTAACTATGATTTGATTAAATCATCGAAGTATCTAGTTTCATTTTATAATCCTTCATTTTAATTTTTACTTTATAAAAATGAGGAATCTTAAAAGCTTTCATTCTAGTTCCACAAAGGAGTACTGCTTTTGATAATGTCATCTTGATTTTTACGAGTGACCATAAATGGAACAATATTAACTGGCAAATTGCAAAATGTTTCTGTTTTTGGATTGGTAAACCATTCATGTAATAAAGCATCTTCAGCTGATGGTCTTTAGCATATGTTCACTTCTAAAAGTAATTTAACTAAATTTTATGCTTAAGCACTTATATTTTTATGATTGAGTTTATCAAAATCAATTTAGCATTAATAATTACTTACAACTAACTCTTCACTATTTGCATAATTAATAAATGGCATTTCTCCAGTAAGTAAAATGAATAAAATAACACCTGCTGAAAAAATATCAACTTTATGATTATAAGTTTGATCCTTCAAAACTTCTGGAGCAACATAACCAACTGTACCACATCTTTAAAATAAATAGATGTCATGTTCATTATAGATATCGGAAAGTCCAAAATCTGCAATTACGATATCAATCATATTACACTTTGTTCTAAAAATTAGATTTTCTGGTTTAAGATCTCTATGTATGATATTTTTAGAATGTAGATATTTCAATGAGCTCAATAGATTAAACATTAGATTCTAAACAATATGCTCATTATAATCCTCCAACTTATTTAATATCTTGTTTAGAAGATCTCCTCCTTATAAATAATCTATAATTAAATAAACTTTTTCAGCATCTTCAAAAACCTCGTGTAGTTGTATTACATTCTCATATTTGAGTTTTCTCATTATGTCTATCTCTAATAGTAAGCTTTCCTTAAAATTTAATCATTTATTACCACTCCTTTCTCTTTTTCTAAAACATTCACTTTTTTAAAAATTTTGACAGCAAAAATGCTCTAATCTTATTTCCTTTAGATTTTGAATACTTTAGCATAACTACCCTATCCGATTAGTTTGAGTATCTTGTAATGCTTTTAAAAGTGCCTTTAGATTGTGTATTTGGCTATATAAGTTTTCCATTTTTGAATTACTTTTTTTTCACCAAACAATTATAAACATTCATTTTTCCCCGACAATTATATGCCTTTAATCTAAATATGTGATGATTTAGCTACATTATTATGAGTTATAGTCTTTAGACGAAGATTATTCATATTAAGAAAACAATTTGTTGATACCAAGAATTAATTAACTAACTTGTATTAAGGTCTGTCTATAAATTTATTGAATTCATCTTTTATTTAGATTGCTTTTTCTAACTGTTATTATTGTAATTAATTTTCTATCTATTCATAAGTAGGTTATCCTTCATGCCATATTGAATTCATTCTTGAATAATTTTATTCAAAAATGGAAAAGCTAGTTTAATTCATTATAGAGAATATTATATTATTAATTTTATGAAATGAGGTTTTGAAAAAATTTATAGATTGAATTAATGATTCAAGAAATTCATAATATTTTTAATTTATGAAAATCTAATTAAAAATAATTATTCACTTAAAATTATTTAATTAATTATACGATTTTATAAATACTTCTATTCAAAATCTAAGGGTTTCGGAAATCAACAATATTAAATAGTTGTATCTTAATAAATATATTTTGAAAATATCTTTTACTATTTAACTAAAATTACATATTTCAGGGAGCAGCTTACTAATAATATTTTGATATTTATTTACAGTTTATATTATTTTAGAAATATATACCGTAAATAGGAAAATAATATTATTCAATGCTCATAACCAAAATACAAAAAAAAATTGAAGAAATAACCTCAAGAAGGATATCCTAATAAAAAACAATTCAGATTTTTGCAAAAATAATAATAAAACATAAGATATTGTTTCTTTAAATGAGATCCAAAAAATTCAACAAGAAAGCACTTAAGTTTAGAGAGATTTTTAATAGAAAGTATAAAACATAATCCAAAATCCACTAAAATTATTACAAGGACAACTGAAAGAATAAATGAAAAGAAAATGGTTTTATAATTTAGGATTAAATATCTGAATTATAAAAATAGAAATAATGTATTAAATCAGTGAAGCAATAGGTTTCGAATCAACAAATAAAAAATGAGAAGATGAATAAAATTAGTATAATATAAGAGGTTATATAGATTAAGCTGAAATTAAATATTTTGGGTAAATTTTAGACGTCCCTTACCATGGAGTGGAAGTGTATTTTAATTAAATAAAGGAATGAGTTCAGATTATTGTTCTTAACATGCTAACATAATGAAGAAAGACCTTCAAATAAAACGTTACCAAATAGATTAGCTAAATTTTTTGATATTAGTTTTTGGTTTTTTTTATAGATTAAACTATATATAAAATTAATCATTAAAATTCTTGAAAAAAATTTGGATACAAAGTTTTATATTATTCTTAATATGTGATTGAAAGTGATTGAACTTTTGGATATTTTGCTGCTAATTTTGAATCTTTTGGCTCAATTAAGAATTCATCAAAAATCTTGCTAGATATAATTCTATTTATATTAGAATAATTAAATACTTTTAAATGATTCTAGTTAAATATAGATAGCTGCTAGCATTCTTCGTTCAATGGATTAACTGGAAGCATTTATTTTTATCATGATGATTTAAAAATAAATTATCTCTATTCAAAGTTCCTCATATAATTTGTTATGGTTGATAATATTTCTTAAAGTAATCAAATGCTTTTAAAGTTACACAACTTTATGGGACTACAATAATTTTAGTTAAATTTTAAAATAATACATCTTCATAATCAGGTTCTTTTTCGAAAGTTTCTTTAAAAAAACTGCTTACGTTAACATAATTTTGATCTGTGTGTATAATCTTTTTTCTATCTTTAACTTAATATACCTTAAAGTTTATTAAAGTTGATTCATTAATTAAATGATTAATAGATAAACCTTATTTTAAGAATGCTATCTTTTATTTCCTAAATGTATATATTAATTTGAAATATGAAATAGAAGAAGACATTTGTTATATAGTTGACAAAATAAAGGTTAGAAAAATATTTGAAGGTTAAGTTGAGTTTGATTAACAAGAAATCGAAATCTTGAAATAATTCGAAGCATATTTAATATCTAAGCGCTTTATGCCTAAGTTCTCACTTAATTAATTTTAGGTGGACTGAACCTTAATTACTGAGGATGCTCTATGCTACTAAATTTAAGTTTGAAAAGACTTATGCAGCTATATAGGCCTATATTTAATGGAGAAAACAAGCATTTCCACTTAAGGAAAATTAGGAAACAACGAAATTCTTAGTAATGAATCTTTACTTATTTTTTTAGTCAAGTGGTTCAATTTATTTGCATGGAAGGGATAATAGATTTAGACCAATAATAGTGGTTAATGCTATAAAATTGGCAGCATAAAAAAATATTGACATAACCTTAGATTCAATGACTATATTTCTTGAACATGTTTTAACAAATTACATGTTACCTGGATAAATAGAAAACTGGTAAAATATTATTTCTCTATAATTTTTTTAGGGTAGTAGTAATGGATTTAGGAGGTTTAGGAATCACAAGTTTACCTAGATAATAACTTTAAAGAGTTTTAGATTATCTATAAAATAACTATCGTTCGAGAATGCATAAATGTTATGTAATTAATTGTCCTAGTACGATCACTTTTTCTTGGAACATAGTAAAAGGATTTTTAGAGGAAATAACAGTAAGGAAAATCTCATTTGAAAAATCTTCGATTCCAACTGGATTATTTGAACATTGCCACAAATCGTAAGTTGAATAAAAATATGGTGGAATATCTAAAAATATAGAAAATAATTTTTGGTAAAGAAAAGTATAATTTCTTAAGGCCTCCTTGCGAGATTAGTTAAGAGTATTTTTTATAAACAGATAAAATCACAGATATACTTATTTCAAAACAACAATACAATTAGCTATATTAATTTGGAAAATTATCAAAGAACCGACTTTGTAAAGAACTTCTTGAAGATATAAGATAATCTTTATAAAATACTAATACAGATTAACATTTAGATAAAAAATTGAAAGAGGAAGTACCTGATCCAGAAGAGGAGCAATAAGTTATTAATGATCTTATTAAAAATAATTAAGGTTATTACAAACCAAGAGTTGAAGAATCTTTTGAAATGCCATTTTGTGAAACTGCAATTCAAATACCATTAAATTTTATTGCTCATAAAAAAATGTTAAAATATTGAAGGAATTTATTATATATATTTCTATATTTAAAACAATAATCATCGTAAAGATATATTGGATCTAGATTAAATGAAAAATAATATTTAAAGTAAATTACAAAAGTAAAAGAAGTCTAATATTAAGTTGATTTAGTTAAGTAATATATTAAATATTATATATTTCTAACTTAAAAAAAAATGGGGAATGATTGCTCAAGTGCATGCAATGTATGCAAAAATTCGGAAACTGTTATAGATGCTACTTCGTTTCCACAAGATTTAAAATAATATGAAAACACTAAAAATTTAGATTATACCAACGTTTCGAATTAACAATAACAATCTATGTAATAGCAGAACTTTAGTTAATTTTAAAATCAACCTCTAGTGACAGAAGAAGTTCATTCACCGCATCCAGAGTTTAAATCTAATTAATAATTACAATAATATTTCTCATAAGCTGATAAATAAGAGACAACAAATTATCATAATGATTAAAATACATACCCAGAAAGAAGACCACCATTTACATTTAAAAGTGGGGCTATATATGATGGTGAATGGAGAGGTCAAGTTCGAGAGGGTTTTGGACTTTAAATTTGTAATCATATGATCTGAAATTAGGGCCTGATGGAGCTAGATATGAAGGATAATGGAAAGATAATAAAGCATGTGGTTAAGGAAAATTTTGGCATGTAGATGGAGATATTTATGAAGGAGAATGGAAGGAAGATAAGGCAAATGGTTTTGGTGTTTATATACATGTAAATGGGGCTAAATATGAGGGATAATGGAAAGATGATTTATAAGATGGAAATGGAGTTGAAACATGGGCAGATGGCTCTAAATATGAAGGTAGTTATAAAGAAGGAAAAAAACATGGATATGGAAAATATATTTGGAATGATGGATCATCATATGAAGGTAACTGGGTAGATAATAAAATTTGTGGAAGAGGAATCTATTCTTGGACAGACGGCAGAGTATTAATTTATCTTATTATAAGAAATATGATGGAGAATGGTTAAATAATAATATGCATGGTAGAGGAGTTTATACTTGGAGAGATGGTAGAAGATATGAAGGAGAATATTAATATGATAAAAAACATGGTTAAGGAATTTATATATGGGCAGATGGAAGAAGTAATCAAATTAAATATTATTAGAATATGATGGATAATGGGCATATGGAAAATAAAGTGGATAGGGAAAATATCATCTTCCTGATGGAACTATCCGATTGGGTTTATGGGAAGATGGTAAAAGAATTAAATGGCTCGAAGAAGATGCATCAGTGAATAAAAGTAATCATTAACGTTACTGATTTAATCAATTTATTTTTATTCCAATAAAATTTCATAAAAATTTTTTATTTCAACATAAAACCCCTCACATTTATAAAAATTCAATCTATGTATCAGTATTTTTTAGATCTAATAAATACTTTAAAAAAGATCTAAGAATTTGTTCAAATTATTGTATATAGTAAATCATTAGATAGAATTAGATATAATTTTAAATTATTAGGGATAATCAGTGAAATTAGCTAGTAAGATTTTATTATAATCTACTATCCTTTGAAAAGAATATTTAATTTCAGTTGATAAAAATTTAGTTTATTAAATTTTATAAATTCAAGATTATGTTTCATTTTGTTAATTTATAAAATTGAGTATTAATACTTAGAATAAATTGAGTCAAGCTAAATGATGGATAGAAACTGTTTTGAACTTCTCTTCAAAGATCTATCATCTCTTGATTGTTCGTTTATTGGATTTGAAGATTAGATAAAGATTCATCAATTTCACCAAAAAGAAAATTTATAGCTTTTAGTCTATAAATTATCCAAATAAGTCTACCTATTTAGGTAGTAACAAAAATGGCTGATATATAGAAGCAAAATTATTTAAATAATTTATTCAAGGTAGTGCTAAAATAAATAGTTGAATAAATAATAAGATTTATTCCATATCTCATGAAATAGATGCTGTTTAATCACTTTATGAAATAAATCGTATAAAGATAAGACCTAAATTTTTTACATGCAGCAAAAAGGAAATTTAAAAAACCTTAGTTTCAAAAACCTAATAAATAGCAGTTAATTAAGTCAATAAAAAGAAATAAAAACCTGCTTAAATAACAGTTTTCTCCAATGTACCTTAGTATGGGATTCATTATCTTAGATAAATAAACAAAATCTGAAGCTTTGAGTAAAGAGTTTTTTATTTTTAAGAACAACTCACCGTTAATAGATGAGATAACCTTGTCAAGAAAAAAATGAAATAGATATATTTATTTAATCTAAAAATATTTTTCAATAATTTAAGGAAAGATTTTCAAATTGATTATGAAATTGCAAAATTTGTATAAAAAAGCTGCTTATCATATCGGCATGCATAAAGTAGTAAATGTAAAAAAATTAAACCAAATTAAATTTTAATTAATTAAATTTTCCTTTATTGTTCACCTCCAGATTTTCAGAGAACATGGAATCTTCTGCAGAAGTAAGCCCTGTTGGAAGAGATCATAGTTCTAAAGAGAAGTTTGCTTCTTGGAAACCTTAATAAGGCATGTGTTCAACCAGAAGTCAACAGTTAATAAGGAACTCTATAAGTTGATTGTAATACTGGAGCATTATTTTTTATAAATTAATAAGGTTAGGAAATATTAAGAGAACATTTTTGCTCATGTTTGATAATGCTCTATTATACACATAGAAATTGATAAAAATGAATTGTTGGATAAAATAAATCGATTAATTTTATCACCTTTTTCGCTTGAATAGAATCTGAGAGAACTTTTCTTGTATATAATAAAATATAAGGTTTCCAAGAAGACGAATTGATATTAATTTTCAAGATTCTTCGTTTTGCTTTACTAATATAGGTCGACCTAATTTGAACAGATAAAAATAAGAAAAGTGAATAAAATTAAAAAATATGGAGTCCTCTATATCTTAAATATCGTGATCAAGAAATATCATTATATGGAAAGGAGATTATTTTATTTATATTCTCAAAACAATGTACTAAAAGAAATAATCATATTTTAAGAATAAAAATTTTTTTGTTTATTATGAAAAATAATTTGATTGATTGATTTTGGATCCAATTGTACTATTTTATTCATGAATAAATATTTTTAAGAACATTAATTGAAAATTAATAAGATTTTTTATGTTAACATGAACCTTTTTCAGTTATATTTTAATTAATTTTTATCATCAATTACTTATAAATTTTAGGTTACTTACTTTTCTATTTCCTGATCTTTTAATTAGCTTGGTTAAAATTAAAAGAAAGAATGAGAGAGTATTATTATTATTCAAAAAATTGATTTGGTTTTGTTGATTGATTAATAAGATTTATTATTGCTATGAAATATATAGGAATTTAAGTTTATGAAAAAAATAATTTGTCTCAAAAAATTCATCATCAAAGATTTTTCTAGAATTATTTCGTAGTATTTTTAAAAGTATTTCTCAGTTATTTTCGTTTTTCTTCCATTAATTAGCTTCTTTCAGTTAATTATTTTAATTTCATTTCCGATTTTTCTAATTCTTCTTATAAACATAAATACATGTCTCTTTAATTTTATTCAACCTTCATATTTTCCTATTAACCCTAATCTTAATGATTTTAAATTTTCATAGAATAATTATTTATTTTTTATTTAATCTACTCATTTAAGGGAATTTTATGAATAAGTTAAGGATTTTAATGTTGAGGAATAACAGCTTGTTATGTAGATATATTAGGATTCATATTTTATTTTTTTGGTGGTGTCAATGAAGTTGGAATTTAATGGAAAAATTAAGTTTGAGATTTTTATTATAAAGGAATTTCAATTTGTTATCTAATTATTGGACTTTTTGGTTAAGAAACTCGAAATTGAATTTAGTTTGACCTTAAAGGTGAAATATTTTAATAGCTAACATTTTTTGTATCAAATATTTATTTTTTTCTGACAGTTTATATTAAGGATGGGTATTGTATATTCTCCTTGTAATATTAACAAAACTATGGCATTTGTTGTGTTATTTCGGGGATTTTAGGTTTTAAATAGTCTTCATCATTTTGCTATATGGGAGATAAAGAGTGCTACATCATTTAACAAATAAATTAAAAAAAATATTAATTTATTAACAGACTCAATTTATTTTTTAAATTATTATGATGTTTTGAATATATATAAAATAGTTAAATGTTTTGAAATAAAAAGGAATTTCATATTGAATTTATGGATTGATCTATAGTATGTGATATAAAATTAAAATTAATGCAATTGTACTATGAACCTAAAATAGATATAAGGATATATAATTATTGGCTTATAAATTTAATTAATTGAAGATACAAATTGCATATTATATAATTTAATATCTAAAATTTAATAAAGAATGTCCTTTTCAACTTATGACAAGTAATAACAAGTAATCATTTTTAGATTACATTATGAGATTTTATTTAAGGATTATCATTTTTTTTTAAATAAAGTTAACTACAATAATAATTGTTGTTAATGAAAATCGTTAATATTTTTATAATGTAATAACAATATTCAAAATAAAAAGACTAAAAAGATTTTGAAGAATTTCATAATATTGAAGAGTTGAAAGAATTGTTTCTTTTAAATTCCATAAACGATGGGATAAGTTTTTAGAAAGTCGTAAAATTAGGAGGGGATTAAGGATTGGCAAAATAATTGAAATCGCATTTATTAGTAGAATCGAAAATTAATTTAAATAGAAAGGAATAGATTCAGAAGCATAAGTACAAGAGAACCGAGATAAATTTGGAAATAATGATCCAGTAGAAAAGGAGCCTGCAAAATTATGGGAATTGATATTAGAGTGTTTTGGAGATACAATGCTATAAATTCTGTTGGTAGCTGCTTTGGTCAGTACAATAATAGGTATAATAAATGAGGGAATAAAAACAGGATGGACTGAAGGGTATAAAATTGAATTATTATTTAGAGCAACAATATTTTTAGCTGTTTTTTTAATAGTTTCTATAACAGCTGGTAATAATTATTTAAAAGAGAGATAATTTTAATAATTGAGACGTAAATTAGATGATGGATTGATATAAGTAGTAAGAGGTGGAATAGTTGAGATTTCAGTAAAAGAAATAGTAGTTGGAGATATATTACAATTTGGTATTGGAGATATATTTCCAGTTGATGGTATTTGATAAAATTTGAATATAGGTTTGATGATATAGGGTTCTTAAATAAAAGTAGATGAATCTCCAATGACAGGAGAATCTGATGAAATAAAGAAATTACCATTTAATGAGATTTCTCAACAATAGTTTAGTAGCAAAGATCATCATCATATAAGTCCATTTTTAATTAGTGGCACGAGATGTTTAGATGGAAATGGATATATGTTGGTATTATAAGTAGGTTAAAATACAATATAAGGATAATTAAAATAATTATTAAATTAAGATAATCCTCCCACTCCTCTTTAGTAAAAACTAGAAGGAGTTGCTGAAAATATAGGTAAATTGGGTACATTAGTAGCAATATTAACATTTATAGCATTGATGGGACATTTATTAATTGATGTTTTTATAGATCATAAACATGAGTTATTTACTTTGAAATCATTATAATTAATAATTGAAGCTTTTATGATTGGAGTTACAATAATAGTAGTTGCAGTTCCAGAAGGTTTACCTTTGGCAGTGACAATAGCTCTAGCTTATTCTGTAGGAAAAATGAAAGATGAATAGAATCTAGTAAAGAATTTAGCATCTTGTGAAATAATGGGTGGCGCAAATAATATTTGTAGTGATAAAACTGGAACTTTAACATAAAATATAATGTAAGTAACAGCATTATGGATTGAAAATCACATTTATTTGAATCAAGAAATAAATATAACATCTAAAATATCTAAATAATCTATTGGAATAATGTCTGAATCAATATGTTGTAATTCTATTGCTAATCCAACCAAAGATAGAGATTCTAATAGATGGATATAAATTGGCAATAAAACTGAATGTGCATTGATTGAATTAGCAGATAATTTTGGATATAAATATTCTAATTATAGATTAAATGATAGAATTCTAAGATAAATTCCTTTCAGTAGTAAAAGAAAGAAGATGGTTACTGCTATTTTAAATCCTTAAAATTAAACTATTAGAATATTTACTAAAGGAGCTTCAGAAATTATTTTAGCTTAATGTTTTAGATATGTTTCTAATAATGGTGCTGAGGTGCTTCTCGATAAAACAAAAAAAGATGACATATTACATAATGTTATTGAAAATTTTGCATCTTAATCTTTAAGAACCATAGCTATTGCATATAAAGATTTAGAACCTTAAAGTTAAGCAATAAAAGGATTTGTAAATGCAAAAGCACATGTACATCAAATAAATGAAGATGAAATTGATAAAGATTTAACTTTAATTGCAATTGCAGGTATCAAAGATCCAATAAGACCTGATGTAGCAGATTCCATAAGATAATGTACAAAATCTGGAGTGAAAGTTAGAATGGTTACAGGAGATAATATAATAACAGCTTAATCTATTGCTTTGGAATGTGGAATATTAGAGAAAAATAGAGCATAATAAGAATTCGAAGTGATTGAAGGGAAAACATTTAGAGATTTGGTAGGAGGATTAGTGAATGGTAAAAATGAAGAAGGAAATGAAATAAAAGTAGTAAAAAATATGTAGATCTTTTCGAAAATAAGTAGAGAAATGAAAGTAATGGCTAGAGCATCACCTGAAGATAAATATTTATTGGTCACAGGTTTAATTTAAGAAGGTAATGTTGTTGCAGTTACAGGAGATGGTACTAATGATGCACCTGCTTTAAAAAAAGCAGATGTTGGATTTGCTATGGGAATTACTGGATCAGATGTTGCTAAAGATGCTGCTGATATAATACTTATAGATGATAATTTTAGTTCAATTATTACAGGTATTATATCTTAAAATAAATTTAGCTATGAAATGGGGTAGAAATATTTATGATTGTATTAGAAAATTCATTCAATTTTAATTGACTGTTAATTTAGTTGCATTATTCATGTCTTTTACAGGTGCTGTAATTCTTAAATAGTCTCCACTTAATGCTATTTAAATGCTTTGGGTTAATTTAATTATGGATACATTTGCCTCTTTAGCTTTAGCAACAGAACCTCCTTCTATTAAAGTTTTAGATAGATAACCATATAAAAGAACTGATTAAATTGTATCCCCAACTATGTATCGTACTATTGTTGGTGCAAGCTTGTATTAAATTACAATTCTTATATTTATTTTATTTCTATTACCCAAATATATTGACTGCTAAATTCCACAAGAATTGATTGGATAAAATGTAATCATATTCATTCTATTAATTCAAGTATCCACAAAATGTCGTATAAATGAGTATCTTCTTTTAAGCATTTGTTTTAATGTAAGTATTTAATTCAATTTCCTGTCGATAATTAGATTATCATACTAGAAATCCCTTTGCTAATTTTTGTAATAATCCTTTATTTTGGATAGTTCAAACTATTACAGTCATTGTTTAAGTTCTCCTTATTCAATATGGAGGAAAATATGTTAAAGTTTCTCATTTAACCTTCTTTTAACATTTATTATGTATAGCCTTTGGATTTGGAGGTATCATCTTCTCAATTCTATTTAAATTTATACCAGAACAATTTTGTCAGAAAATTCATCTCTTTAAAGAAGAAGAAATCAAAACAGAAAAAATGGATGATACTTTAACAAGTAAACTCAGAAGAAAATCAACTATGCGTTTACATACTAGTTAAAGAAGTAAGCATGATTTAGGTAGTCTAAAGAAAATGAGTTCAGAAAAATTGTGAATTTATTGAATTATTATACAAATTATTTAAACAATAATTTTATTACAATATCATAATTCAATAAAATCTACTTTTAAAACTAACATTTATTTTACAACTCTTATAATTAAAGAAATTTCTACTTTAAAACAGTAAGCTTGATCATAAAGAAATCATAAATTTGCAGTGTATGTAATTATATTAAAAATAATATTAAAGCTAAAAAAAAAGTATACATTATGTTTCTAAATGTATATTTCAAATCAATTTGTAAAATCAAACATTTAATCCAAAAAAATTCATTTTTGCTAATTATAATATTTAACTAAAAACAAAATCTATGTAAAAGTAATGATTTGATATTATTGACAAGAGAAGTTGTGGAATTAGCATACAAGCACTTGTGTTACAAATACACCTATATCAATATTTTGGTTCTCCTAATCACTTTGTTCTAATTTCAATAAACTCCCTTAGCTTTACCTCTTGGATGTGCCATATTGAATGAACTAATCATATGGATTAAATTATCGAGAAGATAAATTATCGAAAATATCGATCACATTCTTAACATTTTCTTTTATGTAAGTTATCTCATATAATTTAGATATATATCGCACTTACATATTATTTAGAGCTAAAGTATTATATTTTCAGCAATATGTTTGTTGGATTATCATTTATTTTTAAAATATTTTGTGATAAGAAATAAGATGAACAACATTAATATTCAACGATTATAAGATTGGTATTTTTCATTTTTAATATAGACTAAAATTTTTTACCGATTTTCATAACTGATAGCAATACTTTGTATAACATTAAAAATGAATCTATATGTAGATTGGACATGGTCATAAACCTTTTGGTGGTATTGGATGTTTTTAAGTGGATTAATTGGATCTACTATAACTTTTTTATTGATGTTAATTTCAAAATTAATTAGAATTAACAATAGCACAATAATAAATCGCTTTAAAAATGAAGGTATATCTAAAACCATTCTTAATTAGTTAAAATATTATCATGGTTATTATATACTTCAGCTTTAAGTAGTTTGATAGCAACAATTTGGATAGTAAATACCTTAAATGTACTTGGAATTAATTTCACTATCAAAATAGGAGATCTTTATATGTATTGCATAATATCAATGAATATCCTAATTTTTTGTACAATCTCATATGTCTTTTCCAGTTCCATAATTGAATTTATTTTAGCTATAGATTCAATCGAATCAAGAAATTCATCTCCTAAAAATGGAACTTAAAATACTGAAAAATAAATTAAAAAAGAGATAACTAAAACATCAATTTTTATGTAAAAATTATCAAATGCTTATTTTCGATAAATAAAAGATTTAGAAATTGTTGTTCTGAAAGATACAAATTAAAATGAAATATTAACAGAGAGAAATTTGAATAATAATATAATTTAGAAAAAGAAGCCCTGTCCTTAAAATTCAAATAGTAAGTGCATTATTTGTTGTGAAAAATCTTCTAATGCAATTTTAATGAATTGTGGTCATGGAGGAATTTGCTATTAGTGTGCAATGCAATTAGCATAGAAGTAGAAGGAATGCTTTCTTTGTAGATAGATAATTTCAACAATTTATGAAATAGATGAAAAGGATGTAAGTATATTGAAAAGAGTGATTTCAAAAACTAGAATTTCCAATTGATACTTTTTTTATTAATATTTTTAACAGTTTATGAAATCTCAATTCGAAGTATATCTGAGACTAAAACCTTCAAATAGGTAATAGTTATATTTGTAAATGAAGTTAATCTTAAAATGCCATGCAATACTAAATATATCAAAATAAGAAACTGTAAGTATTATTACCTAAACATGTTAAATTTGGATTGATTAACAACAGTAGAGATAATTTGGATTTTAACTTTACTCATGTTTTTGATTAGAAATCAAGTTAAGAGCATGTATTCACTAATGTTACAACTCCTGTAATAAATAGGTATTGAACTATATATTCAAATTTAGTTTTTTGGATGGTTATAATGCCACTATATTTGCATATGGATAAACAGGATCAGGTAAAACTTATACAATGAGTGGAGCTGAAACATGGTAGTTGAGAGGTATTATACCAAGAGCTCTTTCTTATATATTTGATGAAATAGATAAAAGAACAAAATTTGAATATAAAATATATATTTCATTCATGGAAATATATAATGAAAATGCTTATGATTTATTAGAAAAAAGACATTTGGAAACTCCTTTAGAATAATGGAATAAAGTATATATTATATCAATTTAAAGATAGCATTATTTGAAGATGATTAAAATAATATTCATTTAAAGAATTTATCTATTCATTAATGTAATAATGAATAGGAAGGAATTGATTTGCTTATGATGGGAAATTTTATAAGATAAGTTAGTTCAACTCCTATGAATTAATCAAGTTCAAGATCTCATTGTATTTTTACTGTAACTCTTGAAGGATGTGATACTACAAGTGAGACTTGTTTTGTTAGCAAATTGCATTTAGTTGATTTAGCAGGATCAGAAAGAATAAGTAAATCTTAAGTAGAAGGTAATTTATTGAATGAAGCAAAATATATCAATTTATCTTTAACTTACTTAGAATAAGTTATTATAGCTTTAAACGAAAGAATGAAAGGAGCAAATAGATAACATATACCATATAGAAATTCTTTGATGACCACATTATTAAAAGATTCATTAGGAGGTAATTGTAAAACTGTTATGATTGCTACAATAAGTTCTGAAAATGATAATATTGAAGAATCATTGTCTACTTTAAGATTTAGTTAAAGAGTTGGACAATTAGAAAATGAGGTTATTATATATAAATATAAATTAGATAAGAAGAAATGAAAAAGTAGATTTGGAAGCTGTTGTAAAAAGATTAGAGTAAGAGAAATTAGTTTTGATTAGAGAATTAGAATAATATTAAAGAGGAGGGACATCAAATACAAGTAATAAAAAAATATAATAACAATAACAAAATTTATTACCATAATCAAGTGGAATAACAATTAATTAAAAAGATATATAGGAGAAAGTTGAACTTTATCTGAATGAAAGGATTCCTTCATTAGATGTAAAAAGTATAGAAGAAACATAAAGATGTTTTGAAGCAATGAAGGATCTATATAATACAAGAATGAAAGAATATGTTACAGAACTTACATTTATTTCTGAAAAGTTACAAAAATATGACGAAATTCTAACCAGAAAGTATATAAATGATTAATAACTAAGAAAAGAACAGAGTTCCTTCCTTGAATAAAAAGAGAATAGCTCCCCTGAAATTGAAGTTTACAGAAGAAATGAGTCTCCATAAATAACATTTAAGAAAAGATCAAATTAGTGATAATAAATATATATATATATATTTGCTAATGTAATTAATTAACAAAATCATATTCTCAATGATGCCACTTTTCCAACAAATTCTGCTGCTTCTTCTTAACTTATATTTGATTATTTGACCCAAATTGAAGCATTTACCTATGGGCCTAATTAATTAATTATAAAATTCAATCCTTTTTAATTTATCTCTGTTGAATTCAAATTTACAGAAACATTAACTAATATAGGTAAATTATGAAGGAACTATATTATATAATAAATATATAATACTTTGCCTAATTTACGAGCTCCTTATTCTGTAATTTTATTATAATGAATACTAATATTAACACTTTTTAATGAAACCCATTGTACAACTGAAAATTGTTTATTTAAACTAGTTAATGAGTTATCTGTTAATTAATTTCTTCCAACATTAATTGTCAATTCAACAAGACTATCAGCAAAATTGACAACATTTTAAATCAATCCACTAAATCCTTCATCTTTAATACAATTGCTTTATAAAGAGTAACCTGAAAAATTAAGAGTAAGTTTTTTAACACCTTTATATGTAGATAATGCTTCTCCTAATTATTAAGCTGATTTATTATCAATTTAAGATTGACTAATAATTTATTTTAATAAACTTACCTAAAATTAAATAAAACTCTTTTAACTTAATTTCCTCCAATTGATTTCACTGCTTTAGATATATATTAAATTGCTCCATTTATATTAGATTATTCTGCTAATACATTTACTTCCTCCAAATTTGGTAATTTAACTTCTTTGAATTCACTGAAGAAATCTTTAGCTGAATTTGCTTAAACTTATGAAGAAAATTAAAATGTCAATACTTTTAATTATTCTGCTTAAGATATTGCTATTAATATAATTTTATTATAATACCTTAAGCAATATGTGATAATCCTTATGCTTTTCCACTTACTCTCCAATTTAACTATAAATTTAAAATACTAGTTAATTTTTATATTGATTCTGCAATTGATTTAGATTCTGCAACTGTAAAATCTCCAATATGAAGTATTATTTATGTTTATGGAGTAATCATAGTATTTAATAATAATGCCAATGCTTCTGCAGTCTCAATATTTAAATTCACAAAATTTTATTATTAAATAGATTAATCATCTTAGATTATGTTCAATAATTGATCACCCAGTTTTTTTATTTAAGAATTCCAAAATTTTAGAGCTAATTCTGTTTTATCTTAAACATCTTAATTTAAACTCTATTCTAAATTTTCTCTATAAAATTGCTCTTTTGTTTTATTCCATACACATAATTCATTAGGAGCGTTTCTCCATGCTCTTACTTTTTTTGTAGTTGTAAACAAATATTCTGGTAACTCAGGAGCTGCTCTTAATTAAGAAATCTATATTTGCTATTAATTTTTTATACTTTATCTACAATTTCCTTTGGCTTAGGAATTGAAGCTTCTTGTTCTGGATCACTTCTCAATACAGTTTATAAAGAATCATAGGCTCTTTAAACATTATTACTTTCTCCTTATGCATTTATAACCAATTTAGATATGATGTTATTACAAGCATTCTCATATCCTTGTTATAATTTTTAATTTAGTTATTTATAAGAATTTACTTGTTCTTATACTTAACTTTCATAAGCGTATTTTTTTTAATCAAAATTATCAACAAGTTATTATGATTCAGCATCTGGAACATAAGCTAATGGAGAATTTTTTGTCAAATCCCTATTTTATAAATAAATTTAAAGCTTATTACTTTAAAAAGTCTTTAATAACAACTAGATCAGATTTTCCTTATGTCTGAAGAGCTCCTTAACTAACTTAACGAGCTGTCAATAATTTACTATTCAAGACATCTTTTTATTCAGAAACTAGTATTATAGGTTCATTATCTGTTGGGTTCAATAATTGGGGAAATTCGAAATCCATTAATTAATTATTTTCTCCTCCCGCCTTCACTTAAATTCAATTATATTGTATATTCTAATTCATTAATATTTATCCAATGAAATTTAATATTAGTAATAATATATATCACAATACAATTAATTGTAATTAAATGAAACCTAAAATCCTTGTATACTTGAAACAAAAATATTTTAAGCCAATCTTTTTAAATATTCCTTATCTTATTTATTTTAATATTATTAGTGTGCCCTTGAACAATATAAAAAACAAAATCAAATATAGATACATATCATACTTTTTTTGTCTTATTTTTTTCAGGATAAAAGTTGAAAATATTTTAGATACTCCCTTTTTAAAGATACTTCAAATTTATATATAGAGTTTTCATAAATATTGAATTCTTAATAAGATTTATTTAAGAACATTATCACTCTAATATATTTAGAACAATAAATTAGATTATTGTAAAATTTAGAAATGAAATATCCAAATATTAACTATTTTATTTAGTATTTCGGTTACGAATTAAAAAGCATTTTTTCTATTTCAAAAGAAAATTACTTAAATTACTTAAGTTTATTCTCATTAATTAATATCATAAAATTTTTCTTTCTGAAAAATATTAATATATCTTTATTTTACAATTTTAAATAATTGATATGATTTAATTCTTTTTAATTTAGATAGTTTTTTGAAGCATTCAATCTAGTTCATTCTATAGATGCAAGATTTAAACTTTTAGAAAAAAAATTATAGAAGTTTTGATTTTTGAATATATCTTAAAACTCTTCTGTTTTTTAGAATAAGAATTATAAGAAATAAGATTTAGAAAATAGCATATATATAATTGTTGAAATGGCAAATTAGACTTTTTTTAATAATATTTGAATGGATTAATTAATTATAATCATTTTATCAAAAATAATTAATGTTTTAACGAGAATAAAGAAATACTTCTAATTCTGGATACAAAAGTTCTTCAAATGCATATGTAATGGCAATGAAAGCTCTTTAAGAAAAAATAAAAGTAATGGAAACTTAAAAGATTGATTTGTAACCTTCTAATAAATTGAAAGTTAATGATGAAGAAATTTTGTCTTAGTAAATACAAGAATTGAGAAATTAAAATGAAACATTATCTATGTAACTATAAAGACAATAAAATGATAAAGAAAATATTAATAATTATATTTTATAAATTGAAGCTTTACAAGAGGAAAGATATACATAATTAAAAGAATACTAAGATCGAGTAGCAGATCTAGTTAAAAAGATAGAAGATGGTAAGAAGGAGAGATAATAAATGTAGAATTAAATTGATCAATTGTAAAAGCAATTAGAACAGTATAAAATAAATGAGAGAGGATTAATGTAGAAGGTGGATTAACAAAAATTAGATGATAATTAAAAATAATAAGAATAAGTATTGGATTTGAAACATAGATTGGAGTAAGGATAATCATATGTAAAAAAATTAGAAAAGAGATATGAAAAGTTATAAAATGAGAAAAATGAATTAGAATCAAATTATTTAGATTATAAAGATCGATGTCCATTATTTAAATTATAAGAATATGAAAAATAAATATAAATGTATAGAGGTTAGTTGGAAGAAAAAGAAAGAGCATTTTTGAAAATGATGGAAGAAATATCAAATTAACGTTAATAGACAGAGGATTAATTGACAAGAAGAATTTAAGAATTATTAAATAAGAGTAATCAATTTTAATCTACAATACATAAATTAACTATAGAATTAAAAGATTTAAACTTAAAGCATTAGTAATTATAATTAAGATTGGAATATGAAGAAAAAAATAATAAATTTAATAGAAATAGATTTAGAAATGCATCTTGTTCAGAAGATCCAGATCAAGATATGGCAACAAATAATTAATATTCAAATTAGATAAATAATCAAAATAAGAAAAATACAAAGTTAAATTTTGAATATTTATAACCTTAAATATCTAGTCCAAGATTTGAATAAAATATAGTAAAATCAAATGTTTTAAAATAAGCAATTAAAGATTGTTTAGAAGATATGAAATAGACAACACCTTTTAAACCTGAAATGCATTTCTAAGCAGATTAGAGTTTATTATAATAACAATAACATTCAAAAAAGAAAGTATTATCACCTCCTATGTCTGCAAGAAATAATGAAACTGAAATGTAGTTAAAATAATTGAACGATCGCTATGAATAATTAATAAGGTAAGCTTAAAAAGAATCTGATTTTAAACAAAAAGCTGTAATTCGAAAAGAATTATTGGATATTGCTGAATAAATAAAAGATATAAATAGAAAACAATGAAAATAAATCAACTTTTTAATAATGATATAATTCACATCTATAATAATTTTTACTTATGCATCTCAGAATTTAGAGAGTGATAATTCATAACTTCTTCGTTTGGAAATTTTTTTCTGCATATAGGGCAAATATATAAAATTAACCTAGTTTAGGCTTCAACTTAATTAATGATAGGTTTTGTAGGGGTTACTTTAACTTCTGGTTTTTTTATCTATTATTATTTTTCCCATTTTTTTAATTCTAATTCTGCCTTTTTTCTAATTTATGCTTCAGTTAATTGAGGTTATACTTTATTAATAGATTTAGTAGGAAGAGGAGATGGCTAATCATCTTCTTTATCAGATTTGACTTCCTCTTCTGTTTCTTCTATTTTTTATTATTTTTTTTATTATTATGATTATTAAGGATTTTGTTATTATTATTATGGCTTTGGTGTATAAATTTTTGGTGGAAGTTGAGACATTAAATTCATTGGAGGAGTAGACAAAGTAAGTTTCTATTCTTATTTAAGTATAATTCTCTCTTAAGCTAATTAAGCAGTTTGATATGGAGCTTATACTATAGGTTAAACAATTGAAACTTCTGGCATTTGAATTGGTATTTAAGGTATTGATTATGTTTATGGCGATTAAGTATGTTATATTGGTGTAATTTAAGAAATTTAATGAATTGGTATCGGAGAAGGTATTGGCATAGGCATTTATATTGGCAATGGAATTTGCATTTATGGTTATTATTGTTGTTATATGATATCTTATGGTTATTATGCTTAAGATGATTGATTCGCTTAAGAGGAAAGCTGAGATTAAATTTAGGATGGAATTTATTGTTATAATGGTCCTTAAGGTTATATTACAAATTAGCTATTTGGGTAAAATCTAAGTTTAGACTAAAAGTTTACCCAAACGGTTTCGAATGATCTTCATATCTTGAAGCTCTATTATTTCTTGAATACTAGATTATTAGTTAATCACCATGTAATCTGACCTCATTTTGAGTAACGTGCCTATAAACATTCTCTGCATCTTCAACACTGAAGAATTCAACAAAGGCAAAATCTTTTTATTCTTTCATTCTAGGATCCTTGGGTACTTTGTTTTTGACTAATCTTATATCTTTAACAGCAGCCAAAGGAGAAAAGATATCTAATATATCACTATCAGTGGCATCTGCTATTGACTTTATTTAAATATAAGAAATAAATACTTTTGCTTTTATCATAAGACTAGTGTTACATATTGAATCATCTGTAAATCCAGTAGGAGGAGCCATCATGACACTTAATATTTTACAATTAATATTTCTTGGATTTAAACATTTATTGCATTTGTGTCTTTTTGCAAAATTTTCATAACCACATTTATCACATATCCAATCATAACTTGTAGGAGGCTAATTAATTAAGCTATTTTTTAATTCATGTCTATTCTAATTATTATTATTATATTCATTACTCTTCTCTATCTACCACTAGTATCATCATAAAAATCTACATTAAGAGTATGTTCTCCTATTTAAATTTTACCTTTTAAATATATTAAAACTTTTCTTGCATAATCCACTGTACAATATTTTATATAGGCTTACCCAAATGCATTTATTATAGAAATTTCTTCATGAGGAATTACATTTGCTTCCATTGCTGCTTCATTAAAAGCACAATCCAATTATTACTTTGTTAAATCTTCTGGTAAATTCTCCAATAATAATACCATATTATCATGATTTTTAGGCCTATAACGAGGTATTTTTTCAGAACTTGATGATGATTCTGATTAAGAAACAGAAACTGAAACTGAAGATGATGGTCTAGATATGCTTGATGATGAGTATTTCCTATTCTTTCTCTTTTAATGGCGATCCTTTCTTTTTCTATCATTTTTATTATCATATCTATCATTTCTATCATTATTTCTTTCATTATTTCTTTCATTGTTTCGATCATTATTTCGATCATTATACTTTTCATTTCGATCATAATTTTATTTTTCATTCACATGCTTATTATTCCGCTCATTATTTTTATGATGAAAATCCATTTTTATTTAAAATAATATTAAATAATCAATACTAATATACACTTATAATTAAAAAATAAGCCAAACTACATTCTTCAATTCTAAATATCAAGAAAAGAATTAATAACATTCTTATTCAATGTTTATTATAAGTAATAAATACAATAAAATAATAAATTATTCATAAAAAAAAAGTCATAATTGTATTATATAAGATTTATTGTTTATTTTATCAATTTTCCTATTGATATTATGAGTTCTATAATTTTATATTTAAATTTATTTTTCATTTTTTTTATAAGCATCCGTTTTATATATTTTAATATTAAAAATGAAGAAGAGTTTTCTAATAGTAGTGTCTTTATTCCTTTTTGTTAACGGAATTTAACAAAATAATGGAATACTTGATCTTTAAAATTTAAAAGCGCATCAACTATTCACAAAAGTATAAAAAAATGTTACATAATAAGAATGTGTAATTTGATTAAGATTTTGATGAAATTCCAAAAGTGATCGTATCCATAAAATAAATAATCGGAGAGCAATATGAACTTTACACTAGAACTAGCAATATCAATTTGAAAGGTATATATACATTGTTTTACTTAGATAAGGATTTGATTTATAGATAATCAGCTCATCCAATATTGATAATATCAGAATAAATTATTTAGCAATAAATGATGACTAATTAAATGTTGTTTGTGAAAATTACTAAACCAAAAAAGATGAAATAAAAGTTCCTGTAAACTTGGAACACTAACAAGTTGTAGCATTTATTACGGGCTTGAAATTATAAAAAAATGAAAACATTTACTTCAAATTAAGTTCTTTAACTAACTAATAAGTTGTTTTTCAGACTAAGCAAAAAGCTGTGGGTCTTTGTTTAGTTTTTGGTGATGAAGATAAAATTGCAAAAGCTTAATCAATTATAACAACTAAATAAAAAGGAAATATGTTAGAGTTCGATGTTGAGAATATTGAAGAAGCTATAAAATTGTAATTTTAGTTTGATTATTATTAGACCTTTAGATAATTAAATTTTATCTTTTGATGATATTGTTAGCAAATTATCAATTGAGAATAACGAAGTAGAATAACAAGCTTCAATCTAAAATGAAGAAGAAAAATATCTTGATATTGATAGTATCTAAATAGAAACTTTAGGAATTAATAATATTTAATAGAATATTGAAGATGAAGTTATTTAATCTGTTGAGATACAATTTTTGAATCCTTAAACATCTGTAGAAGCTGAATAATTGTTGAATATAGAACAAAATAACACCGAAAAGGTTTAATAAATTAAGGATGAATCATTAGATGAATAAATGAAAATAGAATAACTAGAAGAGAAATAGTTTTTAGCTTAAATAAATTAAGTAAGTGTTGAAAATATACAAAATGTTTAAAATTAAATTTAATAAGAAATTATTATATAAGAAGCATATAATATAGTTCCATAAGCTGTTGATGAGCTAGATATGGATGCTTTATATAAAGAATATACTTTAAACTAAGAATTTAATTCTGATTAATTTAATTATAATAACAATAAAATTGATGAATAATAATAACAATAATAATAACAATAATAATAATAATAACAATAATAATAAGAAAGTTTGGAAGTAATTGAATCAGTTGATATTATATAAGATTAATTAGTAAATAAAATATAATCTGAAGTAATTATTGATTCAAATATCGAGGAACCATAAAAAAAGATTATAGATTAAAATTTATATAAAATAGATATACCATTATTTGATGAAGATTTAGAATTTGATAATATTGATATAGAATTAGATTAAAAAAAAGAAGAAAAAAAATAATAAGCATCTCCTGTTTAAAATATAATTGATGTTTATAATGCATTTGCAAGTGAAGAGGCAGAAAAACTAAATAAAAAGGAGAATGAAGAAAATCCATTTATAGAAGTGGAAACGGAAACGTAACCTGAAGAAATGTCTGATGAAATGGAAAATAAGTTAGATGGGCTTAGAGATGGTTTAGAAGGAGTTGATTTTTCTTTATTTTTTGATGAATTTTCAAATCCAAATGAAAAAGTTGTAAATGAAGAACCAGAAATAAAATAGGAAGAATAATTAAATAAAAAAATTTAATAAAAATTTGAAGAACCAAAATAATTTAAATAACCTAAAGAAAAGATAGAAGATGTAATGAAAGATCTCTAAATAAAAACTGAAATAAATACAACAGAGGATGAAAAAATATTAATTACTTAACTGAAACAGAAATCAGCAGAATTGAAAAAGAAATTATAAGATTAATATGATGCAGTTCCTAAATTGGAATAAGCAAAGAAGTAAACAGAAGTATCGATTCATTCAATAGATGACTAATGTAAATAAAAAAATAAATAAATTAGATCCAAAAATACAAACTGATTCTAAAACAAATTATGAAGTAGAAAACAAATATGTTGAATGGTCAATGAGCTAAAATGAGAAAATTAAGAAAATAGGATTAAATTTAACAGAAGATGATTTGAGGAATCCAAGATTTTCATTGTTATAAATGGATTAAAAATCAGAACTTGATATTTAGAAGTAAATAAACGAATTCTTGGGACTTGATGACTTATCATTTGTAATGATTAAGTAAAATCTGAGAAGAAGATGACATATATTAAAATAATACATTTAATTATTTTATGAAAGGAATATAGCTCTAGAACCAACTCAAAAGAGACAAGAAAATGAACATAAAAAATTTTTATATTGTAGGCATGATTGGTTAGGGTATTTTTTCCATTAAATTAACATAGGAGCATATTCTGAGGTTTTTGAGGCTATTTATTTAAAGAACAATAAAAAAGTAGCAATCAAGAAAGTATTTAAAGAATAAATCACACAATCAAATAAACAAGCAGAAATTTATATAGAAAGACATATGATGAAATAATATTCATAAAAGCATCCAAGTTATTAATTTTCTATGTTTTAGGTATGGTTGAATTTATTGGGAGTTTTTAGGATAAATAGTTTTTATATTTCGTTTGTGAACATTGTCCATTTGGGGATTTAGGAAATATTGTATACGATATTTATTAAGAGTTCAAAAAAGGTATATCTTTAGATGTTGAAAATCTTATTAAAATTTATATTTATTAAATAGCAAATGCAATAATCTATTTACATAAGGAAGGGATTGCACATTTAGATATCAAGCCAAAAAATATAGTTATTGATAAAAGTTTTAATTTGAGATTAACAGATTTTGCAACTTGTTATTTTTTTGAAGAACATAGACAACCTCCTGAATTGATTGAACAAATAAATAAATTTTAGCATAATTATATAAGATCAATAAAGAAGATGGAAAGTGAAATTGGTGAGTGTAGATCTACATTTGTTGGAACTCCAGAATACATATCACCAGAAATGCTTATTCACAGTAGAGCATCAAAAGAAGCGGATTTATGGGCTTTAGGGTGTATAATTTATGAAGTAAAATATTACTAAAATAATATATATATAGTTTTATCATGGAAAATAACCATTTTCCAATTAAAATGAGAATGTTTTTAGTAACATTTTAAATCTAAACTATGAACTCGACAGTAAATTACCAGAAGATGTATCTGATCTTATTACTTCCTTATTAACTTTAAATCCTTAAGATCGTTTAGGATATGAGAATTCAGAATAAATCTTAATTCATAAATATTTTGATACTATTAGACATTTTGTACCATGGTAGGATGAGATTGAAATACCAAATTAATGTAAAATACTATACTAAGAAATAATTCCAAATCAAAGCAAGTCAAGTTTAATTTATTAAACTACATCAACCAATGTAGAAATGAAATAATAATTGATTCGCAGAAGATAAGATAGATTAAAAACTATTATTGAGGAATTAGATGAATCAGCAACTCCTTTACCAAATAATATCAAAAGAACTCAATAGATTTTTCAAAAGCAAGATGCTCAAATTACATTTAAATAATCAATTACTTATTCATCTAATAGATTAGATCCTGAAATTCAATCTAATATGAGTTTAAAGTAATTTAATAAATCTGTTGGATTTATATAATTAAATTCAAATAGATGGTTTTGTATTCCTTAAATAGCTATATTGTTTGGATATCTTAAACCTCCTTGTCTATTAATAGACTTTATTAAAGGAGAAAAGAAATATCTACCAATCGATGATACGATAAAAATATCATTTGACGGCATTTATTATGTATTGAAGTACTCTAATTAATTAGATTCTGGAATCATCATAATTTTTTTATAAATTCAAAGATGCAGAAGCCAGTCCAATAAATTGGATTAAAGTGGTTGAAAAAATAAAAAATGAATATCTGGGTAAATGATTAAAATTAATTACAATAAATCATTTCCCTGATGAATTTGAGTAATTAAAGAATTTAGCTTTTGGAGTATCATTGCTAGAATTCCAAAATTTAGGACTCCTTTCCACAGCATAGTATTTTTATTTGGTTTATAATAATTCCTTCTCCATTGATTGATACTTTAAACTTCTTGTAGGTTATGCTTGAATCAAATTCTGAATTTCCTATTTGCAATCCTTTAATGATAAATAAGCTAAAATTACAATAACTTCTTATAGTAATAATTGAACAGATTAGATTATCTTCTCTCCATCTCCCAATCTATTTGATCTATTTTTATCTAATCCGAGAATCTAGTATAATTTACACATTTGACTATTTAATCTTTAATTCTCAAGTAGAAGTTTTTACTATTAATTAAATATGATTATTACTGTGTCATAAATTAATTTCGAATGAGCCTCAACACCGTAATATGATTTAAATGATCCATCTGAAAGTCTATATCTATGTGATGATGAAGGTGTTTCTCTGATTGACATATCATGAGCAGAATCAGAATATTTTGATCCAGGAATATGTTAACTTCCAACAGATCCTCTTTTTGATTTCAAAACTTCATCTTATAAAATTTAAACTTTAAATAGAGCTTATTCTTTTTATTTACTTATTTATTAATTCTCATATTCTCTTTCAGCCTATAAAAATATTAAGAATATAACTATTACCAATATGGCATTGTGTTCTTATTCAAGTCTTGAATATTAATCTTTTATTTATTTTATTTCATCTTCCTATTATTAACAAAATTAATTAGCCTTCTCATGCACTTCTTTCAATGTTTATTCACTTTATATTAATGCCTACTCTAGTTATTCAATAATCTTATATTAAATCATCTTTTACTTTCATCTTCTAATCTAAACTTTATTTTAATTTTCTGTTTTCCTTTGTCAATTAATCTTATGAATTAAATGAAGCATTTAACATCGAAGCACTACTTGAATTCTAAAAACCATGCTCTTTCTAAGGGGTTTTTTACTAGAAAATTCTTTTCTAAGTCTTACTCTCTGAACTACCATATAAAGTTTGACCCTTTAAATTATTTATTTATTTACTTTTATTCCTTTTATTGGAGATAGAGTATTATCAATCTTACTTAATAACTCAGATGCTTCATAAATTTTTTACTTTTAGTTATGCTTCTTCTCAAAGTCTAGTTATTGCTAAATCTTTTTATTTTATTATTTATAATCTTCTACTTACTTTAATTAAAATTCTAACTCTCTTCTTAATCTTTCAACTTCTCTTTTATATGAATCACCTTAAGTATCATTTATTTATAATTATTGCTTTAAAGAAAAAAGTTCTTTTGAAAGATTTGTCAATTAATTAGATTATTATAAAATCTAATTTGTTTAATTTAATTTATTCTATTCTACCTAATTCATCAATATAGTTTAAGATTCTAATTATTGAGTTTTGTATTTTACTTAATCAGACAATTTATAAATGGCTTCATCCTTTTTCAAAACTTCTTACTTCTCATAATTTAGATCTTATTGAATTTCATCTATTTAATTCAACAACTTCTAATTCTCTAATTTTAAATTTTCATAATTCTATCTTATTTACATGTTCTATTCTCTTTATTCTTATTCTGACTTTTTTATTTCCATCTATATTTTTCTACTTTGTTCCAATTCCTCTTAAATTATGAGCATTTCTTAATTAAATTTCTACATTTCATTTTATTACTATTATGCTAAGACTTTATTCTTTTGTTTAATTTCCTAAATTTCCTTTTTTGCATGCTATACTTCCTCTTGTTAAATATTTAATTGAGCTTATGACTACTAATATTTTTATTGAATATCCGTTGAACTTTTTGATAATTCATTCACTTTTCCTTATAATATTTACTTTTATAATTTAATCTGTTCCAACTCTAATATTTTATTTTCTTACTAAGAAATCTGTTCAATTAATTTTATTTTTTCTTAATTTAATTAATCTACCTCTTTCTTAAGGGTTATTACTTACTATTATTAATTTTCCAATAATTTGTTTTGTTTCTAATTTTCTTATTTAAGAGAATCATTTTCATTTTTTTGACTTTAATATTATTAAGAAACTTATTAAAATAAATTAACCTCTTTACTTAATTTATCTACTTCTTTTTTGTAATGAATAACCCAAATCTTTTATTCCTCAACTCCTTAATTGCTTGATACCAATTATTACTACAAATCTTTAATTTAATTTTTCAATTAATTAGCAGTTGTATCTTTTTCTTTTACAACAACCTGCAATTTTGCTTCTAGCGAATTAATAACCTATTCCTTTTACTAAATTTCCTCTTAATATATTTATCTTTCCTTTTCCAAGTCTTTAATTTTTTTTTCAGAAGTCTTTATATTTTAAGTATTTTATAAATTCTATTATTTATTTACTATGTCTTCTGCTTCTAATCTCTTTTGTAAATTATCTACTTCACTTTACTTAGATTATAAAATCTCATTCAAAGACTTCAACTTTTCATCATAAATTTGAATCGATGAATTTTCTTTAATTTACAATTCATTAATTATTTATTATTACTTTTCCAATTAATGATTTATTTAATCGATTGTTCCTTTTAATTCAGAATTGCAATTAGAATATTTATCTATTACTTTTGAGGCTTCAGCTAATCTATTACTATGATCGTCAAGATCCTCTTTTAATTTAGTAATTTCAATATCTTTTTCTTTAATAATTTCAAAAAGAAGATTTTATTAATTCATAAAGTCTTCATTTTGAACTTATAAATCATATTCTTTTTATTCATTTTCTGCTCTCAATTGTTCAATTACTTAATCCTTCTCTGGTAAAGCCTTGCTTTGTAATTCAAAACAATTATCTTCAAATTCTTTTTGTTTTTCATTTACTTAAGATAATTATACTATATGTTCTTCTTATTTGGTTATTAACTCTTATACTGTCCTGTTTAATTCTTCATTCTTTATCTAAAGTTCTTCTTCTTATTTTTTTATAATAATCTTCTTTTCTTCTAATTATTATTAATAACTTTATTTAATGTCCCCAATTTCTAGATCTTTTTGTTATATTTTTCTCTGATAATCATTCTTTTTTTATTCTAATTCTTTATCTTACTGCTATAATATAATTTTTTATTATTCTTTAAGTTCTTCAAATTAAATTTATTTTTCTTCAAGCTATAACTCATAATTATTTCTTTATTAATCTATCTCATATTCTAATCTATCTTAGTTTTCTTTTAGAAGCTAAAGATATATAGAAATTTACCTCATATTCTTTATTTCTATTTTCCAATTATAATTATCTCTCTGTTAATTCTTTCTTCAATAATGTATTTTAATTTGTTAATTGTATCATTTATATTTAAACCTCTGCTTCTTATTGATTTAAGAATTGATCCAATTATCTTTTATTTTGATCCATTAGTTAATCAATTTCTAATTAATGTTTTTTTACCAGAGCTTAAATTTGATTTTCTTGCTCTTTTTAAATACTACTTTTTTCAATTTTAAATTTATTGTTAATGACTTACAGTTCATTTTATTTGAATTATTCTTATTATTCCAATTATTTAAGTAATTCTTAAATTTATTTTAACAAATCATCTATTTATTATTTATTTTCTAATTAGATATTTTATTTTTCTCTAATCAATTAAAGATTTTATTATTTAAGTTCACTGTTTTCTTTTAAATTAGAATCAATTTATATGATTAGATTATTTTATTCTTTCATTGAATTCTGTAATTAGATTAGTATTGTTTCATTTTATTCTTTCTATTCCTATAATAAATTATTTAAATCTTTTAAATTATGATTATTTTAGATTTATAAATTTTCTTTTTCAGTTTATTAAGCAATGATTTACTATTTTAATTAATCATTTTCAGTTTATAATTGATTTACATTTATATTTAAAGTTTCTTACTATTTTTGCGTTTATTACAAATCATGTTATAATGATTAAAGTTATTGATTCAATAGATGAATTTCTTATTTACCTTCATCTATTTTTTGGTTTAATAGATGGGTTTCTTATACTTATTTTTGATTTTATTCTAATATTTATGATATTTCTTATTCTTTTTAGACTAATAATAGATTTAATTGTTCAACAGCTCTACTCTTGAGTTCTAATTATTCATTTTATTAATCTAAAGTTAAATCTCTTTACTTATGATCAATAATTTTAATTTCATCCTCAAGTTCAAGTGTAATTCCAATTTTATCAAGAGATTATTTAATTTTTTCATCTTTGTCTGATTATTTAGTTAATTATTAATTAAGTTTTTCTTTTTCACTTTGTAATTAAGTAAATTCTTCTACAGGTACATAAACTTAAGAAAGTTGTTATTAAATTTATTTTTGTAATTTTTTTCTTTCATCTAAAGATCCCTAATAAAATAAATGAAATGTATTACATTAACAGTTGAAACAATAGTGTTGAGCAATTAAACATTTTCATTAATTTATAATTTAGCTTTTTCAACATTTTTAGCTGAGCCTTCTTTGATTCTAAGACTGTCTGAGAATTTCTTCATTACAACTGCTTGACTTAAAAGTGCTTTTGAGAGTTCTTCTTAATAATCATTAGATAAATCTTCAGCTCCATTAGCATGTTTTAATCTGACAATTTGTTCATTTTACAATCTAATAATTAATTTTAATTATTATTCAAGCTAAGAACTTAATTAAAAAGCTTCTCTTAATTCTTTAATACCACTTAGGTACTTTTCGATTTCGACATGAAGAGCAGTTTCACTTTCAGTAGATTGTTCAAGATAGACTTTTAGTATTTCTTCTAGTTTGATATATCTTTGATCAGTAGCATTGAGATCTTCGAAATTAATATTATGCATAACTAATTAATAAATGAGTTATTTACTGATATTTTATTTAGATGGAGATTCATTTAATTTAGATGTAGTTTAGAGACCTACAATCCATTTAGCTAATTCTTATTTTAATCTTTTAATTTCATTTTTGAGACTTTCTAAAGATCCACTTTCATCTTCATTGACTCTAGCTTTATTCTTTACTTATTTGACTCTTTTAGAGAACAAAAGAGTAGAGAGTGTTTCTTAATAAAATAAATTAGATTATTGTATATTAGCAATGAGATGAGTTCTAGAATTACCTCCTAGAGAATCTTTAAGTAAGAATGTTAATTTAGAATCTCTATAATGAACATATCTATTTTATTCTTTATCTTCTACAAGTGAGTTAATAACATTTCCGAGAATGTGAAGACTTCTATTAATTTAGCAACCCTCTCTAAGTCTTTCACCTTAGACTTAAGTATGTTTTTATCGTTCACTACCAGCTAGATCTACAAAATGAAATCTTGAGAATCTATGATTGATAAGTGAATGACTTTATCTTCTTGATTCTAATTAAACAGTGAAAACACTATGTGAACGTGAAGATTCAAAATTCATTTAAGTTGATGAGATATGTCTATTTTCATTGCCTCGTTAGACAACTTCCATTGCTTCTACGACATTGGCACAACATTCTTCTGTCAGAAATTCAACGTATACTCCTTTATTTAGATCCTCTCGTAGTTGTAAGTTACCCAAATCAGGATTAAGAAGATCAATGATATGTTCATTATAAATTTCGAGATGTGAGCACTTGATTAAATATTCAACTGAGGGATCTTTTTCTTAGTCCTCAAATACACATCCAAAGAGATAATCTATTATACGTGGTAAAAGTCCTGGCTATTGTGATGTTCCTGTCATAGTATAAGTTTTCCCTGACCCTGTTTAACCATATACAAACACACATCCGTTGTAGCCTAAAATTACAGTTAATCATACCTTCTAAACAATTGCTGGCTTATTGTAATCCAATCATCTAAAAAATATCTTCCTATGTAGTATCTGCTCCAGCTACATTATCAAATGAGAAGAATTTCTACTCTTACTGATTCTATCCTTCTATGATAATGGTATTCTTCAGGTTTGGATCAATTCGAATACACGTCTTTCCCTCATCAAACATGGGTCTAGTTACATGTCTTTTTAATGTACTTTATTCTTATTGAAACTTGTATGTTATCTCGTTCTTGTTGTTTCCTTTCTGTCATTTTAATTAAATAAATACAATATTTTGTCAAACCTTTCATACGCATACCCCTTTATCATTATTCATAATTTCATTCCATCTATCACATAAATACTTAAAAATTCTCTCTCATATCTTAACCTATTCAAATCCATCAACTCATTTAATAAAATGATGAAAGATAACTTTAAATCTATTGCCTATCTTATTTAGAAACTCAAATCAGCATTAATAACATATACTAACATTTTACTCTAATAAATTAAAAGTAGAAATATTGAATCAAATTAATATTTGGAATATGCAATAATATTAATTCAAAAAATACTAAATCCGGAATTCTATCTCAAAGAATATATTAAAACTATATATTAAAAAAAAAATGCATACAATTATTTAAATTAACTAAAAATATCCTGATCTAAAGTAAATTGCACAATTAGTAATAATCAAAACAATTCCATGAAATGAATTTAAGAAATAATAAAAAAATTGACTGCAAATATACAGAATCATTCTAAACACTAAATCTAGTAGAAAATTCAGAGTTCAACACAAACAGATATACCTGAATAACATAATTTGCTAGAATAATTATAAAAACATAAAAAATCATTGAGATTTTCATTTAAACCTAATTGATACTTACTTTTGGATATGTAAAATCAATTAGATTGAATTTTATTCTGCAGACCGATTTTAAATGGTCATTGCTATTAAAATTACTAACCTAACCCCTTCTAATGAAAAGCAAATTTATATTGCTTAAATCTAATTTATATTTAAATTAAATTTCAGATTACTTTTCATTTATATTTGACTGTCAGATCAAATTAATCAAAGAAAAAAAAAGTTGATTATTAAAATTTTGTAATCTAAAAATCTAAAAAGTGGTATTGATGGAAAGCTAATCAGATGTTTGATTTGGCCAATTTTTTAAACATTTTTTATTAAAAATATATGATTTTATTGATTAAGTTAGTGTAACTAGAGAAGAAAAAAATAAAAATATTATATCTAAAAAATAATTAGAAAATTGTATCCAAAAAGAAATAAAAAAAAGTTCTTAAAATTATTATATTAATCCAATTGTAATTAATGTTAAAAATGATAAAACACAATTAAATAAGTTATTAGATGATATAAAAATTGTTGATAACGCAAAATCCATCGTTTATTACCAAATTAATACATTATTTTAGGTTAAATGGAGTTATACTTTGTTAAGAAATCATTTTGATGAACAGAAAATAAAAATATATTGAATTCTAATTAATATCAACAGAAGTGAATGAGAAAAAGAAATTAAAAAGTTTATTAAATTGGTTGGATAAAAGTGATTGTATGTTTTTCATGAATACTTAAATCTCTTTGAGATAGAGAATCATGTTGATAACCTAGATTTCAGGAATTAAATTAATAAAAACTCATTACAAATCTATGACGTCAAAATGCTCGAGTAATTGGAATGAAAATTTGGAAACAGATTTATAGATTTTTTGTTTTAGTTCCCTTAAGGATGGCTATATATTTTTCAGTAAAATAGCTGGACTTCCAGAAGGAGCAAAGCCAAATCGAAAGTGAACTTTTTAAAGGTAGGAAAAATAAATTTATATATGTTTATTATTTAATTATGTAATAAATTACAAATTAGAAGTTTGAGTCACTTAGAGAACAATTAGTCACATCCTATAAATAATCTCAGATATTTTCTACATTGAGACATTAAAACCAGCTATACTAATCTTCAATTATTTAGAGTTAAGAGAGTTTTTTAGAATAGAGTAACATTGAATAGGAATAAGGAACGTTACATTCATCAGTTAAATCTACTAAGAAAAAAAAATAATAAGCCAGAGTGGTATACATTTTATTTATACCTATAGATGAATTCTTAATACAATTAAAAAGAAATATTTTAAAGTTTTACTAAAGGCATTATTCCAAAAATCATTCTTATATAAAGGAACTATCGGAGATATTTAAATAGAAAACTTTTTCATAAAAAACTTAGGTAACTTAGAAATAGGAAATATGTTGTTGTAGAATTTCACTAAATTGAAAAAAAATATAATGAAGACCTAAATATTATTGTTGGAAGAATGATGTCAGATATTAGGTAATTATTTAAATTTGCTATTTAGTCAGACGTAATGCTATTCTAACTGAAGATGAATTAATATCTCTGTTTCTTAATGTTGAACAAATACAAAAACTTAATGTTAAATTTTTTTATACCATTTAATGTAATTTACATTTCTATTTAAGAAATTTTGCAAAAATATAGACATTTTATTATTATATCCCAATAATTTAAGAATTAAATTCCTTTTTTCAAAATCTATTATGAGTATTGCAGTAGATTTTAATTAGAAAATATCAATAAATTAAGAAAGGACAAGGTAGCTTATAATTATTATTTTTAGGCAGAATTCAACTCTTATATTTAAAATATAGAGGCAAATGGAATTTTAAATGGTTTGACTTTTGAATCATTTCTTGTTAAACCTGTATAATAATTACCTAGATATGTTTTGATGATAGAAAAATTAATTAAATATACTGAATTGAATCATCCTGATTATGCTGGACTTAAATAAATACAAGAATAATTCTCTAAAATCAATGAATAAATCAACCAAATGATGAATACGTAACTAAGTTAATAATTTACTTAATAGAACATAAAGTAATTTGAAATTACTGGCGTAATTCGGAACAATTGATTAATAGGAAATTGAGAAGATCTAAAAAAAGTAGCAAGAAGAAGAACAATTCCTAAAAAAATTATAATAATAAGTTTCTATATAAATTGTATCCTCTTTCAAATAGAAGGATGGAATCAATACATTTATAGTTTATATTGTCTAAGTACTATATCTTTCATATTTAAAGATTTAAATTAATAATTATAGAATCAGAACATATCAAAGGTTTAGTGATTTAATTGAACTTGAATCTATTTTATTGAATAATAATTTTGGAATAGATTAATTACAAAATAACTGTATAAATTTAATTTCAGAGAATCAATTAATCAAAGCTAGATAAGAATATATCTTAAATTTCTTAAAATCCATATTTTTGAATTAATCAATGAAACAATATCAAGATGTTCTCATTTCCCATCTTGACCTCCCTGAAAATTTTTTTATTTTAGATAGTATACAGAGTGATACATTAGTTACAATTAGAGGTAGTTATACAACTCAAATGAGAAATACTTAATTTTAAGAAGATGAGTTTGAAATTATTGTGATTTTACCAGATGATAAAAGTATTACTTTATAAATAACTTAACATTGTAAAACTATTGATTTAATTGATACTGTTTGTAGATCAATATTTTTAGATAAAAATTTTGATTTCAAATTGATGATTATTTAAAACAATAATTGTCGTTATCTTGATGATAATGAAGTTGTTTATAAAGTAATGAAAAATTACAATCAAAAATAAAAAAGTATATTATAGTATGATTAAATTTTTAGATTTCTTGTCTAAATTTTGTAATGGTATCTATTATTCAATAAGTTCATCACAATAACCGAAATTTTATTTAAAGAAATATTTATATTTGTGTTTTGAGATTGAATTTTAGGAATTTAGTAAAAATAAAATGAGATCGCAATTATTATTTTATTAAGAATTATCATAATTGAAATTGAATCATTCTCGCATGAGTCAAAAAGAATATGTATTTTTATGTGCCTTAGCTATATGTATTTTATACAATAATGAAGTACATAAGATGAGAACATTTGAATAAGTAAGAATGCAATGGTTTTAAAACTATGTGCCATTATTAATTTTAAATAATACTAAAAAATCAGATTGGAAAAAATAAATATTTTAATAAATTCAAAATATTTTAATTCAATTTTAAACCTAAAAATATTAATTAGAGGGCAAAAATGAAATCAGATATTTTGAAATAGAATTTCTAAATAATCTATATAAATAAAAACTACATGGTATAAAAATATTTACAGTAAAAATGTTACATAATTCACTTTTGAATAAATAAAAAAGAATGCCTCTTAAAGTAACTTTAGGTATTTTACATAATGAAATTTTGATATTTGAATAAAATCAATATATTCCATTAATGCAATTACCAATTTAGTAATTGTAGCATCTATCAATTTAAAACAGTATAATGGAAACTGCATTTATAGAAGGAACAATAACGTTTTAACATTAATCTATTTTGGAAGCCTATAGATTAATGGAAGAATACTAATAAATTAACCTTTTGAAATAAAAATTTGGTTATTCGGATATGATAGATACAAACGATGTCAGTTAAAGTTAAATAATATGACTTTATTTATTAATTTATAAATTTTTGAGTTTGAATATCATAATTGATTAGAGTATTTCATAAATCTACAATTATTTTATCTTTTCCTACTAATTCTTATTAACTTTCATTTAATTAATTATCTTAAGATTGATCTGTATTAGAATTTTGTTTTATATTTTTAATATATTTTGAATCACTTTGGGAAATATTATTAACTCTTTATTATTTAAGTTCAAGCCATGGATATTTTTTTTGAATAATTGCAGTAGAAAATTCAGCTCTACAAAATGGACAATTTTTTTATTTTTCTAACCAAGAACTTAAACATTTTTAATGAAAGATATGAAAACAAGGTGTTACAGAACAACTTCTTTATTATTTTTTTTATCCATTTTTTATTGATTCTAAACAAATAACACATTCTTCAAATTATTTTAAGCCAGGATATAATTGTACAAGTTTTTTATAAGAAATGACTCCAAAATAATCTTTAATAAATTTTTAAGTAAACCCTCAAAATAATATATAATATTACCAGAATCTTATTTTTATCTAGGTATTATTTCTAGATTGATTTAATGAATCCTTTCTTACCTCATGCGAAGAGCTTATTATTATGCTTATAATTTCTTAGTTTTCAAAAAACTTAAAACACAAGTTATTAACAATAAAACTCCCACAACTGATCCAACTGCTATTATTATTATTTTATTCCTTTCAAGTTATCCATAATCTGTAGATTCATTAGATATAATTGTAATTTAAAATTTGGCTTATTAAGACTTATTATTAAATAATCCTATATAAAGAATATTGCTATCGAACTAACTGTCATTTAATTAAGAGAGTTCCTCCTATAAAGAAGTGCTATTGCTTAAGACTTTGCTATGAGACAAATTGGGAATTTGTAATTAAGGAATTTATCTTTAGGTCAAACTATATACTAAATATAGATTAATACAAATTTACATACAGTTTTATCATCATTAGGAATATCAGATAATAATTATAAATCTAGGCTTTTATATTAATAATAAAAAAAGATCCACGAGTATGCATTTAAAGTAATATCTTATTCATTGCTACTCAAAATAAAGCTTGATTATAGTTAACAAAAGAAACCAATTTAATTAATTTGGCATTCACAAAAATTATTTTGACAATAAGATTAACTAATGGATTTAGTATCATTATAGCCCTAACAATCATTAATGCAGCCCTTATTATATTATTCTTCTTTATAAGTTAATTAATATTCAATTAGATTAGTTGATTATGATTAACAAATCAAGTAGATTGTATTGAAATAATAGTACTCTATGAGTTAAGAATCACTATTTGATTGTATACTATGTAAATCATAAACAATTTTATTTTCCTATTAAATATTTAAATTATCTATGTCGAATGATTTTGATTCTAAATTTAAGTTTGACACAAAACATGCCACTTTAGAATCTTTGTTTCTATTCTAAGGTAATTAAAATTTGATGATTATGCTAGGAGCTTATTGAGTAAAATTAGTATTTAAATTTAATGTCTGATTAATTTGAAGTGTTCCATAATGATGGTAAGCATAACAAGTGTAAAACAAAATCAATATGATCATTTTAATAATAATATATTTATATTTTAAATGGGAAATTAATGTAAAGGTTAATATTGTTACAATGAATATAGAGAAGAAGTATCTCATACTCCACTAGATATTTTCAATAAAATAGTTAAGATATAAGCAATTATACGAGGATTCCTTTCTAGAAGATAAAGGTTTATATTGAAAAATAATAAATAAATTTTATTTGAAGAAAGAAGAATTTTGGAAAAATTTGGATTTAAAAAATTGGAACACATTTTAACATACAAAATTTTAAAAAAGAAAAATATAAAAATTATAGAAGAAGAAACATAAGCATATGTAGGTGAAATAAATAGTTAAAATTAACCACATGGAATAGGAAGGATTCTTTATAAAAATAATAGTTATAAAGAAGGAGAATTTTAGAATGGAGAATTACGTAAAGGAATATATTATTTTAATGATGTTACATTACAAGGTTAATTTTAAAATAATTTATTACATGGAAGAGGAAAAAGCAAATTCAAAGATGGAACAATATATGAAGGAGGATATGAAAGAGGAGTTAGAAGTGGATATGGAAAATTAATAGATATTTATGGAAACATTTTTGAAGGTCAATTTAAAAATGGTTTATTAAATGGGGATGGAGAATTCGTTGGAAAAGATGGTAGATATTATAATGGAGAATGGTTAAATGGAAAATATCATGGAAAAGGAGAACTTTTATTTCCAGATGGATAAAAATATGTTGGATAATTTTAAAATCATCGTAGACATGGTCTTGGTTAATTAATTACTTAACATGGTTAATATAGTGGAACTTGGAAATATGGAAAATAGTATGGAGAAGGAAAATTAATCTTTAATGGTTAAGAAATCAAATATATTAATGGATTTCGTAAATGATTCTGCAAAAAATTTCTACTCAATATTATAATTTTTATAACTATAAACATTTTATATCAATTATTTATACAATATTAAATTAAATTAACTTTAATTAAAGAAGAATTATATTAATCTAAATTATATTTCTTAATTATAAAATATGAATTAGAACATTAATCATTTGGTTCTTCAGAAAATAAATTTTTTTTTTTAAACTTAATCTCTTCATTTAATGTTAATGTACTTATTTATATATTATCTTATTTTTCCAAGACATCAAGCCTCTACATAATTTTTTAATTTTTCCAATATTGGTTAACATGATTTTTCATTAAAAATTCCATCACCATTCTTTTTAGAATGAATAACTTATTTTTTGCCACTCTTATCTACTTCTATCTCAAAATAACCAGAAACCTAATAAATTATATTTTATATAACATTTGGTGTCTATTCCCCTGTAACCTTAGCATTAGGATAGATTAATTCCAAACATTCAACAAAGAAATTGTAAAATTAACCATATCCTCATCCACTGCAATATACTATATGAACAGAAAACTCTGTGTCTTTCTTTGTACTCATTGATTTAACTGATTCAGGAATTGTTGGTTTAGAACCCATTATAATATTTAAATTAATAAATCTTGCATATGATTTAAAATATTGGAAAATAATATAAATTCTGTTTTGCTTTCTTAATCTATTTATAATTGCTATCTAGATTTAATACATTTTATTATTTATTCAAATTAATACATGATTAATTCCAAATTATTTTATCTATAATATTTTGTTTCTAAAATATTTCAACATCTTATCTATAAAATATAAAAAAAATTATCATTTAAATTAAATCAAAAATTTTATATGTATGTTGTTAATTACAAAAATTTTTTGTTTTTTTTGTTTTCAAATGAAATACTTTTATTATTGATCAATTAAGTCCTCATTAAATTGATTGCTAATAAGAAAATATTTTAATTGTATTTAGCAAAAATAGTAAATTTGGTTGATAAATTCTTTATAAAATGATTTTGATATAAATACAATTGTAAATATACAAAATAATTAATTGGAGTTAATTCTAAATAAATATTATTAATAACATGTTTTATTTTCAATCTAACATTTCTCTAAAGACTGCAATACATTAATTTGTATTAAATTTAAATCTATCATATGTTTTTCTTCTATAAACCCTCTTTTAACCCATTATTGCTAATTTATCAGCTTTTTTAACATATTTTCTTTTTTCTCTAACTTACCCTTATTTTGAATCCTTAAATTATTCAGTGACTGAAACATATTTTCTGTCTGGTTAAACAAACAAGAAGGATTGTTATTATAACTATTATACAGATTAAGATTATGGATTAATTTTTTATTATTAGATTTGATGAATAATTTTTGGTTCTGAATCTTCACTCTCAGAATTATTTTCAAGCATTCTAAGTAATCTGATAGATTATTATTATTCAGCTTTAGGAATATCTTCTTAAATTTATTGAACATCTTGTTCTCGTCCTTCAGCTTTAATCTTTTTATATATACTTAAATTATCATTAGAAATTTCTAAGTTATTGTTGGGAATAATGATTCTTTTAGATTTGAGTTCATTATCAATAAGTGTAGAGAATTTTTATAAAGAATCTAATATATTTGATAATTAATATGTTTGTTCTTTAACTTGATTCCTTAAATCTTAGATTAGTTTATCCCAAATCTTATATTGATGATTATCAGCAATTATTTAAAATGTCCATTAATTAGATTAATCTTTATAAAAAAGCATATGTTATCCAACTTTTTTTAAAGCCATTTATTATGAATTGGTAGGATGTTCTACTTTGAGAATCCCTTCAACTTTCTAAAATTGATCAAATTCGATAGTTTCTTTTCTTTTTTAATATAATAATTTAAGGTTTTCTTAAAGAGATTAATCAAATTGAGCAATTTAATTAGTTATTTCAGTGAGATTATCTAATGGTTTAGGATTATCATGCTGTAAAATCATGTTGGCAACAGATCTTTTAAATTATAAGAGTTCAATTGTCATATGATTTTGATGATCTTTGACTATACAAATAGGACATAGAACAGCATGTTTACATAGGCCTTTAAGACAGATATGAGTCTTGACTTATCCTTCATGATATTGACACTTCATTGAATTGGAAAAAAAATAATCCTCCTTTTAATTATTTAGTTTCTATGTAAAAAGGATTAATAATATTATAAACAACTCACTAATTTATATAACAATTAAATGTTGTTTTACCTTCAAAGATTAATCTAAGTTTTGTTTGAACTTGAATAAGATATTACCTTAAATCAAATTGGTTTTTAAATTCATATCATCTCCAATTTAACATTTTTATTTATTTAATAAATTTGACAAAAATAAAACATATTTACTTCAACTATATGTTTATATGTATTTTTCTAATAACCACTTAAGAATCTATTTTATTATTAAATTCTGTTATTGATATTAATATCTATAAATTACACAAGCTATATGTGGATAGTCAATTACTTTATTATCAAATCTAGTTTAATAATATGTGTCTCAGTCTTTTTTATTGTAAAATTGTTTTATCGCTTATTCAATTAATTATTTTGTTAAATCAAAGTAGCCGTATCAATTTTGCTCTATATTAATTAAGTTTAGAATACTGATGTCATTTTAAATAATTTTTATTATAGAAATCAATTCTGATAAAGCAGTGCATTATTAGAACCACTTTGAGATTCTTACTTTAGATCAGTAGATCAGAGTAAAAAATAAAGTTTTAGTGATATAGTTAAATATAAAAATTATATTGATGAATATTTTAAAAACTACTCTTAATCAGTAGTGATTGTAAGTGCTTAGGCTGAGATGATTATTATCAATATTTAAAAATATATTGAATGAACGAAGAATAAATTAATTTAATATCTATTTTTTTGTAATTGCTAATGTATAAATAAGTATTTATATTATTGAATTATTAGAATTTTTAAAAAAACTTATTCAGTATGCACTTTTACTTTTGTAGCTGAGATTATTGAACCATAAATGGTTAGAATGTAAAATATCAATTCTCAATTCATTTAGATCCTTATCCAAAAAACATATGTGTATTATTTTTGTTTATTTAATAATAATGATGAGAAAAGTATGGAGATGAATGATGAATTCAAAATTAAATAATTTTATAAACAAAGAAGATAGAAAATTTAGAATCAAGAAATTATTGATGACTATTATTAATAAAAGGAATATAAAGAATTAAATAATAAAAAATGATTATTATTTAATATATATAATTTATATGCTTAGAAAATTAGTCTTTAGATTTTCTCAAGATATTGAGAAAGTAATGGCTGATAAACTCACTTAAGTTCTAAAAGCTACTAAAGTAGAAGTTATTGACACATCTGGAGGATGTATTAATTTTTATTAAAATTATCTAGGTGGATCAATGTATAGATTGGAAATTGAATCACCTGAATTTTAAGGTAAATCAAAAGTGAAATAACATCAAATGGTTGTTGAAGCATTAAAAAATGAATTGGCAAGTGCTCATGGATATTCAATAAAAACAAACATCCCTAAGTGAATGATATTATTTATTTATTTTAAATACAATTTTTAATTATGATTAAAGTTAAACCCTCTAAAATCTTAACTTTGCTTCTAATCCATCAAAAGAACTAAATTTTATTAGCTATGAAAAAGAGAGGGTTTGGAATGGGTAAATATAATGGATTTGGAGGTAAAGTTGAAAGGAATGGAGAAAGCATATATTAAGCAGCAATCAGAGAAACTTAAGAAGAAGGTTGTATTACTCCTACTGATGCTTAACTTATTGGGTATATAAAAATGGATTTTGATTGTGAAAAAGAAACCCTTAAAGTTCATATATTTAAAGCTACTCAATTTGAAGGAGAAGTTTAAGAGACAGAAGAAATGAAACCTTAGTGGTTTGATGTAAATAATATTCCATATAAAACTATGTGGATTGATGATCAATATTGGGTTCCATATTTACTTGATAATAAATATTTTTATGGTTATTTGTTATTTGAAGGACATGATAAATTAATTAAAGTAGATATTAAAGAAACTACTTAATAAGAATTATTGAATATATCTGAAAAAGAATCTGAAATCAGATTATAATGATTAATTTTATTTCGTCATTTAATTAATAAATACATAATCTAAGTTCTAGTGATTACATGCAGAAAAATGCATAAATTAAATTTATTAAATGAAGAAAACACATTCAAGATATTTAGTGGAAATACCGACTCATGAATATTAAGAGAAAAAGGTCTATTATGTTATCAAAGTAACTAATTTAGATACAAATGATTCTAAAGAAGTTAAAAAGCGATACTCTGAATTAGAATCTATTCACTGTAAAATTTTGGAATGGATCAACATTTTCAAAATTAAAATCCCTTAGTTACAATTTCCAAAAAAAAAATTACTTTTTAGTACAAATCTATCTGAAGAGAGTGTTATAAAGCGAGTATTATCTTTATTCTATGTCAGAGATGTGAATTATAGTAATATTTTAATGATGTCTTCTAACATCCTGAATTATAAAGTTTGGGCTCTATTGAAGAGTTTATTCCTGTAACAAAAAATAGAAAACCACCTGATCAGAATTAAATAAACTAAAATTCAAATAATTAATGGTCAGAAATTGAAGCATTAAAGAAATCATACTTGGCTAAACATGAAAACTAAGTTTTTTCATTACCTTTACAAAAACCTTAATAATAAATAAAGTATATTTAAATTTTACATTCATTTAGATAGTAATATTCTTTTAAGTTTGGAGAACATGCTTTTTTTGATAATTCAACAATTTATACTATTGAAATCACTGATCATTATGCAAATAAGAGTTGGAAATTCAATCAAAGATACCAAGATCTAAAGGAAAATCATAGATAATTAAAAAAAATAAAGATAAATTTTGATTTACCCGAATTTCCTTAAAAAAAGGTTATAAATTCTATGGATAACAATGATTTAAAGGATAGAAAAACTTAATTAGAAGTTTATCTAAATTCAATATTTAAGTACTCTTAGTAAAATACAAATTTAGATATCATGAATTGGTTTAAAGTAATCTTATGGTATTCTTTATTGCCAAGAGTCAATTAGATGGAAATGAAATAGGATGTAGATCTAAAGGTCCATCATAAACAACCTTAGAAAATTCAAGTATTAAAAGCTAAACAAATATCTTGGATTAAAATGATGATTTTGATCCAAAACAGCCGAGAAAAATTACCTGTTGATTTTCTCCTACTTAATTTGTATATATAATAATTTTAACAGTAATCTAATTAAATATTCAAATGAGTTACAATAGCAAAACTATTGATTTGATTCTCAAGGCTTAAGAACCAAATTAAAAGTAATTCACATCCTTTCAATAATTCTTTAAAACTAATCATCCACCACCTTTATTATTTGAAAAAAACATTACTCCCAAGAATGTTAAAGCATAGCGTTCATTCTCTAATAAAACATAAGATTCAATTAAAGAAACAAAAAGAAAAAGCTTAAGCTAACTCAAATACCCAGAATATAGAATGTTAAAAATATATGCAAGAATTAAACCAGGGGAATGCTAACTTAATTATGACAAGTAATCAATTCTTATTGAAACTAATTCTTATAATTTTGATAGAGTATTTGAATAATCAGCTAAATAGGTATATATACTTATAACTATTATTATAGGATGAAATCTATGAAATTATGGCAAAATAGACAGTTGATGATTTTCTTAATAATATAAATGGATGCTTAATGGCATATGGATAAACAGGAAGTGGAAAAACATTCACAATGTTTGGAGAATAAAGCAATCCTGGAATAGTTTTAAGAACATTCACACATTTATTTTTAAGAAATTAAGAAACATTATATGTTTCAATACTAGAAATATATAAAGATCATGTTTATGATTTAATATCTGGAGTTTAAGATTTAAAATTAAAGGAAGATTTATAATTAGGATTTTATGTTGATGGTTTAAAAAAGATTGTATAAATTTTAAATAATTTAATATAGAAAGTAGATAAATTGTAAAACTGTTAAGAATTACTTTAAATAGCTGAAGATAATAGACATGTAGCTGAGACTAAATTAAATGCTTTGAGTAGTAGAAGTCATTTAATATTAACTATATAAATGGGAAAAGCGAAGCTACATTTAGTTGATTTGGCAGGAAGTGAAAAAGTTAATAAAACTGGAGCAATAGGTGAAACTCTTTAAGAAGCTAAGAAAATTAATTATTCATTATCATGTTTAGGACATGTTATTCAATGTTTATCATAGGGATAAGATCATATTCCATATAGAGATTCTAAACTTACTAAATTACTAATGGATAGTCTACAAGCCGATTGTAGAACATCAATTGTAATGTAATATTTCAGATTTTTAGATTGTTGCAATTTCACCTGAAAATAAAAATTAGGATGAAACAGTCTCTTCATTGAAATTTGCTTAGAGAGCTAGATTTATTAAAAAGGAAATAAGAATTGCTACTTAGAAAAAGACATATAGAGATTTAGAATTAGAAATTACATAATTAAAATAGGAACTATTGGAAACTAAATAAAGAATGAGTTAAACAAGTTCAGTTTCATAGTTTCAATGTAGATACATTACTGATTCTGAAATTCCATGCACTGAAAGTTTAAGATTAACATATAGAAGTATGAATAATGAAAATAAAGAAAATTGTCTACCTAATCTCAAAATACAAGAAAATAATGCTTAATCAAATTTAGAAAATAAAATTAATTAAATTTTTATTGAATTGTAGGGTTTAAACAAAGAATAGAATTTAGATAATTTAAAAAAATAGTTAAGTAAAATTAATGATTTAACTATTGAATTAAAGAAAAACTATAAAGTTTTAGTGAATACTTAAGGCTTAAATAATAATCAATTATAAATTTAAAGTTAATTCATTGAAACTTAATAAGAACAAAATAAGCAATTATAAAAAATTGCTGAATAGATTTCAAACATGGACTCAAATAAACCAAGTTTTAGTATCGCTATTAATAATATGATTAAAAATTTATAACAATAACAAAAATAAAACATTGAGGATATGTAATTGAAATTAGAAAAAATGTATTGTGATATAAAAAAAACAACAACTGTGGCAGAGTATAATTAGAATAATTTAGCATTAAAATTAGTTGCATCTCCAAATAGATAATAATAATATTAACCCTAATAATAATAATAATAGATAAAAAGATCTTAATCAAAAACAAATATGAATCCTTCTGTAAAATATTTAAAAAATAAAAAATGATTATAATTAATCCGTATATAATACTATATAAATGATCATTTAATCTTTGCTTTTATTTAAAGTTCTTTTCTGACAATTCTTGAAAAAGGTCCCATTTATCCATCAAAAATATAAGCCAAAATGGCTAAAGTATAATTTGTATGATAAGGTAATGAATCATAGAATTCTGGAGCAATCTTTGAAACAAGAGGTAATCTAGACCAAGGTATATTTGGAAAATCATGATGTTCTGTGTGATATCCTAAATTCAAAATTAAAAAGTTAGCAATTCCTAGATAATTATATGTTTCTAATCTATTAATGAATTCATAATGTTCAGTGATCAAATGAGCAGCTAATGGATGCACACTTAATAATTTAATATAATTTTACCTTAATCCAAAATAAGTCGATAGTAATAACCATCCCAAGGCAGATGGTCCTATATATATATAAATCAATGAATTTGATATGATTATAGATACTAAGTTTAAGATTTCATAAGAATTGGGTATTAATGGTCTTATAAACATTGGTCTAAGTGAATAGAATAAAGGTAAGAAAAGCATAAATAAAAATTTACGCAATGGTCCTTTGATATGATCTATCTCCCATTAAGATGGTAAATCAGGATCTAAATCAGGTAAATTCATAAATGTATGATGATCAGCATGATATCTTATACATAAAAAATTTATATACCTTCCAAAAGTAATAGCAGATGGAACTCCCTAACCAAAATTTAAGAAGATAGCCATTAATTTATTGTATTACATACTTTCAAAACATAAGTAATGAGTAAAATCATGCATAAGAGCATGAAGAGCATGACTAAGTATTGCTCCAATGCAGTATGATGAGATCAAATACAACAACCAGTTTGTGGTTGCAAAGAAGTTTAGACACCAAAATTGACCTAAAACTATACAAACTCCAAGCCATGCTGACATCAGGTCTGGACCAAAAAGAACTTTTATTTCTGGATGTTTTTACAGTATTTGTCTTCTTCTTATAGCATGAGGTTCATCATGACCTTTAATAATATCTCTATATTTCATACCCATTATGTGAAAATATGTTGTATTTTTTTCAAATTTTGTATTCGAAAATACTGATTCTCTATGAACTGAATGCCCATTTTTCTTTTCTTATTCCTTCAAAAGCTCAGGTGGATTTGGATCTTCTAATAAGCCTTTAGAGTTAAGGTACATTTTTAAACTAATTATTTATATATATGATTTTTTTGATTTTGGATATTTGCTTTAATAATATTATTTCTCAAATCATAATATAATTTATTAAAATATCACTTTCATATTATTAATACGAACTATTATTTTTAATAAAAATATAATACCCTAAATCGAACTATAACAAGTATTTTTTGTATATACCCTTATAAATCTTTTGTTTAATCATTAAGGATTTGTGAATTTCTATTAAATTTTTAATTCTAAAGTTGTTTCAAAGAAAACACATTTTGAAAAATATAATTACCATCAATTATGGAAAAAAGAGTTTTTCTAGGTTTATAATCATTAGATATGTTTCATAATTGTCTAAATGATCTATATTTCCTATAATCCTTAACTGTAATAAATTTGCTTTAAAACAATTAAATAATATTTTAAAAAATAATTTATTCAAAAATACTCTTAGATTATAGAAAGAATTTAAGTAAATGTAATTAAAACCTAATAAAATATCAAAAATATACTAAAAATTGAGAAGACTAACTTCAAATTTATTTTTTACCATAAGAATTATTTTTATTTAAATTAAAAAATTCCTATTGTAAAAAAATAGAAAATTAATTTGTTTTTAATATAAAAACTTTGTATTTAAAAGGTTCTTTTAAAATATTTTATGTATTGTTTATTTAATTGAATTGATAATAATATCAAGCTTTTTAAGCAGTTGATAATAGATTTAATTTTTATTAAATTGACTTAATATAAAGAGCATCTACTTCTTATGCCTACTCTACTGCTTTTAATGGTTTTGTAGTCCAAGTAGCCTCTGCTATCTAATATAATATATGATATTATTTTACTGATTCCATACTCTTAGTTTATTTTTCTAATTTACTAACTTAATCTGCTTTTCTTTTTAAAGAACTTTCTGTTTGTGATGATTCACCATAGGTTTTTTCATCAATATACTTGGAAATAATTTTAAAATGTATACTTTTTTTTTAATTTTATCTACTTTTTAGTTATGCTAAGCTAATTTCTTTCTTTTTAATTCTTCCTTTTATTCATCATCTAAATCTTCCTAATTAATAACTTTTCTTGGAGATTATTCAAGACCTTCTTCTCTCTTTCGTCTTTCCTCTACTTTCTTTCTTTCTTCTTCTTTAATCTTTTCTTCTTTTTCCTTTCTTTCTTTTTCTTTTTTATCTTCTCTTTCTTTTTTAGCTTATTATAAAACTTCTTATAAATAATCATGTCTTTCAAGCTATTAATATTATAATTTAAATTACTGTTCCTAAAGTTTAATTTTTAACAATTTTTGGAGTAGAAGTAATTTGCGGTAATTCTAATTTTCTTTTTTTCTATTATTCTTAAAGTAATTTTAATTATTTTTCTCTTTCTTCCTTTTCTAATTCTAAAGCTTTTTAATGTAATTCTTTAAATTCTTTTAAATATTCCTTTCCTTTTTATCTGGCTAAACTTTCTTCATACTCATAATCAAATTCATCTTTTTTTTTTTTTTCTTCTTCTTTTACTTTGCTTAATATAATTGATTATTCAAGATCCTTTTTAGCTTTTTCTTAAATTTTTTTAAATTTCTCTAAATCTTTTTCTTTAGCTTCTCTTTCTTTCTATTATCTAGCTTCTTCTTCTCTTTAAAAAATTTCAAATTCTGGTTCCTTTCCTTATTCTTTATCATTTTTTTTAACCATTCTAATATATCTTTCAGGATGAATAGTTTTATCTCTTAAGACCATTAATTCTTCTTCTTTTTCTTTATCCTTTTATATTTTAATAGTTTCTTTAACTTTTTTATCATAATTTATAATTTTTTATTTTTTTTCTTTAGCCTGATTTATTAAAGATTCTTTTGGAATTACTGAAATATCATCAAGTGATTTATTAACTCTAGACTCTTATAATAACCATAGTTTTGAATCAAAACTTGCATTTACATTCTAACTAAATTTTCCAGCTTCCAAACCTAGTTTTTCAAGAGCTTTCATTCTTTTTTCTTCATATTCTAATTTTTTCATTTTAAGTTTCTTTAAATATTCTTTCATATGTTCTTCATATTCTTAATTATAAGCATCGTTTTTTTCCATTTTCTTTTTTCTTTCTTAATTAACAATATCCTATTATTTTTGTATTTTTTTATTATATTTATCTAAAACTCTCATATATAAAGGTTATTCTATTTCAATTTTTTTAGGTGGATGTTAAGTTTTATTAACTGGAGAAGCACTTTAAGGTCTCGTCTTTTTTTTTTTATCTCTTTTTTATCCTTCATTTTTGTAAGGTTTTAATTAAACTTTAGGAATATCTACTGATGCAATTAATGCTCTTTCCTTATTCATTTTTTATAATTTATCATTTAGACTTTAAAAATATTCATCTTCCATTTTATCCATTTTTTCTAGTCTTTATTTTTACTTTGCCTTTAAATCTTCAATATTTTCTCTTAATTTAGCATGTAACTGTTCTTTCATTTATTAGCTATATATAAATAATAAAAATTGATTACGTTTTAATAGCATCTTCTTATTTTTTCCTTTCTTCTTCTTCTTTTTCTTTTCTTTCTTTTTCACTTAAAATTTTATTGGTTTTATCTCTTCTTGTTTTTGCTTCATTTTGTATTTTTTAAACTGTCTCTTATGCAAGTTATTATTTAGTTAAATTCTCTTCTTGCATATATAATTTGAGTGTTGGTTAACTATAAGCACTATATGCATTGTTAATTTTTTGACTTTTAAGTGTTTTCAATTCAGAATCAACATTTTATAGTTTTGTTTGCAATTAATCTTTTTCTTTTTCTACAATTAAGACTTTTTTATCCATCATGTGTCCTTCAACATAATTATATTTGGAATTCTTATAAAATATAAAGTGTTAAATTTACTTCTAATTGTAAGACACCTTTTCGAATAGCATTAAGGATTTTATCTTCAACTCTTTCAGCATTTCTTAATGAAAGCTAAGAATATGATAAGAAATGACCTTTTATGAAATGGAATCTTGTTTATTTTTCAGAGTTTCAAAATACTTATTTTAAAAGTCCATCATAGTTTGCTTCATCTTTTGTATGTGATCCTAAATGTCATAAAATAATAAAAATACAATATCATTAGTTGAGGCTTTGACAGTTTCTTTTTTTGGTGGAGAAACATGGGCAGTTTTGGGTTATTAATTTGGCTGTAGTTATTATGATTATTATTATTTTTAATCATTTGCTTTACCAGAAGTTTTAGGAGGGTCTTTTGATGGAGGTTGTTATTATTATGGTTATTATTTGGTAGGTGGTGCTCCAGAATTTTATTTCATTATTTATTAATATTAATTGCATAAATTGTATTAATAAACTCAATAATATTTCTTAGTAAATCTAGCATATATTTTACCAAGTTTATAATCATATTTTAATCAAATGACTATTATCTTTAACATAAGTCAGATATTACAAAGCACTTAGACCTGTCCGAATCAATTTAATGATTAGTTTCTTTTTCATTTTGATTTTTTAATACTTATAGCATTTTTGGTATAGTACCTAATATTATTATTAAATTTAAATATAAATGTATAAAAACACTAAAAACTTTACGAATTCATAAAGCTTCTCCATTTAAAGTTTAATTCAATAAATAGAATGCTGTAATTCTATCATTTTATGGAACCATATGTCCAGCTCCTCTTACTGTTACAAATCTCAATTTATTTGAATAACCTTATGTATATCCTCCTAGTTAATTATTTTTAACATAATATGGTCTCCATTATTCAGTAATTGTGATCTTCAATTTTTATAATGCTAAATAATTTAATTAAATACCTTGCAGAGTATCTATCCATGGAACAACACTATCAGCATCTCCATTATATAATAAAATAGTAAAAAGATCAAAATTTAGTAATTCCTATAAAACTTTCATTACCAAAGGAGGATCTGATACATATTTAAATTATTTATTATGTGATTTTGAACACATAAACCATTAAATATTTTCATCAACATGAAGATATCTTTTATTCTATACATCATTTAAATAGTTTTAGATATTGTCTATTTGTACACAAGGTACTCCTAATTCATGATTTGTAACCTTAACTATATTATCATTATGAATCATCATAAACTATTTCATTTCTTAGATCCAATCTAATTCATTTTCATTCTCCTTTTCTTCATAATAACAATATCCATATATATCATATGGATTTATTCTCTTAGTTATCTTCCAAGCATCATAATTGATATCTTCACATTCTTCTGATGTGACATCTTTCTCACAAGCTGTAATATCAAATGTTGGAGGTAACAATTAATGTTCCTTTTAATATATCAATTAAGATATAGGAAGATGAGTTAAATTTGTTACTCCATTCCCTATCATCATTCCCTGTAAATTTATTACTGCCACTTCTAAATCATTAAATTTCTTTATCTTCTCTGCTAATAATGGAATATATGCTCCAGCATAACTTTCACCTGCCAACCACAATGGATTTTTTTAATATTCTGGATAATTGCTGTAAAACTCTTGTAATACCTTTAAATTATGGTCTGCTGTTTATGAATCATTGAATGTTATGTTCAATGGATTATGTGAAAAACCTACTCCACTTGGACTCTCCAAAAATAATAAATGTGCTACTCTATTCCAAGAATACTCATTAAATTATAAACTCTCATCATCATCATTCAAAAATACAAAAGGACCTATTTCTTATAGAAATCCAATCATTGATGAACAACCTTACATATTACTTATATTTCATACCAGGCCCTCCATTCAACCACAATACAAGAGGCACATTATTATTCAAATTATTAATCTAACTCTAAACAAATACATAATGAAATGATTAGTTGCTATCTGTTATTGATAAATAACCTGAAAATATTGAAAAATTAAAATCTGTCATATTAAATGGCTAATTTAATTCATCATAATAATCTTACTGGTAAATAAGTCACTTTGTCTTCAATTTACAATCCATAAATATGAACAACTGTTAATATTAGAATTTAAATCATAAAATTATTTTGATTATTTTTTATCTTTTTCTTAATACTATTAAGTAAAAAATCATTTATTTTATTATATTCCGTCCATCCTAATTTTGACTTTATTCATTAATCTATATCTCATTATCAATATTCTAAATAAAAAAAACAATTTACTTGGCAAATATTAATCATTTTAGATAAAAAAAATTTAAAGATTAAGTATTATCAAAATTTATCAAAAATAACAAAATGTTTGATTTGGAAGATTGAAATTTTAGAAATTAGTTCAAAATTTTGTAATTTTTTAAGGTATATATTAAAAAAAATTGAATTAAATTTTACAAAAATGGCAAATCTATAGTTCACTTATATTTTTTATATTTCTAATATTAAATTTATTTGATATTGGTAAATTTAATGGATTCTTTGTTTGTTTAAATGATTAAGTTAATAAATTGAATCATCATATTCATTTCTTATGCTTCTTTGATTTTTTTTCTTTTCTTCTGCTTCTGCTACGACTTGCTTCTTTTTTGACATCTCCTTCTTAGGCTGCTTTTATTGATTATTACTATATTGCAAGTTCTTTTAATCTCTTTTTTTCTTCTTTCTTTTACTCCTTTAATTTAATTAAACGTTCTGCTTTTCTCATTTCCCTTTCAACTTTTTTTTCTAGTCTTGTTTTCTCTTCAGCATCGAAATCAAATGCTGTACCTGGTTTAAATTATTAATTATCTATTCCAAATGCTTCTCCAATTTTTTTCTCTTATTCTTCCTTTTTCTGTGTTTTAATATGAGTATCTGCAACATGACTAATAATTTAGTATAAATTATTACTCTAATTAATATTCTCCTTTATTTAGCATATCTTTTAATTTGTCTTCTAATCTTTAAACTCTTTATATAATTTCATCTTCTGCAATTCCTCTTGCTTCTAATTCTTCTTATAAAGTTATTTTTTTAAGTTCAATATCTCTTTTCATTTCATGTAAGACAATTTCTGGATTTGCCTTTCTTCTTGCTTATATAACATTTTCCTAAATTTTATTGAATAATATATTTAACTTTCATAGCTTTAATTTCCTTAAGAAATTCATCTTGTTTTCTTGTAGGTTTAATATGAGCTAGATTTTTTTATACATACCCAGAGGTACCACTTCCTCTAGGAGTCATTAGACCAATATTATTATACATAATTAATATGTAAATTTAATTTTATAAATAAAATTGCATTTAACATCTAATTTCAGAATTAAGTATTGGCTAAATTATTGAGTTTTTGATTATCATTAATTCTAATACATTTATTAATCATCTTTTAGAATAAACTTTGAATTAGATTAGTAAATTTTTATATAATGAATTATTTAAAGTCAATTTTACAATAACAAAAAAACAATCATAAAAACTCTATCATATATTATTCAAATTCCTTAATTGTTCATCTAGATGTTATATAGGCAATTATTATGAAAAATTGAAAAGGTAAGAATTTTATTTTCATCCTACAAAATCACACTTAGAATAATTAAAAGTATTATACATTTTACTAAAAATGATATTATATGAATAAATTAGTGACGAAGATTAATTTATTGATTGTTTTTCATAAGGAAAGGTACTGTGTTTATATTAGGAAAGATTATTTTCAAGTAAATTAATAATTAATGAAGTTTACAGACTTCTTTTGTAAATAACACCATTGGAGGATAATCAAAATAAAATTCGGAAAATAATTTCACAGTTTTATACAATTTTAATGTCAAATACCTTTTAAAGGAGAAATTTTTAGTGTAGATTGTATAGAAATTATTCAAAGTTTAAATTATTTACTTAATAATATTATTTTAAATGCTTAGAAGAAGTCATTTTTAATTGAAGGGAGCATACTTATTAAAGGCAAAAAAGAGCAATATTACATAGAATAAAGAAGATTTATAGGGTAGAGATTCATAATATTTGATACATTAAAAAAAAAGATAAATTAAATGAGAAGAGATTTAGGAGTGATCTATTATTTCAGCAAACTTAAACGAATTACAATCAATTTAAATACAGATTTATGAAAATATAAGGCATATATTCTTTAAATAACTTCAGATAAGAAATTGAATGCATTACAGAAATTCTTATTTATAAAGTTTTATCAAATTTTTATTGAAGAGTGTTAAAAGTTTGATTCAAGATTTAATTTTAGATATAAGGAGGTAGTAAAATTAAAGTTTGACTATTTGGAATTAATATTGATAGCGAATTTATCCTTGATTTACTTATCAATTTTCACCAATTTTGGCTTTTGTATCATTTTTTTCTCTATGGATAATAAATTTAGGTATAAATGAAATATTTTTTAATCATAAAATTATTTCTGAGATAGATTTTTATCTTTTACTAATATATCTATAAAAATTAGAAGCTTTATTGAATAGTTAAATTTGCAAATTTATTCTTAATAACTTATTAAGGAAGTAAATAATTTTAGCGTAGCAGATATAATTTTCAAAATAAATGTCTAAACCAAATACATGGGAAGATATAGCATAAGATATTGGTGAAATTAAGAATTTAATTAGAAAGGGAATTGATTTAAAGTAGAATATAAACAAAAAAATAAAATGATATTAATTTTATTTTACTTTGTTAAAGATTGATAGTTTATGATAAGTCAAGATAGTAAAAGAAAAGGTAATAGATATTAAATTATATTGTTTATATAAGAAATATTGCAGGTAAGTAATAAATGGTTTTTAGAAGTTTAGAGTGAATTGTCGGTTTTTTCATTAATTTACAAATATTTATATTGAATAAAAAATCAAGATGAATAATAAAATTAAAAAAATAAATAGAAAACCTAATTATGTAAAACAAACCTTGCGATTGGATTTGTGCTGAATGCAGAAATTTAAATTATTCATTCAGAAAGATTTGTAATAGATGTCAGTATTGTACAAGAGATGCACCAGGAACTCGATTTATTCCAAACAAAATAGATTAAGGAATATAAATACTTGAAACAATTAAACTTTAACAAATAGACTTAGGAGGAAGTAGTCATAGTTCTACAGATAGCAATGATGATAATGATAATGGAATATTCTCTTAGGCCTTATTTCTTGAAGATTTATCAAAAAATTCAGACAGCCTTAAAAAATCATTCTCTTTCTTGAAAAAATGTTAAGTTTGCTGCAATTAGAATTACTTTTACTAATAAAAGTGTAGTAATTGTGGATTTTCTTCATTCATTTGATTCTTGATTTTTTTATTATATTTGAGTCTTATATTATAAATAATGGTTATAAATTTTATGTTAAAAGATCTAGAACTAAATTTGATAGATAAATTTAGTTAGAAAAAGGGGAAAAGAAGAAAATTAAATTACATGTCAATAAACTGAACTTTATAAAATTAATATATAGAAATAATACAATGTATAAATTAATGTAATTAAATGATGATAAAATTAAATTGAAATAAGATAAGTTATAAATTCTTTTGGAGTATCTAAATATTATAATTAAGATTAAATTTATCTATATGATTTATAAGAATATCTTTCTTTTATGATAAATCTAATTTTATAGATGATAAAAAATGAATGAATAGATAATAATGAGTTTGATTAATAAATTGATAATATTCATTTTACTTCAAATTATATTGATTATTATAAAGTAGTAATTTTTGATTTATCTAGAGGTGGTCTCATTAATGGAGGTGCAAATAAATATTCAAATGATTATCCTCTGATTACTTTACCAACTGAAGAAACTAATCTTCTCCCAAACCACGCAATAACAGTTTCAGATTCATCTAAAACAGAAATGAATATATAACTTTCCATATTCAAAATAGTAGTGTCTAATAAGAAAGGATATTTCATTTTATTAAAGAATGCTACTTTTTAAACATTATTAACTTTATCAGTTTTAAATGAACAGGCTTAACCATTTTTATCTAAAAGGGGTTTACTATCCATCATTAATATACCTTTAACAATTAAAAAAGCTTAATTAAGAAATCCGTTAATATTAATAAGTATTATTATTAACTTATCAGTATTATCATTCGAATTCATAGTTCTTCTAGATGCAATTTTTGCTACTTATTCACTTGGAATAGACTATTGAAATTTAGAAGTTCCACTTTTTTATATTTAAGGACGACTTTCTTCAACTGGATCTTCATCATGTTACTGTACTGGTTTATAGTCAAATCTACAAGTATATGAAATCTTAGTATTAATTTTTTTAATTGTAGAATAATCCACAGGAGGGGCAGGTACTTCACCTTAATATAATTTACCAACAAATTCTGAACTATTTAGTTATCCATTCAAAAATAATTAAAAACTTATCCATCCTAAATCTTAAAAGGAAATAAAAACATAGAATTTATCTAAATCTGATTTATTATTTTATAATTAATTTAATGGTAATTTAAAATAAGCAAATCCATGTATTTCTACGATTTAATTTTATGGTTAATATTTTCTAGAACTTGTATAAGCACATATAATTCCATCTTCATCTATTGCTGGCTCATTTCCATTATAAATTTAAATTGTAAAATCTACTGGTTTCTAATTAACATAATCACTTAATGAATCTATTTCTATTACTAAACCTTTATTTTAATCAAATTATAAATTTTATTATTTGTCTTTAATATGTTAAGCATATTTTGGTGTTTCCTCTATATCTAATAAATTTAAATTTTCTTCTTGAATAAAAAAGTACATTTATCTATTTGTTTTTTTTCCAATTTTACCACTTTTATCCAAATCATGAACATATAATATTTATTATCCAGTATTTATTGTTCCACTGCTTGAAAATAAATTCATTTAACAAATTCCGATAATTTCATTTTTGTATATAAAATTAAATAAATAAGTTAGCTTTTTATAAGTTAATGTAAAAGTATCAATTAAATATCTTGTACCAATACGTAAAATAATTGTATGATTGAGAATCATCTCTCCTTTCTCTTATCCTTCAAATAATTCAAGATTATCATGCCTAATACATTATCTATCCAAAACATCAATAATAATATTTTCACCTTCTAAAACAAAGGTTTTCATAATAAAATCTTCTTTTTGAGAAAAGTTTTTTAATAGAGAAATATCCAATCTTATTTATGTATTCCATTTAGGATTAGCAACACTATATAATTTTTTTCTTTGTTCTTTGTCTTCTTCTGTTAGTACTAAAAAAGTAAAATAAAAAGTTACATTTTTAATCAAGTTTATAATTATCATAAGTAGGCAATTAAAGAACTCGGTCATCATCTTACATGATAATAAAATTAATTTAATGATTAGTTTTTTTGGTTCTATTTAAATTGAAAGGAGGAGCTTAACCTGGAGGTCCATAAAGATTCTCAGTATAGATACCATTTTTTATTTTATATTGATCATCTATAAAATCAAATAATTGAAGGGCATGCCAACCAAATAATTCTACTTAATCTTTGAATAAAGCAATAAATAGATATGTATTTAAAATATCAGATTAATCCTATTCTTAAAAATAATTGGTTAAATTTAAATCAAAAGTAAATGTTTCAGTATAATTAAAATAATTATCACCTTTTTCATCAGGTTCTAATTCTTTATTGAATACACACATGTTTTTGGCATCATCTTCTACAAGTTTAATATTTTAAAAAAGAGCTAATTTTAAATTAAAAGATGTAATTGATCCAGCATGTAATTATGACAATGATCTTAATTTAAATATTAGTTTTCTTGGTTTATTTGTCATGATAGTGCTTTTTTCTTTTTCTTAGACTCTTTAAGTATTCCTTGCTTCTCCAACTTTTTATCTTGAAGTATCAGCTTTGCTATCAGGTCTTAAGGAAGATTCTCTATCTCTAGATTTCGATTTATTAGTATTTGGTGTAGTAGCTCCTTTTTTTAAGGCTAATCTTTGTTTAAAAGTTAATACAGTTCGTTTTTTATCTTATTGTCTTGTTATTGTACCTTGTTTTCCAAAAAGCCTTCTTCTAGGCCTATTTAAACGATTCTCTTATCTTTCATTATATTCTTGCTATTATTATTTAAGAGCAGCTTATTATTCATTAAGGAAACCAAAATCCATCAATTTATAAACATTTGGAGGAAGTTCTGATTTCCATAATTCAGGTTTATTACATTATATATATAATAATTCTTTTGGCATAGGGAATACACGATATTCTTTAAATTTAAAGTTTTTTTCAAGATTTATTATATCTTCTTATTTTTAATGTAAAGGTTATAATTTATAATCTACAATATTAATAATTTTGCTATCCAAATCTAATACAGCATCTCCTGGCATACTTATTCTTATTCCTAATTTAATATCTTATATTTCCACTTGTTTAAATAAATCAAATGTAAATGAGGCATTATAAAATGGTAATAAAAAACATCCTGAAATAAGATTTTCTTCATCAAATACTTTATGAAGTGTCCAACCTACTTATATTGGTACTACACCATTTCCATAATCTTAATTATAACACCATAAAATCAAATAAAGATATGTATCTTTATATATCTCATGATTTCTTTCTACAAATCGTTCTTATATTATACATTTCTTTTGAAATACATTTTCCTAAGTAGAATCATATTATTAAGTTGTTTTTGTAGTATGAGGTTCATCTAAACTATTTTATATAATTTAAATTACTTTTTTATAAATAATCCATAACTAATCTTTACTCTTTCATAAATTATTGGTAATTTATTTACAAAATCTATTCTAACTATGAATCCACCATCTGGATCATAAAACAATGGCATTGTACCTATTTAACCTTAAAGATATTATAAATAATTTAATTTATCCTATGGTCTTCCTTTAAAATTCAAAACATCTTCTTCTACTTATTTCAATTCCAACTATTCCTTTACTTTCTTTTCTAAATATTTTTATTCATATATTTATTTTAATCTCTATATTTCATCATATTTCATTTTATTCTCTTCATTCATATTACCTGTTAACATAATACTAATTTCTTATTATTTTAAATTTTCTAACATCATTTCATCTGCCTTACTAGAATCATCAACATCAAATGATCCCCTCAGTAAATCCTTATTTAAATTTGGATTTCTTAAATCTGCTTCTCTTTAAATCTAAGCTTAATTTTCCAATTCCAATATCTCCTTCTAAAATGTTTAAGGTAAATATTAAAAAATTGGATTCTATGTTATTGGACCTCTTTCTTCTAAATTCATCTTCAATTTATCAGGCATTTCTTGTTTCCCTATAGGATGATTATTTTTATAATATCTTTCCAAATTATTCACAGATATCAGAAAATTAGGATCTGTTCCTCCTGATTGAATATAATCTTTTCTAATTTTATCTATTTCTGATAAAGTTTAATTATATTCAACCTTATGAGCACTTTCCTATTCCTTAGTTAAATTTAATTTAAATGGCATATCTAAAATAACTCCTTAAAGTCCTCTCTCATCAATATATTATTCAATTTTATTTCTTAATGTACTTAATGCAGCTAATTTTTATTAATCATTGCCTTCAAATTTGGTTCCTTAATATAAAAATCTAGCTTGTTTTTCAAATGTATTTTCAGCCACTTAATTTAAATAGAATTGAATAATTACTTTATTAGAGTTTTTTATCAAATGGTATTATTTAATTAGAAGATGGATCATTATATTCAATTTTCATAGCTTAAACCTTTTTTTCTTATTGATTAATAAAATCCATCATTGATTTATATTGTGGATTTTCAATAATTTATTATCCAACACTTGACAATTTGGATCGACTACTAGTTTATTTTTGTTAGATTAATTCAAAATTCTTTAATAATTCTTTCTTTTCCTCTTTGACTGAATTTAATTTAGTTTGTATTTGGTCATATTTCTTTTTTACTTCAATTCCCAGATTATTATTTCCAACTCCATAATGATGAACACTATCTTAATATCTTTTATTAGTCTTCTTTAAATCTTCAATTTATTGATATAATAGTTCTTCTTGTTTCCATAAAAATTTTCTCTAAGCCAAGACAACATCAAATTAATCAGCTCTTTCTTTTTAAAGATTACTTAAATATACGCCTGATGTCTATTAATAATATATTAAATAAAATACTATAGTATCTTTAGCTCCTTATATCATAGAAATTTCATTCTTAAAACTTTAGTGTTAATCTTTATAACTTATTTGAAGTACATCTCTCATTTTAGAATCATGTTCACTCGCAAGAAAAGTTTTATCCATTATTTTCGAAAAGTGACTTTATGCTTAAGACGAGTTTAATGCAGTTGATTATTGTAAAGTAGATTGGTTCATTCAATTTTATAAACAAAAATATATAAAAATCACTTGATATTCTTTATCTAATCTAAAATATGTTATTTATATTATCCCTCCATATCTGCTGCAGCAGGTTCAAGCATCTCTCTTTTTATATACTTTTCTAATCGTTTCATCATCATAGCTTCAAAAGAAAACTCATCATCTTCTTCTTTAACTCTTTTATTCAATTCTTTAACAGATCTTTTTCTAAAACATTCTGGATTACTCTTTACTAACTTTTAAATTTCTATTCTATAAGTGTCAATTGTAAGTTCTGTTTTAGGTAAGACATTTTTCCATTTTGGATTAATTTCCCATCTTCCACAATGAATTCTAGGATCAAGTATCTAATAACCGTTTAAACTATCTAAAATAACTATATTTTTAATTACCAATCGCCTATTATACAACTCTTGCATTAAAACCTTCAAATTCCTATTCTTATTCATCATTTAGAGTTTAAAATTGTAAACGAATTCGATCATATCTCTCTATTTAACTACGAATAAATGGAAAACATATGTTAGTTTCCCAATCAACAGTAGTTGTTTCAGAAACACTAATAATTAAAGGATTGACACATATTTATTATTCTAAGTTTTTTTCTTCAATTAATGACCATTTGAAATTTTATTTTTAAAACTAAATTCCAAAATATCTATCTTCTAATCCTACTTAATTAGCACATAAATAAGGTATTTCTAAAGTTTAAATAGTAAATAGCAGATTTTTCATTTCTCTTATTTTCTTTGATGAAAAGTTCATTACTAAATCAGATGAATAAAAGAGACAATCATCATTCCCTGTTGCAAATAATAAAGGAGTAAAAACTTATTAAGTATTTTGACGTATTTAACTTAATTTTTTTGCAAGTGAAAACTTTTTTAAATGAGCCATAAATATTTCTAATAAAAATTTTATAGTATTTTGAATTAATTCATAAATTGTTAATCAATATCCTCTAGTAAATGAATATTTGAAATAGAATATAATTCTATTTAAATTTAGAATAATTTAAAATATCTTTAAGTTCTGGTTTATACTCCTTGATTTCTTATAATAATTCTGCTCTAAAATAAAATGAATTTAATGAGATTGTATTGAGAATAATAGATTAATTAATGCGTTATTATAAATTATAAAATGAATTAAGTGTGTTCATATAAATATTGTACAAGTAAAACAGTATTAGAATTGATGTACATGTGTTCTGCTTGTTAAATAATGAAATATTGCTCTTAAAAATGCAAGGATACTGATTGGTAGATTGTATATTTTATTAAAGGGCATTGTCTCATAAGAACAATTGTAGACCATGTTAAATAAAGTCAAAAACAGAATTAAATGACTCAGCTTCAACATTGAAATCAATTAGAAGATAAGCAGAGGATTTTGAAATCATTATTAGAGATAATAAGATGGAATTAGGAAAAGGCAGTTATGGGTGTGTAAAATTGGTTAAAGATAAATAAAATGGTTAGATGTATGCAATGAAAGTGGTATTATTGGTTAATAACATTAAGATGAATAAAAAGTAAATATTTGAGTATTGTTCTGTCGAAAATCTTAAAAGAGAGATTAAAATTTAGAGAAGACTACAACATCCTCATATAACAAAGTTATTTCATTATTTTGAAGATAAAGAGAATGTATTTCTTATTTTAGAATTAGCAGGTATATAACTTTTTTATATTTTTAAGAAAATGGCAGTTTGTTCAGTTATATTAGAAAAAGAAAAAGGCTTCCTGAGAATGAGGCTTTTGTATATTTCTTTTAAACCTGTTTAGGAATAGATTATTTACATAAGAAAAATATAATTCATAGAGATTTAAAACCAGAAAATTTATTATTAGATAAATAAGGTAATATAAAGGTTTGTGATTTTGGTTGGTCTGCAGAAACAACTTAAAATGGAGTCAGAAGAACTTTCTGTGGAACGCTAGATTACATGGCTCCAGAAATGTTAACCAATTAGCCATATAGTTTTAGTTTAGATATTTGGTGTTTAGGAATTTTATTATATGAATTGATACATGGTTATGCACCATTCAAAGGAAAAAATGAAAATGAAAAATGCAATAATATTGTTAAAATGGTACCTATAGATTATGATCCAACCTTATCTATTGAAGCTAAATTATTAATTTAGGGAATCCTTAAATATAATCCTAATGAAAGACTTTCTATGAACTAAATCTTTGAACATGTTTGGATGAAAAAATTCTATAAAAGTTATGGCATTGATTTAAGATCATTCATATATAGAGAAGATAAACAACAGGATGTGTCTAGTAGATCAATTTCACCATAAAATGAAGACATTTTGGGTAGATCTTTTATTAAAACTACAAAATAGAATACAAGCAATGGAGATATAAAAAACTTATCAAAATCATCTAATTATCCAATTCAATCAAACTCTAATAATAATTGCAAATCGACTGCTTGTTCTAATTATAATTAGGATGATGATTTTAAAACTCGAGTTAGCAGAGTATCTCAAAGACAATAAATGGCCCAAGGATTAAGAGAAATATAAGGTCCATAATAGAGATAAGAGGAAATGGGATTTATGGATAAAGTATTTTCTGCTTTTGGATGTTTGAGCAGAGATAAACAATAATCATAATCTCATAATTATTGAATTTTATGTAAAATTATTTTTATTTAACTATCATAAGAGTATTCTTGTGTTATATAACTTGTGATTATGAATATTTTAACATTTATCAATTATTTTTTTTCCAATAGCTTGCTAATTCTCTGTCTAAATTATTTTCTTTTGTAATTGATCCTTTTCTTGAAAAATATGCATCTAAATCATTATCCAATTTAGATGATGCTTGAAATAAATATTTATTGATACCGCTATTTCCAACTACTTATTATCCACTCTTATATTATTCCAATTATTAATTCAATTTATTTTCTAAATTATCTCCTTTGTTTTCAGAAAATTTTCTAGATCTTTTTAATCCAGTTCTAAATCCCTCAAATTTACCAGACCTTTTAAATCTAAAACTTCTTTTAAATGGTCTTCTATCAGCTATTAAATGGATAGTCTATAAAAAGCCATTTACATTGTTAATTGTTATTTCTATCATTATCATCTCTGCTGAATTTTCTTTAGAAATTTGATCTAGGTCTTCTGTTATTTCTAAAAGGTCTGAATGATTGATTATTGTTTCGTCTAAAATTTTTCATAAATTTTTATTATAATATCTATATATTATCATCAATGGAATAATTGGATATTAATATTTATTGAATCTCTTTTTAAATTTGAAAATCACCAATAAATAAATTAAAATGAAAAAGATAGCAAATAAAATTTTCATATTATTATTCTTTCCATTTGGAATTCCATAATTGATTCTAGATTACAATAATATTCCTAAAGATTAATAGAAATATTAGAATACCAAAAGGTTCAGCCTTTTGAATTCTTATAGAACGCCAATCAACAATGATTTGTTTCATTTTAACAAATTCTAAATCTTGTTATAATTCATGGCAACGAATTTTAAATAATTTGATAGATTTATCTTGACTACCACATTTTTCATAAAATCTTATACTCTCATAATAACTTGATACAGCATCCTATTTACCATGTAAAATGATTATAGGATATTTGAATATTTAAACTTTTGATTTAAAGTTTCGAGAATACTTTTAGCCCTACCAATATCTAATAAAGGCATCATTAATTTATCTTGAAAACATCTTAGTAGATGTTGATCATTCTTACTCATTCCAGTAATATTGAGTTTTGTAATTAATTACCAAATCCTATAAAAAATTTTTACTAAATCATACTTCCATGTAGTGTCCAAAATATTTAAAAGCAATATATTTGATTCCTTTTAATTTTCTATCCATAGGAAATCCAAGCATAGGAGCAGTTGTAATAATTCCTCTTATTTTTAATTAAGAATTCCTCATTAAAAAACTAATAATTAATAATCCACCCATAGTATGTCCATAAAGAAAGAGTGGAAGATCTTTTGATACTTATCTTAATAAAACTTCTATATCCTTTGTAATTCTTCTAAAGTTTAAGATCCTCTTGGACCTCCAGAATATCCAAATCCTCTTAAAATCTATTAAACAACAAACATTATTTAATTTTGCAAAAATATCGGCAATCTTAATGTATATTGTTTAATATACATGTAGAAATCTTCCTTAATGTTCTCCAAATCCATGAACAATACATAAAGATGCTTTTTTATTTGGTGGATCAAATTTTGTGTAATAGAGTCTCAATTCATCTCCATATCCACCTATATATCCACGCATTACCTTATAATCAGCCATTTAATTCACCTATAAATTTTTAATCATCTTTAAAATAATCATTAATTGATTCTTATTCTTTTAAGTTCATAATATTAATTTAACAGATTAGTTGATGAAATTAGCTGATCGTAAGAAATTTTCTGTTCATTTGGATATGTCTGCCTTAAAATAAATAATCCAAACTGCTCATCCTCTTTCTACTAAACGTAAAATTGAAACAACTCCAACAAGTCCCAATACTTCAGGATTAATATCTGATCAAAAATTCAAGCCTGTTTAACCTCTGCATACAAATATTAATCTAAATAACAACAATAATACTATACAAAATATTATACTTAACTTTAAGAATAAAACTAAAAAAGAAAAAGAAAATACACCAATATCAACTATGTCGAAATTTCCACTTTTAGTTGATTAATTTATTAGATTGTTTAATCTAACCAAAAGTGAAATTCTTGAAGTTTAATAATTGAAGCAAGTTTATTATTATAAATAATCTAAAATTTAATAAGATGGTTAAAATGGAGAATATTTGTGTTATGCTAAAGATCATATTAAATATTAATATGAAATTATTAATCTTATTGGATAGGGTAGTTTTGGTCAAGTATTCTAAGTCTTAGATCATAAAACACAAAAAACTTTTGCTCTCAAAATTATTAGAAATTAAGAAAAGTTAAAAAAGTAAGCTTTAGTAGAAGCGAATCTTCTTATGATGATTAAAGAAAGAGATCCATTAAACAAATCTAATATAGTGAGAATAGAAGAATAATTTAATTTTAGAGGTCATTAGTGCATTATATTTGAAAAACTAGAATTAAATTTATTTGAAGTTTTAAAACAGCAAAAATTTAGAGGTTTAGATTATGAAACTTTAAGAAAATTTTCATACTAAATTTTAGTTGCATTAAATTATTTACACAAACTCAATATTATTCATTGTGATCTCAAGCCTGAAAATGTTATGATACAAGATATGAAATCAAAGATTATAAAATTAGTTGATTTTGGTTCTGGGTGCATAGATGGAAACTAAATTTATACTTATATTTAGAGCAGGTATTAATTTCTTTTACTTAAATTTTAGATATTATAGAGCTCCAGAAGTGATTTTTGGATTGAAATATGGAATGGAGATTGATATGTGGAGTTTTGCATGTTTAATATCTGAAATTCACACTGGACAACCAATTTTTCCAGGAGATAATGAAGTTGAGCAATTTAATTTGATTATGGAGGTAATTGGAGCTCCATCTATTGAATTTGCATAAAAATGCCCTAGAAAAAAGCACTTTTTTGATGAAAACGGTTAACCAAAAAAAACTATCAAAAATTATAGAAAACCCTAATCGGTCTCATTATAAGAAATTCTTAAAACAACAGATGATGATTTTGTAGATTTTCTTTAAAGATGTTTTACTTGGGATGCTGAATCAAGAATAAAACCTCAAGATGCTTTAAATCATCCTTGGATTATGTCTCTAAATCCAAAAGAAAATAGTTCTAAATTGACTAACAAATTCTATAAAGATACAGATTCAAATAATGCTTTTAAAAAATCCAAAACATAATCCAATACTATATTAAAGGAATTTGAAAAAAAGCTTAGTAAGGATAATATTTTTTTAAAATTACAATAAACTCGAACTTTAATTGCTAATAACACCTTTGAAAATAGACCAGGTATTTAAAAATGATTAATTAATTATAGTGTTGAGTAGCAGATATGTAAATGATAAGCCAACTTCATCAGATAGAATTAGATCGAATATTGCTCATTCAATACACTAAATACTATCATGCAGATAGCACAATGCAAGTAACACATAGTTTATAAGAAAACCATCTTTAGGGTGAATAATAATTTAATGATACTCTCTGCAAGTTATATATATTATATAATCTAGTTTTTAATCAGTTTTATTATTTTTATTCAAGTGAATTTTATTTTGACCAATTAGTGTTTTTGATTTCAAATGTCTACTGTATCTTTTTTAATAATTAACTGTTATGCTATATATAAGGTCTTTCAGCTTTTATAGTTGATTTACTTTTTTATTTTAAAAGAGCCAAATTGACTTCTGTACATTATTTTACAGTGACCTTTAGACGAGGAGATGATGCAAAAGAATACATTTAGAGATTTTGAAGTGAAGCACAAGATTAAGTTTGAAAATGTTATTTGACTTTTTAAGTTTTTTAAGGCAAAGCTTTTTTTTAAAGTTAACTAGATAAAAAATGACACATTTTCATATCTAATCCTTTGAAACATCTTTCTTTTTCTGATTGAATTTTAGATTTGATTTATGGTTTAGTAATCAAGAACAATTTAGGGGGAGTTTTACAAGAAGGAGGTCTTTCCATATTATCGTATTCTTATAATTATAAATTATACTTGTTACCTACTAAAGATTCTTGCTTAGAAAGCTTTTTGGATAACTTTCTAGTTGTTTTTTTTCTTTATTTTCTTTCTAACATTATTGCAAAGCTTGCCAAAGCCAGTTCTTATTTATTTACTTATTTATGTTATTCAATTGTAGTTGGAAGATTAAGCATTTCTTTTTATGTTAATTAACCAAAAATTAATCCATATGTTGATTTTCTTCTTGACAATTGTTATTGTCTAATTTCAGTGATTTTAGCAACAGCATTCTTTAAAGGTTAGAAATATCGTTTCTTTATTCTTTCCTTCAATGTTAAGGTTTTCAAATATTGATCATCTTCTAATTATGGGAATCGACAGGAGTGTGGAAGGGAAATACTTTTTTATTTTTTCTTTTTTACAAAGATCAATTATCTTTTTTTAGTATGAAAGGTTGTAGTTGATTTGAGAATGAGATGTTAATTATCTCTTATATTTCTGGGTGAAAAAAATGAGAAACCACTAAGTTCTATATAATTGAAATATATACATAATTAAGTCATTGTTTGCATGATTATTATTTAATATTTTAATATGAATTTGAAACCTCATAAATTAGGATAAATAGATGAATTTGAACTTTAAAATACATCTAAAGATGATAGCCATAATACAGTTTAAAACTTTAAGGATTTACCACTTTTTCATCTTAATGCCATTCCCAAGAAAGTACTAAATATTTTAATTAAGATAATTGCAATAACTATTATGCTTACTATATTAGGAATAACTTTTTTGATTATTGGTTTGCTACTATTTTTTAAATAACCATCTAATTATGATCAATATCTGCCTTTATTGTTCATTGGCATTCTAATGACTATACCAGGCATTTATTATAGTTATAAAATAACTGTATTTGCTTATTCAAGATCTAGATACGAGCAGGAATAAATTATTCAAGAATTGCCAATTGAATACTGAAACTGATAATCAAAATTATTTATAAAATTTGGGATTTTATTTCAATAAATCCTTTTTATTATAAATTGTTGTTACAAAACTATAATTTATAATTATTAAATCAAAGATTTGTCACCAAAAAGGATAAGTCCTTTGCCATTCTAATCAAACACTTAATCATTCTTTAATCCATTTCAATCTATTGCAATTGTAACCAATGCTACTTAGGTAGGTTTAGTAAATGCAACAAATAATAACAGACAAAACCATTCAATGAATTACAATCCTATCATTCTATTATTTATTATTACTCTTGAAGTATATAAAATAAATTCATTTAGCTTTTTTGACTCTAGATCCTTATTCTTTTTTAATGTCTTAACAATATGGTCACTGTAAAAATGAAATTAAGGTTCCTAATCTATTTAATCTAACTTCTATTAAATCACAAAGTTTCTGGTTTATTAATCATTTTTCTATTCATTCAAATCAAAAGATTCCAATTAAATAATGCTTACACTGACCATTTTTAAAGCACTTTCGTTACCATCATTTGTATTAAACTTACTAAATCTTTATTTCTCATAATTTACACACTTTAAAATTGTATTAATAAACACACTAAAGAGAATCTTTTTATATTTTAATATTATCTTACCTCATAATCGCTTGAAACCTTCTCCACTAAACCATCAGTTTAATATTAAGGTTTTCCTCTACTCTCTGAAAAAGATAATAATTTTAAAAGCAAGAACTTTCTATCAGCCATAATCTTTCTATTAAGCAAATTCAAATCTAATATGTTATTAAATAATTCTAAAAGATCACATTCTTTAATAAAATCTGCTTTATCTCTTGTAAATTTATCAATATCTATTGGTGCTTTAACAGGTTCACGTTATTTTGTTTTAATCTAATTCTTTAAAAAAATAACATCATCTATTGTGACACTTTTCAAACCAACTGATTTTTCATGTTTATTTGAATTTATATCAAAAGGCTTGTTGGCAAAAAAAATATCAATTTCAATTATCTTTTATTAAAAATGTTCTTTCAACATTCTATTAACATTAATTAAATGATCTTAAAATTCATTTACAAAAGTAGGAACAAATTAACTGAAAAATAGCTCCTCAACTTTTAGTTGAGCATCTCCCATTTTCTTTATCAACCTTGATAATAATTTTTCTGTTTCTTTATTTTTCTTTTAGATTTCATTATCTTATTTTAATAATGATTTTACATAACCCACTTCTTCCAAAGAGTTAAACTGGAGCTTAATAATAAGTATGATGAATTTAACTGGAATCGTCTCCATAAAATTATCTCACTGATCCATTCTCGTATTATTTTACACTCTCTAATAAATCTTTATCCTATTAAAAATCTAACTTTATAACGATTAAATTTAGTACGATTCTTCATATTATGTTTTCTTTATTCCTTATCTAAAATTCTTTATTTTTCTTTTTGGTTTTAATTATCCATTAAATCTGATTACCCTTACATCTATTCAGTTTCATGATCTAATTAAATTTTTATTATACTTCTATAGTAATTCGATTGTTAAAGATTATTCCTATTGTTATCCTAAAATACGCTAAAATTAATTTATTTTTGGTTCGGTTTCATAATTACTTATGGAGTATTCCTCTTTATCAAGTAAAGTTAATGAATAAGCATAACTCCTACGATTACCAATAATACCTTTAAAATTTCTATATAAAATTGGCTATCGTAAGATCATCAAATTAATACTTATTAGAAATATTGATACCAATCACAGAGAATACTAGAAATCCTCCCAAAGCTATTACATTGAATGTTGAAGATGCAGCCATTTAATTTATTTAAAATTATTGTTATCAATAAATTGAGTCCAAAAATTATTATGAATTATTACGCAAAAATATCAATATATTTTTAACAATTAACTTCCAATATAAAGTGCTAATATATATTGTGTTTTAAAATAACTATTTTTTATAAGTTTATAATCAAACCTAAATAAATTTCTCTTTATTTGTTTAATTACCAATTTCAAATCCTCAAAAATCAATAATACATATCTTAAAAATAATTCTCATTAATTAATTAAATAAACAATTTAAAATGATTGAAGATAATCGTGACTCTGTTAATTCTGCAGATTTTTTTTAATGTAATCTAAATTAGCTCTAATAAGAAAGTTTCTCCTAAATAGTTTGACGAATTCAGACCCCACTTGATAAAAGTTGATCTTTCACTTGCTCCTTTAAAAGAAAATACTGAGTCAGTTCGATCGCTTAATTTTCCTTCTTCAGAAATCCAATAATAACAGGTTGTACCTTCAAGAACAAGTATACACATATAAAAAGTAAAATTAATTAATTATTCAGCTCAATAGAAATAGTCAAAGAGCGCTGTTAATTAAAAAAGAAAAAGATGTATCAGAATATTAAAAATCACAAAAAAATGTTTAGATATATAAAATGTTTTAAACAGAGTAATTGGTTAGAAAATTTATAAGCAAATTAAAAAGACAAGCTTATATCCTACCTACTATTATTTCAAATTAAATGTAAGTTTTTTTAGAGGAAAATTATATTTAAGATAATATTTCTTCAAATAAATCTCGGTCATCAAATACATCTCCTTAAAAAATTTTTTTTCCTATTATAAATCCAACTGCAATTGTTATGTTTGTCTGGAATATTTTAAGAGCACTTTAATTAATGTTTTTGACTTGGTGGCTACCCTTTAGAGTGGCATTTCAACCCAATTATTAATTTGGTCATATAGAATTATCCTTAATTTTTATATTTATTTTGGACATAATTTTGAAATTGAATTAAGGATTTATAAAGGAAGGAGATTTCATCATGAATAGAACTGAAATTGTTAAACATTATGTCTAAACAGAATTACTTGAAGATACATTGTATTTTATAACTCAATTAATAGTAATTGATAGAATTGACATCAAAATTAATATTTTTTTTGAAATTTTGGTTTTAATTTAGTTTGCTATGAATTACAAAAAATTAAAGAAGAAAATAAGAAAATTTGAAGAAATATTTGCAACAAAAGCTGGTTATATATAATTAACAAACTTATTATAACTAATTATCACCGTATTCTATTTTGCTCACCTAATGTCTTGCATATGGTATTATGTTGGAATGAAAAGTTTAAATTCATATGAATTATCTTGGACAACTAAATTATAACTAAATTCTTAAGATACTCTCTCATATTATCTATATTCATTCTATTGGGCAACAACAACAATGGTAACTGTCGGTTATGGAGACATTTCAGCATAAAATAATTATGAAGTATTGTGTGCTACTATTTTAATGATTTTCTCTACAGGAATGTTTGCATTTGCTATTAATAAAATAGGTGATATATTTACAAACATGGATACTGAATAATAAAATTATCAACGTACTTTATTATTGATTAATAATTATATGAAAAAAAATTAAGTGGATTAATAAGTTTAAAGTAGAATTAGAAATTACCTAAAATATTAAGCAAAAATAAAATAATAAAATTCAACTGATGAAATAGATTAAATTTTATATTAGCTTCCTTCTAATATAGTTGCTGATCTTTAAAAAAATATTTAAACAAAAATAATGTCTGAAATTTCCTTTTATAAATCTAATTTTTCTAAAAATGTTATTCCAACAATTTCGTAAACACTATAAATATAATCTTATACACCTAAGGAAATCATCTATTAGTAAGGTTAATTGGATGATTGTAGTTTGTATACAGTTTGGAAAGGAGAAGTAATGATAGTAGAGAATTAAACTGGAAAACTTTTGGCTACTTTAGTCAAAGGATAAAGCTTTGGAGAATTTGAATTTTTAACTTAATCTTATAGATAATTTACTGCAATAAGCAAAGATTTAACTCAAGTTTTAAAGATGCCTAGATAAACATTTTTGAAAATCATCAAACATTCTAAATGTGATGCAGAACATTTTCATAAACTTAAAGATTAGTTAATGTTCTATAATTTAAATTATATATCTACATGCTATTGCTGTTCGGAAAATCATAGTATAATTAATTGCCCTTATTATTTCTACTAACCAAATTTAGATATCTTGAGACAAAGAGAAAATTCTTAAGAAGTTGTATAAATAAGATAAAAATATGAAAGAGTTGGAAACAAAAAAGGATTTTTTTAACTTCAAACTTTGAAATCAAATACTGATGATAAAGAAGATGAAGGATCAAGATTTTATTCAATAAAAAATGAAACAGCACCAGCAATAAGTCCTTCAAAACCAAGAACAAAAACTATATCTCCAATTCATTTTAAAAATTTTGGATAGATTTATCATAAAGAAGAAGAAAAACCAACAGAAAGTCCCTCTTTTGCTTAATAAAGTTAAACTGAAATATTAATAGAATAAAATTAAAATAAACAAAGCATACATTAATTATTAGAACTTCCTTCAATTAAAAATAGATAGTCTTTGTCAAACAATTAAATAATAATATCGTAATCTTTTAGTTAGCTTGAATTATTGTAATAAGAGTTTTTAAGAGTTTTTATGCTAGATATAGATAAAATGGGTAAATTTTAAGGATATTTTGCTCAAAATAATTTAGAAGTTGTCCTATTATCTTATAGAAAATACATGAGAAGCAAAAAAGTAATGATTACTGAAACATTAGGAGAATTTACAAGAAGGAAATTATAAACAGAAAATAATTAATTATTTTGATTTAATTTAATCCTTATTCTCATTTGTAAAATATTTTCACAATTCTTTTACATGTTCTATAAAATTCTGATTTATGATTCAAAGCTTTAGAAAACAATCAAGATATGACTTTTATTCTAAATTTATTAATTGTCAAAAATTTGCTCACACTTCCAAGCTTAATTAATTCAAAATTAAGTTTTTAATTTAAAAATATTAAATTTTTTTTTTGTATAAAATTTGAGGAACTATCTAATATTCCATTTTCTAAATTTTTTTTTAATTTAATTTGGGTTGTTTGATAAAGGTACTTAACAGCGTATGATAAAGTGTTTTAATTTAAGCTAAATTATATTTAATTTAAATATAAATTATAAGATTTCTTATTTGGGTATGACTGATGATTTAGAACAAACCTTGTATAATGACTTAAAATTAGCAGGTGTAATTTTTGCGTCAAATTAGGTTCTTCAAGAATCTCAGATTCCTTCAGACCGCATTTAATTCATCTAGATTTGTAAGACATACCTTTCAAACAGAATTCAGAATCAGATTCTATGCCACAACCAAATTCGGTTTAGAATTTTCGTTTTAAAGAAATGAGTATATCAAAGAGTAAAAATAAAAATTTGTATTCATTGAAGAGTCTTCAATGTTAAAATAATTTACCAGATAAAAATGATCGACAAAAGCATCAAAGAAATTAAGGAATGGCTAAGATGTTGGCAATTAACAATTTAGTGAAATAATTTATTGAAAAATTAAAAAAGAAAGCATACATATTTCCATTTAATCTGAGTGAACAAATACGAGAAAATTTGAGGGAGCAAAAAAAAAAATGTTGGAAAAAGATAAAACAGACATAGACTTAGATTTCAGAAGATGGTAGTAAAAAATAGATCATAAGAAAACTTCCTATATTTAACCCTGCAAGTAAAGTGATGTTGTTATGGGAATTTTTTAGAGCTCTTTAATTGACAATATTGTTATGGTGGTTGCCATTCAAAATAGCTTTTAATCCAACATAAAGTAAAAATGTTGATGCCTTTGAGAGTGCTTTAACATATATATTTGCAGCAGATTTAGTAATTAAATTTAATAGGGGTATTTATGATTAAGGAAAGTTGATAAAAAATAGAATTAGTATTTTGAAACATTATGTTTATAACGAATTGCATGAGGATATAATATATTTCATAACTTTAATATTTGTGATTAGCAATATTGGTATAAGAGCAGGTGGATTTTAGGAAGCGATTGTATTAGTATAATTTGCATTAAATTTTATCAAATTAAAGAAATACCTTACAAAATATGAAGAGACTTTTGTTGAATCTCCAATTTTAACAGAAATAGTAAAGCTTATATAGCTGATTATAATTACATTTTATTGTGCACATTTTATGGCATGTATATGGTATTATGTGGGTGTTAAAAGTATAGAAGTGAATGAAATATCTTGGACTTAAGATCCAAAATTTGATTATTCAGGTGTTTTTCAAATGTATATTTATTCATTTTATTGGGCAATAACTACTATGGTAACTGTTGGATATGGAGATATTTCAGGTAAAAATGTTTATGAAGTACTATGTGCTATCGTTCTCATGATTTTTTCAAGTGGAATCTTTGCTTTCTCAATGAATCAAATAGGATCCATGTTTAATAATATGGATGCCTAAAAATAACTATATAAGAGAACTTTGTTACTAATTAATTAATATATGAATAATAATTAAGTTGCTGAATAACTTCAAGGCAGAATTAGAAATTATTTGAAATATCATTATCATAAACAAGAGAAACTATATAAAAATGAAATTAGTAGTATTATAGATAAATTGCCAACTACTTTAAAATCAGAATTAATTTAAGATGTATAATTTAGAGTTATGTAATGCATTCCTTTTTTTAACAAGAATTTTTCAGAAGAAATCCTCCCCTAAATTGCTTATGAGTTAAATCTTTAATCTTATACACCTAGAGAAATAATTTATTAATAAAATTAAATAGATGACTGCAATATCTTTATAGTATGGAAAGGATAAGTTAATTTAATTGATGATAACTCAGGAAAAGTACTTAAAACATTTAATACTGGATAATGTTTTGGAGAATTAGAATTTCTGACTAATCAAAAAAGACTAAGCACAGCTATTAGCTGTGATTTCAGTCAAATTTATTACATATCGAGGAATTAATTTCTTAAAATACTCAACTCTTATAATAATGATTTTTAGTAATTTCATCAGTTGAAAGATTAAATTTTATTTTAATATAATTCATCAGCTATTTAATGCTATTGTTGTTAAGAGTCCCATCCTATTTGGAAATGTCCTTATATTCATTATAAGCCTGATTTAGAAAGAGTAATAAAAAAGAGTTTCTATTTGGATTCATTGTAAGAACGTTCCTAATTCAAAAGAAAAGGAACTCGTTTAAATGTTTATTATTAAGAAAGCATACTTTAAAGTTCAAAGCACATTAAAACATCAAATGATTTGGATAACAATACTGCAGGAGATATACAATAGATAGGATCAATAAATGAATCAAATGAATCATCTGAAGAAAGTATGAAAAATGAAAAAAAGAGTGATCAAATTCTAACATTGTCTTATGCATTACCAAGCGAAAGTAGAAGAAAAAGCTAAAGAACTAAATTTGCACCTGTATCTCCTCTTAAAACAGAATCACCTTTGCCTAAACCAATAGATATGCTTCGATACGGTTAGAGAACAAGAAAAAGTCTTTTCTTGTCTGATTAAAGTGTGATTAGTGCTTTATAAACTAAACGAAATGAATTTTTAAAAAAAACAACATCATTAGGTTAATAATAGAATTTTATGAAGCAAATATCTACCTATGAAAATGAAAATCATCCTGAACCGTTAAGTATGATTGAAGGATTAGATAAAATGATAATTTACTCTCATTATTTTCCTGACAATAATTTTGACAAGATTATTGAATCTTTATTTAAATACCTAAAAAAATTTAAATTAACAAGAACTTACATGATCGCAAACAAATATTCTTTTGTTAGGTTATAAAAATAAGAAAAATCCTAAGTGAAAAAACCTATCCAGTTTAAATAACAAAATTTTAATAGATGAAAACTTTTTGTTTAAAAAATCAATGAATATGATTATGTGTATTCGATCAATTAANTCTTATACACCTAGAGAAATAATTTATTAATAAAATTAAATAGATGACTGCAATATCTTTATAGTATGGAAAGGATAAGTTAATTTAATTGATGATAACTCAGGAAAAGTACTTAAAACATTTAATACTGGATAATGTTTTGGAGAATTAGAATTTCTGACTAATCAAAAAAGACTAAGCACAGCTATTAGCTGTGATTTCAGTCAAATTTATTACATATCGAGGAATTAATTTCTTAAAATACTCAACTCTTATAATAATGATTTTTAGTAATTTCATCAGTTGAAAGATTAAATTTTATTTTAATATAATTCATCAGCTATTTAATGCTATTGTTGTTAAGAGTCCCATCCTATTTGGAAATGTCCTTATATTCATTATAAGCCTGATTTAGAAAGAGTAATAAAAAAGAGTTTCTATTTGGATTCATTGTAAGAACGTTCCTAATTCAAAAGAAAAGGAACTCGTTTAAATGTTTATTATTAAGAAAGCATACTTTAAAGTTCAAAGCACATTAAAACATCAAATGATTTGGATAACAATACTGCAGGAGATATACAATAGATAGGATCAATAAATGAATCAAATGAATCATCTGAAGAAAGTATGAAAAATGAAAAAAAGAGTGATCAAATTCTAACATTGTCTTATGCATTACCAAGCGAAAGTAGAAGAAAAAGCTAAAGAACTAAATTTGCACCTGTATCTCCTCTTAAAACAGAATCACCTTTGCCTAAACCAATAGATATGCTTCGATACGGTTAGAGAACAAGAAAAAGTCTTTTCTTGTCTGATTAAAGTGTGATTAGTGCTTTATAAACTAAACGAAATGAATTTTTAAAAAAAACAACATCATTAGGTTAATAATAGAATTTTATGAAGCAAATATCTACCTATGAAAATGAAAATCATCCTGAACCGTTAAGTATGATTGAAGGATTAGATAAAATGATAATTTACTCTCATTATTTTCCTGACAATAATTTTGACAAGATTATTGAATCTTTATTTAAATACCTAAAAAAATTTAAATTAACAAGAACTTACATGATCGCAAACAAATATTCTTTTGTTAGGTTATAAAAATAAGAAAAATCCTAAGTGAAAAAACCTATCCAGTTTAAATAACAAAATTTTAATAGATGAAAACTTTTTGTTTAAAAAATCAATGAATATGATTATGTGTATTCGATCAATTAATTTAAATTAAATTTGAGTCTATTAATGTTCAAATATTTTTCTTTGAAGATTCCAGACAAATATTTGGACTCAATATTCTACTTATTTAATTATTTTTGAATACCTTAAATTATATACTTATTTATTCTAAGATTTCATTTAAAAAATAACAAAAATAGTATTATTTATAATAATGGCATTGAATAATGTATTTAAAACAAAATAAATTAAAGATTTTATTTTTATTTGAAATATGACTAAAAAAACAAAGAAGGTGGGAATTACAGGTAAATATGGTACCAGATATGGTGCTTCTTTAAGAAAAATAATTAAGAAATTTGAAATTTCTTAGCATTAGAGATATTTCAACACCTTCACAGGAGCTGTATGAAATATGTTGAATTATTAGCACTCTTTAAAAAGATAAGCAATAGGTATTTGGAGATGCACATAAACAGGATTACAAATCGCAGGTGGAGCTTGGGAAGTAAAGTAAGTAATTAATCTATCATGAGTACCCCAGCTGGATTGTCTGCAAAATAAGGCATGCTTAGAATTAAGAAATTAAAGGAAGATGCAGAAGTTGAAGTTAAAGATGAAAAGAAAGATCAAAAAACAAAGCAATAATAATAACCAAAAGAACAAAAGGAATAACAACCAACCCAATAGCAAGGTTAAAAAGGAAAATAATAATAAGGAGGTGATAGAAAGAAAGGATAGGCAAAAAAGCAATGATAAGAATATATTATTTTACAGTACATAATAATTGCATAACATTTAAACAACTTCCACAATTATTACTAATTTAAAGATTTAATATAGTATATAATACATAAGCATATTATTAAGTAATTGAAAGAATTGTCTCTAAATGAAATGATATTTCAATAAGTATGAATTTTTTGGTTTCTAATAATTGGAGGTTGGTTTAGCAAATAATATAAAAATTAATTATATAAAAATAATCACGAAAGCAATAAATTTTTATATCAAACAATTGAGATTGATTTTAATAGATATGTCAAAGAAGTAAAATGTAAATTTTAATTGCATTGACTAAAAGTTAGTGGTCCGAATATTAAAAAAAAATTAGATTAATTCTTTATAAACTAAGAGGAGTATAGAGAAATTTTTTGATAAATCATTATCAACCAAAACTATTCTTATGAGATTATTTGGTGAGAATACAAATAAGAGAGTGACTTCTTTTGTGTTAATGGAGATACTAATGCTTTTATTCATAAAATTAATTGGATGTTGAGACACTAGAGTATTTGACTTTGTTAATAATCCCACGCCTTCTATTTTAAAAAAGAAATAATATTGTTAAATATAATTTAAATATAAGAGAAATAGGAATTGAATTTTTTAGACTCATTTATTGATTATTTTACACTAAATTAATTAAGCCCTGATAATCTTATGTCTATCTATAGTATTATTTGAGAAGTATCTTTTGTAGAAGCAACGGACTTCCAAAATGATTCTTAGCATTTAATTAAAGAAGTTGATCTCAAATAATAATATGAATAACACTAAAGTTAATGTTAAGGAGCAAGACCTAAATATGAATAATGATGAAATACAGAAAAATAATTTCTAGTTAGGAACTATCAACAATGTTTTAAGTATATTTAAATCCTAGAATCTCCCAAGCTTGCTTGTATCCAATTCTTTAAAATTAATTAACCTAAAACATAAAAATAATCATTACCTAATCAAATTCAAAGATTTTTTCTATAGTAGTATTTTCATACAGTCCCTCTTGTGGATTTAGCAATTACTTTGCCATTTAAGAAAGCAAAAAATTATAATATTACAATCCGTAATTTAATGCACCATTCAAATAAGTATCACAATATTAGAAACTAATTCCTTAGATAAAGCTCAAAATATACTTTGATTTATAGTTTTACACAAATCTCCATTAAATATTTAGTCTATTTCATCAATGTTAGTCTAGTATAAGAGAGATTGTAAATCGGCACTACTAACTACATATTGATTTTAAATTTCTTGAAAATTTTAGATATTAATTTAAGTCTGATTGAAGAAATTATAAATAAAAAGTTCTTTAGAAAGAGTTAATGATAACAATTATGTTGTTTGTTTTGTAAAAAAGTTTGAAAATAAAAGTGTTGACATTTGATTATTGAATCCTAAAATTTGAATAAAGTAAAAGTAACTTAAAAATGAAATTATTGACATAAATAATAAATATCTGAGAATCATCAACACCTAAATTTATTTTAATAATACTTTTATTCTTTTCCATCTTTTTGACCATTCATACTGTTTTTATTTTTGTCTCTTTAAATTGTTACTCTTTTCATCTTCCTCCATTTGTCTAATAATGGTTTGGTTAGTTGATTAAAAATAATCTAAAGATTAATTATCTTAGTTACTATTTTATATCAGACCACTTTGACTGCTGAAACAAGAAAATTAAAATTTTAAATTGATATAAAATTTTAATGATTCTTCTACTTATGTTTTTTCAATATAAGATAATTATTTAGCAACTTTCTAAAGATATTAGAAATCATACTTGACTTTGAGTTAAAAGCTTCGTAATTTTAATAATATTGTAGATTAAATAAAATCCAAAAATTCCAGTAGATGTCATAATTATAACAAAACATATCTAATCTTAATTCTAGTAATTCTAAATAAGTTTATCAATCATTTAAAATATGTTTCGACTTTAATAGTTAAAGAGAAAAGGAATAAATATTGTTCGAAAGAAATCTAGTTCTTAATCAAAATCATAGTTATTATCTATCTACTAAAGGCTTCCTATATTAGAAGTATATTAGTTTATTAAATCGATAATATTTTAATGACTATCATAATTTTTCGATTTGTAGATTTTCTATACAAAACTTGGCTACTAATAAAGCATTATTATTTCAGATAATTGATTATTAAAGCTCTCTTACAAGTTTTTATAGAACTCAGATTTATCTATAATTTAACCTAGAAGGTTATTTTAGAAATAAAAAGCATTGAGTAATTTATCATATGATTCTATCATTATATTAAGAAAATCATACTGTTTTTTTGTACTTTAAAACTTTAATACTAAAATATTATACCCCTAATTCGTCCATATCTTAATGATTAATATTAGGACCCTAATATAGAACAATAAGATTAAAAATGATTAAGAAGAAAATGAATATTCTATTTAATATCTTAAAGAAGTTTAGTTATTCATCCTATTTAGCAGGTTTATTGTTTTCTTCTTTAATAAATATATTATTTTCTGTCTTGAGACTCAAAGATGTTATTTTTTAAGTATTAAAATCAGATATTACTTAATCTTCAGACATTAATGCCCTATTTGTAGTATTTCTATAAGATTCCACATCTGAATTTTATACTAAAATACAATTAAAAAATAACCATTTAAATGTAGCAATTTTTAGTAATTTTACTCAATTTATTATTAGTAATTTTGCTCTAAGAATAATTAAAGATGTTATGATTAATGGTTTTAAAAGACACTTTGTCTTTACCGAACTACTTGATTTTATCTACTAAGAATATTAACAGCCTATATTTAAATAATATTTTTACTTTGGCTTTTTTATCCAAGGCTTAGCTTTCAATGATATTAAGATTAGTGATTTTAATTATTTAATATTTATCCATAATTGTATTCTTAGTAAATCTTATTGATGCTTCAATCTTTATTACAGTTTTTAACATTCTACTTGTCATACAATACTTTTAAAAACTGGTTTCTAATTATTGATAGATATTTTACTAAAATGATTATATAAGGTTTCATAGTAATATTCTTAATATTAAAAAAGTTTAGAAAAGAGTACTTTCTTGTCAAATGAAAGTTTTCCCTGCTAATTTCTTTTAATAATTCGTTAATTTTTAAGTTTATTTGATTTAATAGTCATTTAATCTAAACCATTTAATTATATTTCTGTTTTAGCTTCAGCATAATCTTCAATTAAACGTTAGATCTTTTTTGGTATTCGAAAAGTTAATTTAACATGATCTTCATCAACAACCTTATGAAATCTTCTAAATAATTAATCTTTCTCCTCCTGTTAATCTTCATGTAAAGCATCATTTATCCAAATAGGACTTTCCTCGACCATTTTTGTATCATCCTCTAAAACCATACTTAATTAATCTTAAGTCTATTATTACAACACATACTAATTTTTGTAATTAGTTGGTACTATAGTTATTTTTCTATTTGTAAATTTAGCATCAATTATTGAATCTTAATTTGTATCTTCATTTTTAGTTCTTTTTAATTTAAATAATTAAAGATCATCTTCTGTCAAAAATTAAGAATAATATGAATATTTCAATAATTTTGGACATAATAAAAACAAGCATAGTCCAGGTTAAAAGAATTCTGCAATTTATTCTGAAACACAGTCTATCTCCCAATCATTATTGACTAGGATATAACTGATGCTTTAATGTCTATATATAGGCCTAATCATACATATATATTCAATTCTAGAAAGTGGACTTAAATGCCATTTCAAATATTTTTTACATGGTATAACTTATTTTTCATGATTTAAAGCCAAAACTTTTCTCCTTTTGTATAATGACTTACTTTTACCAGTTTAAATAAATTGATCAATACCAAATTAATGATTTCGTATTATTATTGAAGGTAATAATTAATTGATATTTGTGTATTGTTAAAACCCAAAAATCTCATAAGAAGATTCACTTACATTCACTATTTCTCCTGATTGAGTAGTGTGAAAAATTGCTGATGTATAATTAAATGGTTTTAAATAAGAAAATTAATCTATTTAATTTTAATTATCTGATCCTGAATCTTCATCAACTGGTTATTATAACATATTTTATGAATCACAATATTCCAACATAGATTATTTTATCTTTTTGTTTAGAACATATAAATGATACCAATTATATAGAAATTACCATTTTGGTCTTCTAATTAGAAAATTCTTAATTATTAATTTATCCCTGTTAATTATCTTGTGTTTACTTATTTAATTCCACAAATCATCAGATTTAGAAATTGTTAAAATTATTTATTTATTTAAATTCCATAGATCTTCTTCATAAATAATTTTTTATTTGACTTATCTCCAAAATTTTATGCTTAAATCTAGAAAATTTAGAATGTTCGTTTCTATAGACTTAATTAATTGTTCCATTTTAATCACATATTCGAAATCTGATTCATTATGATAACTTAAACTATTGTTATCAATAATTTCATTTTTAAATTAAAGTTCTATTTTACTTAAATCAAACTATTATAAAATGTTCATTTTATAACTCTTTGTTAATTTGATTTACATTTAAGATTAAACTTGATTGTTCATTTAATAATAAAGAAATACTACATAGTTAATTCTGATATTGACATCTTAAGGATGATGAAGGAGATAGATTTCAAACCATGTTTTAATTAGATATTTTAAATACAAACTTTTTTGTCTAAGCATAGAAAATTAAGAGTTTTTAATATCTTTATTTTTCTTTGGATCATATAAGAATCTCATCATACAAAAACATCTTTCTTTTTTATCTTTAGGACAAGAGTTAGAAAAATGTTGATAAAGAATTCCCAAATAAAATGAATCAGCTTCGCCAAATTCATGAAAAATGTTTATTTCTTTTGCAATAGATTTTAGATTAATAATTTTTTATGTCAAATGATCACCAGTTAGAGATGATTAGCAAAGATGCTATATTTACTGGTTGAAATAAAATTAATAAAAAACCCAAATGATTGAAATTACACTCACCAAACTAATAAAAATGAAATTATCACTTTTAGTAATCTCAAAATGAATAGAAAGTGAATTTATAGCTAATCCTATAGATATACCAAATAAAGAAAATGTGAATATTTTAAAAATTTATCTTACATTTTGATTAGCAATAAACATTTTGAAATCGCTCATTTTAAATAGAAAACATGCTAAAAATGTTGATAAAAATAAATATACTATAAATGTAACCTATTTTACTTTAAATATTTACATGAAGTTCCTAATTTTGATTTGGAAATGCTAAAAGAATATTAAGTAAAATTCTAAAGACTTCTAAATAAAGTAAAATAAATCTTGATCCACATGAAAGTGTATCTTTCTTTATGCTATGATGATTAACGAAAAATAGTATCATTATATTTTGAAAAATAAATCTAATCAAAACAAAGCAACTTGCTATAATCTACTAAATTTGACTGTTCATTGCAATATTTAAGCAATTTTTGTTAGTAGAACAATAGGTTATGTTTAAATAAACCAACTAAGTGGGTTAACACGTTATCCATTAATCTATCAATAAAAGTTAGGTTAACATCTAAATTATGAATAATTTAAAACTTTAGCACTGGACTAATCAATTAAATTCTGCATATTTTGATATTTCACCTAATAGTAGCAAATCCCATAAAGAATATAAGTCACTAAACTCTATGTTGAAAACCACCAATAAAATATTTATATAATTATCTCATTTTCTTAAATTACACTATTAACATCTAAATATTTGATTAGATTGATGATTTGAGAAGATTATGAAAATTATATATTAGGGTATTGATTAGTAATGATTAAGTAATATCTAGCATTTTAAAGAAAATAATACTTTGAAAAAATTGCACTGATTAATTGACAAAAAGTAATTGTAATTAGCAGCACTGAATAAAAATAAGAAGGACGCTTAAGCTTACCCAGATTAAAATTTACTAGCAAGTGCTCCATCATTTTAATTTAAATAAATGTATTATAAGAAATGTAATATTAAATGAATCAAATAGTTTAAAGTAAAATATAAATATTTATTCACCCCTTATATAATAGAGAAAATTAAGGACTTATTGCTTTTCATTTTGACTGCCATTTTCATTGAAATATAATTGACAAATAAAAAGTTATAAATATATTTTCAATATAAAGTTCAGTCACAGCTAGTAATGAATTTTTAGAGAAAATTTTCATTAAATTATCTTTTAATATATTTCTTCAATTTTATGTCAATATTATTTAAGAAATTCATAAATTTGCTTTTATTTAAATAGTTTACAAACTATCTTTAGATATTTTAAAGTTGATTTCTCAATAGACAAGAAATATAAAAAATAGTTTGATAATTGATTTTTCAATATTTCTGTTCTTACAATATTAATTAATTCAGATAGAAAATAGAATATTGATTGAAAATAAAAAATTTCCAATTGAACACATTAGAAATAAGGAAATTAAATTTTATTTAAATGATATTTGGCCATTAAAAATTAGATGAAACTGTGAAAAGGATATATTTTAGATAATCAAAATGATGATGAGAAATTTGGAAAAGTATTTAAAATGATTATAAAATAAAATTCAATTATTTTATTAAATTCATAAAGAGAAATCAGTTGGAAGAATAAAATTAAAAAAGAAAAATTATTCCAGTAAAAAAAATTTCTCAAAATAAACATGAAATAACCCAATATCTTATAATCACGTCTAAAATCATCATAAGGCAAGGTTAAAGGGCTTTGATTTTTCAAGCTTTTACCTGACTTTTGGAAATCTTCTTAATTACGATTCATAAGTATCCTAAACATATTTATCAAGTGGGACTTCTTTTTAATACCGTGATTTATGCATTTTAAAAATCTATTGACTAGTTTTCTTAATAGTTTCATCATCATCATCAATTGTGAAGAGATATTTTATATCTTTTTTTTTTATTTTAATTGATTATTCTTCTATAGGTTAAGGAATTTCAAAATTGTAAGTTTTTTTGAGATAGTCATAAAATAGCTTTTCGTCTTTCTATTAATAATATTTGATAGTACATGTCCAACTTTTTAAATTAATAAAAAATGCAAAAAGTTTCCTTTGCTCATTTGACTAAGTTTTCTTTTGGCTTTAGGGTCAATTCTACTTGAACTATGAATTGAAATAGTTTGATTGGCTTGGGATTTTGGTGAATTAATTTTAGATATTCCATTGATGGATCCAAGAAAATGTTTTTCTTATCTTGCAGATTGTTATTGATTTAGTTTATTAATTTTAGGAGCAAGATCTCTAGAAATAATTTATTTTTCGATTGATTAACTCCAAGATCTAAGAGGACCCCTTGTTTTGTGAATAATGTTATTATCAGAAAGTTAAGGAGACAATTAACTGATAGCATTTGAAAATGGAGATTAAACATCGCGAGGAAACCAAAGAGAGTTAGAGTTGTTAGTGATTTGGTTAGTATGAGTGAATGTAGTTTTATGTTGTTAATTGAGTTTTTACATGTCTTGTAATGTTTTCATTTGATTATTAAATGAGTTAAACAAAATATAAGGAAAGCCAGCAAAAATAGTATTTAATAATAATTATACAAGGATAATTTGCTTTGAAAAGTTGCATATATCAAATTACAACTCATAGTTTGTATTTGGGTAATATAATATAATATATAATGACAGAAATAAATATAAATAGTATACAAGAATAGTATACACGAAATTATTTTGTAGTGCAATTAATACTTTAAATTATAATTTAAATTTATTGTTATTAGTATATTAAAGTTATAGTCTAATACAAATATATATAGTTTCTAAGAAGAAGAAAACATTTTGAAGAAATTAAATATTGGTATAATAACTATGAATTTCAGTTACTTTCATGTCAATTATATCTGTAACTTTAGAATACAAACTACTATTATTAAGTATTTGACTACCATTTTAGAAATTATACTTCTAATTTGTAAATAAGAACTTTACTTAAGGAAGATTTTGCAATTTAGAAATATATATTTATAGTAAATTGTAATTTTAAGCCTTAGAAAATACTATAAATCAATAGCTATAAATGAATTATTTTTGAAAGACTTTCAATATTATAAATATCTAAAAATGAATATGAATTTCTGACAGATTATTTAGAAATTTAATTAAATTTAACAGTAGAATTAGAATGAAAAGAAATTTCAATATCAATGAGTATAATAATAAGGAATGCTTAGTTAAAAAAAATGTATTTGAGTAAAGTTAAAATATTAGTAAAGAAGAAAGATAGATAAACAAAGATAGTTATTTAGGAATAATAAAATTAGAGTATATGTAAGTAGAATAGGAGAAGTTCTTTTTCTAAATTGATTGTAATCATAAATGATAAATGTGGATAGAATTCTTTTAGTGAATAATAATAATTTACTTATTTTTTTTATTTAATTTACTTCATAATAATCAATTGCTCTCAGAATTCAGCACTTCCATGATATCTTGGGAATGGAATAACATCTCTTATGTTTTCAACTCCTGTAACCATCATTACTAATCTTTCAAATCCTAATCCAAATCCACAATGAGGTACTGTACCATATCTAAATTATATAATAAGTTTAATTACTTTCTTAAATCCATATAAGGCCCATAATCTTCTAAATTTAATCCACATTCTTTAATTCTTTATGCTAATACATCATATCTTTCTTCTCTTTATGATCCACCTATTAATTCACCTACTTATGGAATCAACATATCCATAGCTCTAACACATTTTCCATCTAAATATTATACATTTATTTATTATACCATCAGTAACCTTCATATAAAAAGCTTTAATTTCTTTAGGATAATCATATAAGAATACTGGCCTCTAAAATACTTTCTCAGCTATAAATCTCTCATGTTCACTATTTAAATCCATTCCCCATTTAATATCACTATTTTCAAATTTTGCACCAGCTTTTTATGCATTTAATAAAATATCAATTCCTTAAGTATATGAACATCTTATGAAATCTTTACTCACAATGTCTTTTAAATAATTTATCAATCCAGGTTTAACTCTTTGATCCAAAAATTAAAGATCATCCATATTATTTTACAAAATGTAATTTATACAGAATTTAACATAACCTTCTGCTGCCTCCATATTATCAAACAAATCAGCAAATGCAAATTCTGGTTCAATCATCCAAAATTCTGCTAAATGTCTATGAGTATGAGCTTTCTCTGCTCTAAATGTTGGACCAAATGTATATACATTTGACATACTTATACAGAAATTCTATTATAAAATAAATAAATATTACTTCCACTTATAATTAACCAGATACTGTTAGATTAACCTCTTTTTTAAAGAAATCTTATGCTGTATCTACTTTTCCATTCACTTAGGGAATTTTCTTAATATCATTATCAAAAATTGTTGATATTCTAAACATTTCTCCAGCACCTTCACAATCACTTCCTGTTATTATTGGAGTATGAATATATAAACATCCATTGTTCTAAAAAAATACATGAGTAGAATATGCTAAATTATTTCTTATCCTTGTAACTGCACTAAAGAAATTGCCTCTTGGTCTTAAATGAGCTTTCTATCTTAAAGTCTCTGGTTTCTAAAATCCTTTTGCCATTGGGTATTCCTCTGGATCAGCTTATCCTAATATCACTACTTCATGTTTTGTTGGATCAGATACAAGCATTTCTATTAATTAACCTTTTGCAGGACTCTTTACAATATTTCCTGTCACTTTTAATGAAAAACCAGTATTTGCTTTCGCAATCAATCCAAAATTGTCAATCTTATCTTCAACTACTATTTAAAGACCTCCAAAACTTGTTCCATCATTCAATTCAATAAAACAAAGATTCTTCTAATCTCTCACAGTTCTTGCCCAACCTGCTACTGTCACTGTCTAACCTATATATCTTGAAAGTTTTAATAAATAATATTACCCCTCACCAGCATTAAGCAATTCTTAGATTCTATATATTGTTCCCACATTATATTTTGGTAAATGTTTTTTGTATAATTCTTATGGCAAATCCCAAGAGCGTGGAAGTTTATTTAATCTCTTACTTACATCAAATTATGGTACTTCTACCTATTTAAAATAATTATATATGTAGAACTTTGAAACCAGCAGGCAATGGTGGAACATTGATTGGCTTCTCAACATCTCCAAACAATTTATCTTCTTTTTTGGCTTATTTTTAAGCTGTTGCTGCTGCTTGTTTGGCTGCATTTGTCATTGTTTTCACTCTTGTGAATAATTCATCTGATTCTAAGAATTAGTATTACATCTTATGATATTTCTAATTTAAATCATTTTTTCATCAAATTCAAATATTCTTTCATGACATTCAAATATTCTTTCATGACATTCAAATATTCTTTCATGAGATTCAAATATTTATAGTCCACATTCATTATTAAAATATTTAGATTTTATATAATTACTTATCCTATTATTCTCATCTTATTCTCAATACAATATACTAATCTTTTTATTTTAAATAATTTCTTCATTATTATTATTAAAAAATGTATCAAAATGATGAGGATTACAGTATACCAAATGAGTAATAAATATACTAATCCTTCGATTGCTGTATTGATGATCTTTCAAAACTTCGCTACCTTTACAATTACTAAAATAAATATCTCAATAAACATATTTATTATGTACTTATGCTATTTAAAATTGATAGTTGTCATTTCACTTTTCAGTATTAGAAATCAAATCAAAAGATATTTAGAACATGAATATTCATGCCGCTTGTCTTTATAAATTAGTTGAAGAACAAAAATCTTAAATTCCTCATTTAATGACAAAAATCCTTGGTATTCTATAGAATGTAATTCCAACTTTTATGTTGTTTAGAAATTATAATAATTGCCATAAATTAATGAATTACATATTGCATTCTTAAAATCCTGCATAATTAGTTACAATTATAAAATAGCTTATTAATTCATCAAATCTAAAATATTTTTGCATGGGAATTATCTTGATAATAAAAATAATTTATTTATATAGTATTTTTATTTTGCTGGTGTCATTGCCTAAGCATAATAAGTATAAAAGAATTTATGTTATTTTTAGGATTTTGATGAAGCTCTAAGATGTTATAAATTGGCCTATAAAATAAGTCCTTAAAATGAATTCTCATTTGAAGCAGAGAAAATGGAATCTTTGTTACGTTTCAGATTAGGTTTGGAATTAAGAAACTCTTCTAATATTATAAATCAATTTGTAGTAAATAAATTGAGTGATCTTATTTCAGAGAAAGATTAGTTAGATAGAAAAGAAAGAGAATTTAATTTATCAGATTCAAATCTCTAGGTATTTATTAGTATTTAATATATTTAGATTTGCTTAAAGGAATGGTCATAATAAGCTCTACTATATCAATTTTTATAAACTGAATCAGAACTTCATTCAAAAGTTTCTTTTGATTTACTGCTATTTCATTTAAAGATATAGAATTAAGATGTTCTTATTGAATATTTGTTGTAAATAAATAAAATCCATAATATGTTATCTATAAATGAAGAGAAACGTTATATTGAATTTAGATATAATAATTTAACATATAAATAAATTAATAGTAAATTAGAAAACAGAATTAATTTGATTTAATAATTAGAAAGTTTAAAATGAAAATTATAAAATATTAATAATATATTTATAAACAATTATAATAATGTATTCATTAATTTTAGGAGAGAGTTGTATGAATATTAGGACTTTAAGCCTTAAATTATGATTAATTTATTCTTGTTTCTAAGTTGTAAGTTTCTGGTTACAATCTAGCTCTTTTGATTTTATCACTTTAGAATATATGCTAAAATGGACGAATAGGAGATGTTTAAATGATGTTTTATTTTAAAAATTATTTATATTTAGGATTTAAATAAGGTTATTTATTTTAATCTTAAATTAATAATAAAAATTACTTAGATACGAGACGGTATTATAAATTGTAAGTGAAGTTAAACCATTATGAAAATCATGATCTTTGTCTAATTTTTTAGTTTTGTCAATTTTTGGAAAACAAGTTTTGGGTGTTTATTCAGGTCTATAATAAACAAATAGATCACAAAATTGTTCATATTCATAATCTCTAGATTTCATTTAATAATATAAATAAGTAAGTAGAGATTCTAATTTTACATGTAAAGGTAGTTATTATCTTTATAATAGATTATAAGAATCTGAATGTTCATGAATAGGAGCAGGACTGATTCTTTCAGCAATTCTTCCAAGAGCCTCAACAAATTCAATAAAAGTCATTCTTATATTTCTATCTAAAGTAAGTTCATCAATTTATGTCATCATAGAAAAATTGTAAATAATAACTTAAAGTTTTTCTGACAAATATTCATGCAAATTAAATTATTTACAAAATTCTTTAAACTCTCTTATAGATATCCATTTTAATTTAAAATACCATTTTCTATTTGTAATATCTGTAACATAATCATAGAGTTTTTTAATAAAGGGCATTTTAATTTATAATAAATGATCACATTCTTTAGTCCATAATCTACAAGTTCTCCATTCTTAAATAAGATCAAATTATTCATATTATTCTTTGAATTCTTTTAATAATCTAAAAAGTGCATCAGCATAACTTTTATGAATGTCTGTTCTAACATATTTATCATTAGCAATACGAAAAAACATTTCCATAAATTAATATCTTATTATAGCTTTTTCTGGATTATAAATAAATTTAGGATCAACATTATTTTTTAAAGATACAACATCAATTTCAACATCCTAAGATTTTAATAGATCTCCATCTATGATTTCAAGTTTGTTCAATAATTTCATATATTAAGGAAATTGAATACAAAAAACATCAAAAGTAGGTGGTTAATATCCAACACTTGAATAAAATTTATAAACATCTTTGATTAATTAATATTGATATCTAAAGTATTCTTTTAATTTTAATTTTTCGTAATCACTTTTTACAAATCGACTAATTTTACTACTATTCCAATCAAATTCGAAACATTCATTTAATAATTCCTCAGTATCTCCATTAAATGGCCTAAAAATAGAATCTTCTTTATGCCATTTAATTAGATGAGCTTATTTTCTCACTAAAAAGTTTGCAAACCTTCTTAAAACATATTTTTTTTAAGATGACCTAGGGAATACTTTAATTAATGGTTTATAATTATCTTTATCATCTATTATATATTCTTATCTTGAAAAAATATAATTTACTTATTAAATTTTAGTAAAAGCTAATTTTGTACCATCCGAAAAGATATGAACTCCATGTTTAGGATCTTTACCTTATAAAATAGCATTATCTAAAGGAGCAGGCATATTCATGACTCTTGGATCTATAAAATATTCTTCTTTTATTGGATTTGAAAAAAAAAATAAAATCTTTCTTTTTGGAGGACACATTTAATAAGTTGTATAATAAAACTTACTTAATTCTTAAATCATTTATTTTGTTATCTCTTCACTCTTTTTATTCGTTTCTTCTGCATAAGCTTCAGTAATTGCTGCTAAAGTTATTCTCTTATCAGTATTTACTAATTATTTTAATTAATGAATTATCTCTCCAGTTGTCAAATCAAAATAATTACTCTTTCTTTTTTAAGCTTCAATCAATTATTATCTCAATTCATAACTACTTGTCATAGGAATTGGCTAATAACTAATAGTTATTATACTAATTACTCTAAAAAATCCAAATGAATAAATATTGGATCTTAATTATTATCATTTTCTGGGTTATATTAGAATCTATATTCCATCCATCCTTAACAAATCCAACAACAATCATTTCCGAATAGATTATCTCCTTGCAGTGGAATATAATTTACACCATCTATTGCTGTTTTCTTTTGCTAAACTACTTTAAATTCTTCACTATCATTAATAAATTATATAAAACCATATGGATTTACTCTTGCAGAACATTTATTTCCTTCAACATGTAAACCATATAAAGAATTATTCTTTTATAATGCTATACTGAATTATTATAGTTATTTTTCACTTAACTAATTATAAGAAATATCTAAATGAGCTAAAGTAATCTATGGATTAGATATAGCTTCACATAAAGATTATATAAAATTGCTTCTTTCATTCTATCCTAAATGATTATAACTTAAATCAAGAACTTTAATTGATCTATTTTATAGTAAACCTTTGGATATCATAGTTCCTGTTGATGGTCCCAATTGATTCCAATTTAATACTAATATCTCTAGATAATTATTTTGCATTAAGAATTAATAAAATGCTGTAGAACAAGAATCAGTTATTTAATTTTCTGATAAATTTAATTTAAGCAGAGTTATGTTTTTCTAAAAACAATTCAACAAAACAGTGACACCTTTGTCTGCTAATAAATTATTTTAAAGATTTAGAGATTTCAAATTTGTAAATTTCTAAATTTGATTTGATAATATTAAAGCCCCTCTTCTACCAAGAACATTATTTCCTAAATTAATCTCTTTTAATGAAAGAGGGAATCCCTCTATCAAATAAAGTAAAGATTTATCATCTAATTGATTATTACATAAAAATAATTGCTTCACACTTTTACTTTTTACTGACTGTAATAAATTTTTAATCAAAGGAAAATACTTTTCAGTCAGGCCAAGATCTGAAAAATGCATTTCCTTTTCATTTACCAAACAATTAGATAAATCTATTCTCTTTGGAAATATATTATCATTTAAACAGTAAAAATGAATTGGATCTACATTTTTTTTATTGAAATTAATTGCTAGATCTTTTAATTTATCTTATCGTTTAATAAAATAAAAATAAGATTAATCTATTTCATGATCTAAAAAGATATCAATTAAATTTACTTAGTTTTTATTAGATTTTCTTAATTTCATGTTACATTTCAATTCCGTTAAATCTTTTAGGTTCATCTTCACTACTTATATTACTTATTACATCTTCATTATCTTCATATTCAATACTATTTTATTATTGTATTAATTATTATTCAGTTTCCATTAATTCATTTGATACATCTTCATTTGCTTCTTAAGTTTCTTTTTTGGTTTATTCAATTGGAGAAAATCTCTGTATTAATGAGCCTAAAGGGAAATTTTTTTTTTTATTCGCTCCTTAATCAGATTAAACAGATGTATTGGTTAGAATTTATCTCATTTCAGTTAATTTTTCATTACTCTTAATATAATATGCCATAAGAGTGTGATCATTTGAAAATTAATTATCGATCAATAATTTCTAAGCTTTGAATTTATTTTCTGTAATTTTGTTTTCTGAAATACTACGATTTGATTTGAAGAAGGATTTTAATTTATTAGCTTTTTCTTTTGAATAATCTTTTAGTTGAGGTAGGTAACCTTTAGATCTGTCATTACTATTTTTCATTTATAATTAATATTATAAATAATTTAGTTGTTCTGAATTTAAATATTTATTGAATGAAATTAAACTTATAATTATTGATATTGAGTAAATTTTTACTGAATTTTAAGTTAAGAATCAATTTAGAAAATTAATTGATATGACAGTTTTTAAATTTGACTGAGTGATAGAAATAAAATATAAAGGAGAAAATACATATATTCAAATATTTCATTAATCATCATATTCTTCTAAGACTGCTATTATATTGTTATTTTTGTATTATGCTTATTGTTATTATTCAAAAATAGTTGTTCTTCCTGAAACTTATCTACTAAATGTATTATTATTGATAGTATTAATGGTATTTGGATTAATTATAGTTCTTTTTTTACCGGTTTATTATAAGAAATTCCTATAATTAGGATGCAAATAAGGTTAATGATGAGAATCTTACAATATAAATTTAATTACTGAAAAAGGATATTGTATTGTAAACAGTTAATTAAGTAGTTGTAATTAAAAATTCATCAGTATTCTCTACTTTGGATAGCTTTTCATAAACTTTTGGCATAAATATGATTCTTGTTTCTTAAGCATCAATAATATCTCTACAAAATAGATCTGTATATTAAATAAATTCAGTTTATCTAAATTAAATGATTAAATAGAATACCTTCTTAATTTAAGAAAAATAAAAGTAAGTAAAGATTCTAATTTAATATGTAATGGTAAAGTTTGTCTAGAAAGAACAGGCCAAATAGAAGCATCTTCTCCAATAGGAGCAGGACTTATTTTTTCGGCTATTCTTCCTAAGGCTTCTAAGAATTCATTAAATGTCATTCTTAAAAAACGATCTTAAGTTACTTCATCAATTTATGTTTACATTGAATAATTAAAAATTACAGTGACTTATTTTTCAGATAATATATCATTTGTATATAATTTACAAAATTCTCTAAATTCTTTTATAGATATCCATTTCAATTTAAAATACCATTTCTTACTTGTTAAATCAGAAGCTAAATCATAGAGTTTTTTTAAAAATGGAGATTTAAATTGTAATATTAAATCTACTTCTTTTGTCCAAAATCTTTATTTTCTCCATTATTAACTATTATCAAGAATTTCATAATGTTATTCAAGTTCTTTTAATAATCTATAAACTGCATCTGCATAATTTTTACATTATCCTGATCTAATATATTTATCATTTGCCAATCTAAATAGTACTTCCATAAATTAATATCTAATTATAGCTTTATCAGGATTATAAAGAAATTTACTATCAACATTATTTTTTATTGATACTAAATCACTTTCAACATCTGATTATTTTAAATTCTCACCATCTACCATAGGTTATAGAATTTTATTGAATTAACTAAATTAGATACAAAAAACATCAAATAATGGAGGTTAATATCCAAAACTTGAAAAGTATTTATAAATATCTTTAATTAATTGATATTTTTATCTAAAATATTCTTTCAATTTCATTTTCTCATAATCACTTTTAACGAATCTTTATATTTTTGAACAATTCCAATCAAATTCAAATGATTAATCTAAAATTTCAATAGAATCTCCAATCATTCCTCTAAATATTATTGAATCATCTTTTGACCAAATTACAACATTTCCTTTTTTATTTTTGAATTTTCCTAAATATTTTGTTAAAATATATTTTCTTTATAAAGTTCTAGGTTTAACTTTAATCAAAGGTTTATAATTATTTTTATCATCAATAACATATTCTTATTTTGTATTTAACACATTTACATAATGTATTTTTTTAAAAGGAATTTAAGTATTATCTGCAAAAATGTGCATTTAATGTTTTGGATCTTTTCCTTATAGTATGAGATCATCAATAGGACTCTAAATATATTCTAAATTGGGATCATAAAAGTATCTTTCTCTAAGAGGATCAGAAAAAAAATATAAGATTTTACTTTTTGGTGGACACATCTGATATGTAGTATAATATAATTTATTGAATTCTTCAATAATTTAATTTTGAGTTTCATTTTTTGTATGATTTTCAACATTATATGCTTCTTCAATTGCAGCCATAGTAATTTTTTTTTCAGTATCTGTAATAGATTTTAATTAATGAATAATCTCTCCTGTAGTAAGTTCTAATTATTTATTACTCTTATTCTATTCCATTAATTATTATTTCATTTCAAAACTTGAAGTCATAGGGATTGGCTTATAACTATAGTTAACAATAATAATACTCAAGAAAATCCAAATGCAAAAATATTGGTACTTATTCATTATTTTAATAATCAGGTGTGTAAGTGAATTAATGTTCTTTCCATCCTTAACAAATCCAACAACAATCTATTAATAATTCTTGACCATTGCATATAGGAATATAATTAACTCCATCAATCTATATTTTTTTTTATTGAACTTATTTTACTAAATTTTCTTATTTAGAGAATTGTAAAAATCCAAATGCATCAATAAAAGCTGGACATTTATTTCCTTCAATATGTATACCATATAATGTAGTATTTTTATTTAATGCCTTTTATAATTAAACCATTTATTTCTCACTTATTTGATTATATGAAATATCTAAATGACATAATGCAAGATTTGGATTTTCAATTAAAAGACACCATTAAACTATGCAAATACTCTTTTCATTAAATCCTAAATGATTATAGCTTAAATCTAGAACCTTTAAATTCTTATTTTAATTCAAAGCTTTTGCTATACCAATTCCTGATTAAGGTCCTAATTGATTCCAATTTAAAATTAAAACTTCAATTGAAAGATTTGATAACAAGAAATTTTATAATTCTTAAGTTACCTTATCTGTAATTTGATTCTGAGATAAATTCAATTTTTTAATTGTTCTAGCTTCTTAAACAGCATTTAGAATCGTAATTGCTCCTTGATCTCCTAATAAATTGCTTGCAATATTTAAAGATTTCAAACTGAATAGAAAATAAAGATTACTTTTTATGTTTATTAAATAATTTTGCAATCAAAAGTGCTCCTTATCTTCCTAATTCATTTTAAGAAATATTCAAATCTTTTAGTGAACCTGGAAAAGAATCAATAAATATTGATAATGAATGTTCTCTTAGATGATTATTTGTTAAGATTATTGATTTAACTTTCTTACACTTTTTTGATTTTAACAATTAAGATAATAAAGGGAAATACTTTGAATTGACTTTTAAGTCTTTAAAGTTCATTTCCTTTTATTCAATTAAACAATTCGATAGATCAATTCGTTTTGGAAAGAGATTTTAATTGATGCAATAAAAGTATAATGGATTCATAGAATCTCTCTTTCTAAATGTTTAGATTAAATCTTTTAATTTATCTTGATTTTTAATATAACCAAAGAAAGATCTATTTAGATCATTTGCTAAGGATGAATTATTAATTCTATACATATTTTTCTTTTGATTTTGTCTATATCTCTATTAAGGTCTTTGAATCTCATTTCTGAACTTTAATCAGAATCTTCATCATCTGAGGATTGGTTTGATGAAATATCAATATCAGATTCAGACTCATCAAATAATTAAGTTTTATTTGAGGAGAGAGAGTTATTACTACTTTAATCTTAAATTTAAATATTAACTTGCCGATTAACATTTGTTGGATTAGTTTTCCATTTTTATAAAAATAAATGTCTTTATTATGGTTAATCAGACTTTTTAAAATCTAAGATTTTTTCTTTGCTAAATATCAACAAGATTAATTACTAATTATCTCTAGCCAATCTTTCGGTTTAAGGTTCATAAATAAATTCAGGTTGCTATTTTTTGGATTAATAATAAAAATAATTTTGTTTTGTTTCTGAAATACTTCTATCAGTACGAAAAAACTCTTTTAATTTATCCTTCTTCATTTATGAATAATTTTAGTGAATTTTTGGTAGATGAATAGACTTTTTTGTCATATTTGAAAACTAAATTTCCATTAAGTAATTTTAAAACAGGTTAAATATTATAAAAAATAATTTGTTTAATATTGTGGTAATTTAAAAAATTCAGATTTTCTTTTTGGGAGACATAATATACTATTTATTTTCTATTTAATTTTAAGTAAATATATTGATGTCTAAAATGATAATGTAATAATTTATTTTTTAAAGTAAATATAATTAAATTAATAAAAAAAAAACACCTTTAAAAATGAACCATCTTGAAAGATAATTACATTAGTAAGGAAAGAAAATAAAATCATTAGCACAAGAATTAGATGATATTAAATAACGATATTCTGAATTATAATTTAAATTAAATTAAGAGGAGGAGAAAAATAAAATATTATAATCAGATTTAGATAAATATACATAAATGAAATATGAATAAAGAAGATAAATTCAATTTTTAGAATCATAAAGAGATAATTTATTAGAATAATTAAAATCATTACATGAATATAATTCTTCAATGTTTAATCTATAGTAAGAAATAAATCAATAATTTTTAGACATAATAATTCATTTAATAAAATGAGAACGGTTTAATAGCTAACACTTACATAAGATGAATTATAAAAATCATAATAACAATTATTAAGATTATAAAGTGAAAATGTTGAATTGAGAAGCAAAGTTTAAGAATTAATGTTAACTAATTAATAATAAAATGAATAGATACAAGTATATCCATAATAAATAGAAAATCTCAGATAAAAATATATTCAATTATTATCTGAAAGAGATTTACAAATATTATAACTTGCTGAGAAAATAGAGTAACTTAGAAAAGATTAATAAATAAAAGAAGAAAAATGTTAGAAAATAGAATTTGAAGAATCTGATATAACAGAAGATACAAATTCTAATTAGGATGGTAATCTATTTTAATAAACATTAATTGATAATGCTGAAACAATAAAAACAATGAAAAAATCAGATGAAGAAAAGCAGAAAACTATTTTACATCTTAGTGAATAAGTTACATTATTACAAATTGAGAATTCAAAATAAAGATAGCTTTATACAAGTTAATAAATAACAAAACTTTATCCTTAAGAGATATAATTATAAATTCGTCGAATTTAACAATTAAGAAGTATTCTACCTTAATTTACAACTAAGATTGCAATATTGCAAATGAAATAATAAGAGATTAATCAATTGAGATAAAGAACTTAAGATTTAGAAAATGAATTAAAATATTAATAGAAAGAATTAACAAAATACAAATAAAAATATTAAAATAAAAAAAGAAAGCTAGGAGATATAAAGGAATAATTTTCAAATGTTTTATCCGAGAATTGGAAAATAAAAGAGAAATTATTAGATATAATAAAAAATGAATAATAAGTTGAATAATTACTTTAAAATTTATCTAAAGAATTGTGTTTTGATGAATATCCTTTTGAAAGTTTGGATGAGTTGCTAAATAGCTATAATAAGATAAAAATGAAATTGTTAAATTAATCAGAATAGAAGCATATGAGACTTCTTTGATTATAAAATTATATAAAATAGTATTTGATAGGTAAATAATTACAATAAAAATATGAAGATAAATTTTCATAATTATAAACGTAATTATCTATATATATATATATAAATAAATAATATTAAACAAGTTAAAGAAATATGAAGAATTTTCTTGAAAAATATATAAGCAATGATTACAGTATTCGAATGAATAATGTATCATAGAACCATGGTATTAAAATAAAAATTAATTTATTAGAATATTAATTGAATTAATACAAATGTTCTTCTCCAATAATATTTGGAAATAGATTTGCATCACCTTCTCCATTTAGATCTGTTACTCCAATTCAAGGATAATTATCACCAGCTAATCAATCTCGAAGAGAAAGTGCATTTTCAAGGAACTCTGATAACTATGATTTTTCAGTTAAAGAAAAATCAAAAATATTAAATAAACCAATAATTTAACAGTATCAAAAATAACAAGAATATTAAGATGAAGAAGCATAGAATATTGATTATTTTTTTGATAAAGAATAAATAATTCTTGAAGAATAAGAACTTTTACATGCAAAGCTTAGAATGATACGTGATGATTTCAATTTCAAAATATAATAATTAGAAGATTGTAATTAATTATCTAAGTTTTAAGAGAATACCTTCGAGAAAGATAATCGATTCTTTAAAATCTATCAATTTCAATTAAAGAAGAACAAGACAGTTATAATGAATAATCAAAACAAAAGAAAAGATAAAATAAATAAAATGAGATACATACAAGAGCTGATTCTATGCATAAATAAGATTCTAAAAATGACTCATAACCAATCTATTTAGAAATGAGAGCAGCTAGTTCAATGAAAGAATAAAGAATAGATTCTAATCTTGAAAAAAAAGATTGTTTTGATATTAGACGAGATATTCGTCATGAATCTATTAATGGTTATAGTTCACATCATAGAAGAGAATCATCATATAAAACAGTTAAATTAAGAGAATCTAGAGTAAAAAGAGAAGAATCATTAAAATGTGATTCTATTAAAGATGATTAACCATTAAAGAGTGCATTAAAAAAGAAGGATTCTAATAGATAAACTTATAATTGTTAAGATGATTCTTAAGATGATTGGAAATTTATTAAAGAAGCTAAAAATAATTTAGAAAAATAAAAAACTCAATTAGATGATAAATAGTCTCCTAATAAAGTTAGATTTGTTAATTAAGAGAAATCATAAAAAAAATAACAGGATAAAGTAGTTAAATAAAAATATTTAAATGATATTGATATATTTTTAAAATGTAGATATTGATTTTTATTTATAAATTATTAAAAAGATTTATAAACTATTTTAATCATTATTAAAATTAGTTTTTCTTAATACCTTATGGTGGCTTTAACATTCTTCTAGAGGTTGAAGCAATAAATAATCTCATTCCACAAGCTAATTTAGCTACTTTATAATAAAAAGTAAATTTAAATGCTTTTTTTAAATTACTTGTATAGATTGAAGAAATCTTAGATTTTTATTTATTTAAATTTAAAATTACACTTAAAGCATTACTTTATGGCATATAATTTTAAAATTAAAATATTTTATCAATATCTAAATTAAAAGATTTATTTGAATGTCTATTATGATCCTCAATTTCAATAATAGTATTAGACGATAATCCTTATTTTGAAGATTTTTGCTAAATTAACTAGACACTAGCCCCATCTGGATGGATGTTACTTGATTCTCTTTAAAATGCAATAGACATTTTTCTCTTATCTTTATTTTCTATTAATTTATTAGATTATTAAGTAATAGCGAATTTCCCTGTTAAATTTTTAGATTGTCTTCTTGGATTTAATTTTGATTATGGTACAACAATATTTGAATCTTAAATTCTATCTTATTTTATATCAGGTGATTATTCACTTAATGATGATACTTCAGGAGTTTCTGTTTTATAATCACTTTATCTTCTTGTAGTTTAATCTTTATATTTTTTAGTACCACTTATTATAGTTTAAGTTTCATTTTAGTTAGATATTAATTCTTATTATTAAAATTGAACAACAGTACTCATAATACCCTATCTATTAATTATATAAATACATTAATTGAACTTAAAACTTTTAATTTCTATCTATCATTTCTTTTTATAAGATCTCTTTATTATAAAGTAAATCCTTCTCTTTTTATTAAAGTTTCTAAATTAGGTTTATAAGATATTAAAAAACAATCACTATTCATATGATCACAATTATTGCATAAATTACATTTCTTACCAATTAAACTATAATCAGATAAATAAATTAATTGATCTTTTATTTATTGAAATAATTCTTTATCTCGTTAATTATTTTGAAGTACTCTTACAAAATCTAATCTAGAAATTTTGTATAATTATGTAAATTGAGAACTTATAATCATAAATTTAGAATCGAATCCACTTATAAATTAATATTCTCCAAAACTCTATCCTTCATTAAAAGTTTAAACAATTTTCTTAGTTCTTATTTCTACTAATCTGACTTATCCTGAGTCTACATAAAAACTAATTGATCAATAATTATTTTACATATGATAATCTTTATGTCTCTCTTCTGGATTATAAATTACATCATTTGGAATATAATTAATCTATTCAATTTATGATGTAATTTAATTTAATGTTGTTTTAGAGAAATTATTATATAAGATTTTCATATTTTTTATTATTCTTGCTTTAATGTTGAAATTAACCTCATTTTTTAAACCTGTTGGTAAATTTTCTAAGATTTATTAAGCCTATATATAATTTAAAATAATTTCTTACTTCAACTTAGTTACTTTTACTTTCTTAGTCTACCTAATTTTTTAAATAATTTCTGACTCTATTTTATATAGAATCATCAACTAAATTATTCTTCATAAATGTATTAATAAGAATCAACTATCTTCTATTAAATAATAAAAATATAATATTTACTTATATTAATTTTTATGATCATAAAAATTCTTAATTATCATTCCAATAGAATTTACAGAATATGCAAATACAAAACTACTGACAAACATTGTAAAATTAGAAAATACAATTTCGATTGGATTAGCTGCTGTTATATCTCCATATCCTACTGTTACCATTGTCATAGTTGCCCAATATATTGCATAATCATATTTTATCCAATGTGATTCATTTTCTAAAGAATATTTACTTAACCATGATTGTAAACTAAAATCTTGACTAACAAGAGCTAAATAATGCCAAAAACATCCAATAATATGAATAAAATAATATAAAGAAATGATTAAAAAAATCAAATCTAATATTTCACTTAAACGACCACTTAAATAAAGACAATCAACAAAATTGTTAATTTTTGTATAGACTGTAAATATTGTTATTATTATCTAAATCATTGACAATAATTATGTAATCTAAAAATGATCTACTCCTTAATACATGATTAACCAAATTATCAAATTTACTAGATCATTAATCATTTAAAATCTAAGATAATTTTTGATTATCTGTTTTCTACTTACAATTAGCTAATTAATTTAATTTCAATTTTTTACTTCTCCCTGCACTAAAATAGCTTTATTATTCGCTATTAGACCATCAATAAATAAATAAATAAAAACTATTTCAATAATTCTCTATATTTCTTAGTTTTTTTCCAATTAAAATGAAGCAATAAAAGGAGATAACCATAATATAAAAAAGCTACATAAAATACTAAATAAACTCCAAATTTTAACAAATCTATCTTAAGGTAAAAAAACTGGAAAGATAAACAATTATTCTAATTTACTCAAAGTTTGATTTTTCTTAGTTCGTTTTCCTTCTAATAATGAATCATCTAAAAATAAATAATTAAGTAAATGTTTTTTTTCCTCCATCATTTATTTTGTTAAAAGATGAGCATTTGATAACAACCTATCTTTGAATTTTAAGAGCATCTATTTGCCTAAAACTTACTTTAATTATCCACCATCATTTTCATTATTTTCATTTTTAAATTGACTACGAGTGTTTTAAAATTTCTTATTAGCTGATTACTAAAATTATAAATGAAAATACATCAAACTTAATTGATAAAATTTATGAATTCTTTTTCATTAATTTGTTTTTATTCATTATAGTCTCGTGTTTTAGTGATCTCATGCTTTCCATGTTGCTGATTTCTGATTGAATTAAAACGTCAGAATTTGATCCAACTTTTGGATCTACTTATGGAGTCGCTCCATCTAAAATAAACCTTGGAGAAGTAAAATCTTTGATGTCTTACTCAAAAAAATAACTTGACATGTATAAATTTAATAATTAGAATAATCTCTGAAAATATTTTTTCATATGCTGTTTTTCTTATTGTTTAATCTTACAAAGCATAGTATGATACATCTAAAACTATTCAGGAATTTGTTTAATGAATAATTATTTAATGATTTTAAAAATTACATATATATCTCTTACTTATTTTATAAGAATTTATTTAACATATTTAAAATTAAAATATCAATTTTCTTTCAAATTTTTTTCAATTTTACAAATACTTAACTGGCTTCTTGAAATAATTTAAAAGAGATAAATATTAAATCAATTTAAGTTTAATACATTTTATAATGAAAATAAATTATATTGATATTATTAAGATTAATTAATTGTTAATTACATTTAATTAATTCATTTTTATATTATGTAAAATAATATTGATAAACTAAAAAATGTAATAAATAAATTGTTTTTTGTATTCTTTAATCAATAAAGACTTGATAATTAATAAAATAGATATATAAAATCAAATTTAGCTATTTACTCGATACAATGATTTTCTAATTGCATTTGGTAGAGGTTCTTTTTGAATGAATATAAACCTATATTTATTCGTTGAAAATTAAATTTTGTAGAGCTTTTATAATTTCTATTACTTTTAATAAGAATTTAGAACATTTTGTACATTATTTTATGGGAAATAGATTTAAAATGTTTCCATTTTATCTAATTCAAAATTAAATGAATGAAAAGATTGTATATGTTCCAATTAATTAAATAAGGGATTACTTTTAGTTTAAGAATTATTGGATGTATTCATAGCTTATTATTGTATTTGTTATTAATCATTAACTTAAAGATATTATTAATTATTATTATGTCTTTTTGATTGATCCTAAGAGGAATTAAATAAAGATTTTCTATTTTATTTGTTTGTAGGAGTATCACTATTGTGTCTATTAGATTTTTAGATAGACTCTAATTTAATTAAATAATTTACTTTTTTCATCAATTTGTGATTATTCTGGATTAGTAACCCATAAAGAAATTCTTTTTTTAATATGTTAAGTAGTTTCATCATTAAATAAAATATTTTGATGTTCACTTTCAAGAATACTTGAATTTTATTTATCACCAGATTCAATAGAAATAATTGATTAATCTTATTGTATAGTTTTATTTGGAGGTTCATGATCTTCATGATTATTAAATATTCTCTAAAATCTTAGATTTTTACGTTTAAATTATGATCTATCTTGATTAGAATTATATAATTATTTTTTAATTAAGAATTCTGTATCAGGTCTATAAGTAAGATAATGACATTAATTAATAAGATGATCACCTTAACATGCAAAACATTTAATAGATAAATCATGGTAATGAAATAAAATCTTATCTCTCATTTCACAATATTTTTAAAAGTCTATAGAATTTTCAGCAATTATATCAAGAAAAGTGTCTCTACTCATTCTATAGATTGAACTAAATGTAGTACTTATTGCTTTTGTTTATCTTTTCTAAGAAGTAAGAAATTCATATTCTCCAAAACACTAACCTTTAGAACATTTCTGAATAATCTTATTTGTTTTATTATCAATAAGATTTATTTCTCCTTTTTAAATAATGTATATTGAATTTTCATCAATTGAATTTGATTAGAAAACAATTTCTCTTGGTGTATATTATTAAATATTCATTCTACAAGCAATTTAATGAATAGTAGAAGGTTAAAAATTTTTAGTGAAAAAGTCAACATTTGTTATTGCTCTTATTTAAACATCTTCTAACAATTCTTATTTTAAATTATAAGACAATTTTTCTATAATTTAATTAATTTCTTATTTATTTCCTTTTACTTATTATTCATAATAATATTTCAAATAGTTTCTAACTCTACTTTATAATTACAAAGAAACTTCATTTGAATTCATGTATTGATTGATTAAAAGTAAATTCCTTTTATAGGATTACTTTTATAAATCAATATTTGAAAATATTACACCTATTGCATTTATTGAAAATGCAAATACAACACTAGCAAAGAAAATCATAATTATTGCACATATTACTTCATAAATATTTTATGGAACTACATCGCCATATCCAACAGTTACCATTGTAGCAGTTGCCCAATAAAATGAATAACCATATTTATAAAATACTGCAGATTATTATAAATTTTGTTGTTAAATCCATGAATTTGAAAAGGAAGATTAACTCATGTTACCAACATAATACCAAATGCAAGCCATAAAATGAGCAAAATAAAAGATCAAGATGATTAATTAAGATAAACTAACAAATTCAGTAAAATTGGATTGAATTGCAAACATTTCTCCATATCTATTAATAGTTTTTTTGAGTTTAATAAAATTTAAAGTGAATTGGATTAAAACAATAATTTCAGGGAAAAAATAGATAGTAATTGGATCATTTCCTATTACAAATGTCAGTGTAATTAAATAGATTGCATCTTCATATAATTCATATATAATGTAATGTTTTACAATCTTAAGTCGATCATATACTATTTATCCTTAATCTATCATGCCTCTATTTAATTTTATCAATAAATCTAATCCAAATAAATAAATAAGCATTTTTTCAATATAATTCATAGTAGAAGTTTGAGGTGGATCAAAAGATATTTTGAATGGTACCCACCACAATAAAAACATAATTTAAATTAATCTTAAGAATTACCAAAACATATAAAATCTTCCTGTTGGATTGATTATTGGTATTTTTTAATTTTATTGAACATTGTCAAAAGTTTTTAATAACTCATGTTAGCCCTAATCAAATTTAGCCTCTTATTATGAATTTTTTTAATGATGATGATTTTTGTGAATATAATGTTCTTCTAAGAAATTAGCTAATTATTCATTTGGATTTCTAGGATATATATGTGCATTTTGAAATAACCTGTCTTTAAACTTTTTTAATTGATTTTTCTATTTAATAAGTTACATAATCTTGCTACCTCTTGCATTTTAAATTCTATCCTATGGAAATTAGGAAGCTGTCTTAGTAATATTTTGATTGTTTTACATAATAATTAGATGATTTCTTTATATTTGCTCTAGCTTATCTAATCTATTTATCATATCCTATTTCATCATTGGATTTCTCATAGATAGGACTAAAGTCTTGACTATCTTACTTATTCTTCTGAATATGATTAGTGTTTATATGAATTAATTATGGTTAAAATTTATCTGAATATCTTGAAGAACCTATACTAATAATCAATTGAACTTTAACTTATATTGATTGATCTTGCTGATTCTTGTTAATCCATACAATTTTTGATATTGATTGGTAATTTATAAAAATATTTATTTAAAATGCCAGGCAATATTAAAGAAGCCTTCTTAAAATTAGATCATTTTTATTTTTCTTATGAAAAAGATAACATTAATTATATATTTCTATTTACTTATGAATATAATATTAATGTACCAACCTTAATACTTAGATTTATGATGGTTAAAATATATGGTTATTATAGATTTTTCAAAAACATATAGAACAAAGGAAATCTAAAAGAGAAATTAAAAGAAAAATCAATTCTTTTATAGATATGATCTAATAAACATTAGAAAATAATTATTAATAATAAATAGTAGATACTTTAATTCTAAAGATCTTATTTAAATTCTAATTGACTCATAGAGTTTTTATTAAAAATGTGTTAAATCTAGGTGAAGATCTAATCATCTAAAATGAAGATTTATTCAGTTTCAAAAGATTTTACTTTAGATTTATATGAATCGATTATATATAAATTTATTTCTTTAAAAAATTAAAAATAATCAGAAACTGCTTAGTTAAACTATAATTTTATTAATCAATTGATAAAGATATTCCAAAAATGTTTTCATTATTATAAGAAGTAAAAGAAGAACCTCCTAAAATTAAATTATTAATGGATATATATATATTATGTCTAATAAAAAAAAGATGAAATCAAATATTTTGTTTTTATAATCATCATAAATAATCCTTTATATTATTAACAATATTTATATTGTCATCTTCATTCTCTTCTTACTCTTTATCTAATTTTTATTCATCATTAATTGATTATGAACATTTATTTGAATCCTCATTTTTTGTATCTTCATTTTCCTATTCATTATTTATGTATATTATTAATCTATTCTCATTTACTGCATCTAATACTATTTATCCTTTCAATTCAAGCACTATATTACGAAAAATTAATTTTAGAGAACTTTATCTTAATTTTTCAATTATTTAATCTGATTCTTAATTTTTTTATATTATTTATAAATCATCATCTTTATTAAGTATTGAATCAGTTTCTTTATTGATAAGTTCCATTTTTATTTATTATGCCAATTAATCAAAATATTTAACATTTTTTTTTGCTTTTTTCCATTTTTTAGAAATTAAAGATGTTAATTCATTATGTGTTGCATTTGGATGTAATTATTTATCTTCTTATAATTATTTTTCATAATATTCTATCCAATCATTTTTTCTCTAAAATTTATAATCATCAAATGCAGACACTAAAGGTCTTTAAATTTCTTATTTCAACTCAGTTTATTGATTTGTTTCAATTTTCTTTTTAGTTGTTAAATCATTAGAAGTTTGAATAATATTAATGAGTATTTTTTTTGTTGTCATTTTTAACATTCTAAATTTGTTATTTTAAAATAGTTCTAATCTAAAGAACAAAATTTTAAGAGGATTTTTAATATAAATATTATAATCTTGTTAGATGATGTAAATAATTTTAGTAATTTATTTTAAAATGTTAATGTTATTTATTTTGAATATGCTATAATGAATATTTAATAAAAAATTATTAAATTTAACTGTTAATGAGATCTACCTATTCTCCTGTATAATTTTGATTTAATTGTAATAGATGAGATCATCTCCTTGTAAATTCGATATTCCAATAACAAAATGTACAGAAATTCAATAAAGATTGGATTATCAAACATGGAGTGATGTAAAAAAAGGTATTCGTGAAAAGGTTTAATCAAGAGTATAAGGATTTGAAAATTAGAAATTTATATAGAAGAGTGATCTTTTATATAATTTTAAGAATTAAGATTAAAAATTATCATGTCAAGCATTAGCATTGCGTTCATCAACAACATATGTAAAGAATCATTTAGAAAATAAATTTCCAAAATAAGAATCTCCAATAAAAATGGGTTTGACACATGCAATTTATTCTCCAAGTCAAAAATAATAAAACCCAATAGATGACATAAAAAGAAGTAACATATATCCATCTGCTTTTGGATCATTTACTGAAAAGGATAATTATAAAACCTATTCATCCAAAAGAGATTTAATGAGTTCTGTTAAATCAAGTTCTGATGTGATTGATTTTTCTCGGAAGAGTAAACCAATTACAGATAGAGTATCATTAACAGAAATAATAAAAATATCAACCCATTTATCAGATCTATAATAAACAGAAATATCATCTTTGAGTAATGGTTATCTATCAGAATTAGTAGGATTATAGTAAAACATAAACAAATTATTAAAAAATGCAAATAGCAAATTATACAAATGAATTATTTATATAAATAATTTTATTTTATAAAAAATGACGTCTTAAATATTTAAGGATCTTTAACCAGATTAAGAAATAAATTGTTTGATAGGTGATGTAGGTGGAACAAATGTTCGTCTTTAACTAGTAAAGATATCTCTTAAATTGACTTATTCAAAAGCTCCTTAACTTAAACAATATGCATCCTATAATACAGATTTATATCCTTAATTTTAAGATTATATTGTGGAATATTTGAAAGATGTTTAAAAAGAGAATCTACCTTAAATTGCAATTATAGGTCTGAATATTATATATTTAAGTTTAGGTATTGCTGGACCTATAAAGAATAATTCCACTTTGATGGCTAATACTAAATGGTCTTAAGTAGATGGAAATGCAATAGGATAAGCACTCAATATTAGACCATTTCTTTTAATAAATGATTTCTAAGCAGTGGCTTATGGAATTTTGGGACTATAATAAACAGATTTAATTTAATTGAATCCAAAAAATCCAAATCCAAAAGATAATTCAGTAAAAACTGTAATTGGTCCTGGAACTGGATTAGGAGTAGCAAGACTTATTCCTTCTATGAAATAAAATAATGTATGGGAATATAATATATGGTAATTAATTAGTATTAATATTTAAAGGCCATGTGAAGGAGGACATGTAGGATATTCACCATCAAATGATTTAGAAATAGAATATTTAAAATTCTTAAGAAAAAGATTAGGTTTAGGTTAAATAGTGGCAGAAAAAGCAATGGCTGGTTAAGCAGTTCCATATATTTATACATTTTTAAAAGAATAACTCGGACTTGATTCTCAAATTGAAAAGGATTTAGATAAAACATTATTTGAAGTAATTTAATTATTTATAAAATTAAAGGATAAGAATGATTTCAAATAATTCCCATCTACATAAGTATTTTAATATGGTGTAGAAAAGAAAGATCAATTATGTTAAAGTGTTGTTGATTTCTTTTTAACTAGTTATGGAACTGTCATTGGTGATCTAGTTTGTAATACAATGCCATATGGAGGTATATATTTATTTGGAAATATATCTATTGGAGTTGCTAATTACATTATTAACAATCCATAAGTTAATTTTTTAGTATTTATTTTTTATTTATATTATTTTAGTAAGACTATATTAAATATAGACCTCATTTAAATGAAATCTTTGATCAAATACCTATCTATGTAATTAAATAAGCATCTTTGGGATTAGAAGGTGCTTATTAAGCAGCTTACAGACTTTTAGAGTATAATGATTATGAAAAAGATATTTGATGAGCATTTATTATATATCATTCAAAGAACGTTTAAAATTATTGAATTCTCTTTAACAAATATAAATATAATAAATATTTATGTCTAATAATTTATAATTAAATTATGCCATTTTCCAGTTGTATAATTAATCACTCTAAGCCAAAAAGGTTTCTCTTTATTTAGGATTCTTTTATATCTTAGGAGGGTAATTTTTATTTTACTAATCTCTCCTTTTTACGTAGAATTAGTATTTATAGTAGGCATTACAAAATAATGATTTAGTAAAACATCTAGGAAAATCAAATTAAGTAGATCATAACCTTTCTATAATATTGCAATTTACATTTTTACACTGATTAGCTATACCCAGTGATGCTGGCAAGTTCAATTTTATTTCTAGTTTTGATTGGTTTTATTTTGGTCTTTTTGATTTCTTTGCACTAACTGAAGAAAACTTAATTTCAGACTAAAGTGATTAAAAAATGGTATGGACAAGTAAATTATATACTTTAATTAAAATTAGGTATTTATTAACACATTTGACTTTTTTGCACTCCTTGGATTTTATCCTATGATGATAATATTTCTTTCGATTTTTCCATTTGTTTTTGGAACATAGTAAAATGAAATAAACAAATACATATTAATTGTATTCGCAATTATTGGTTTGTTTTCAATTTTAATAATTTTATTATTTTCAATGATTTACAGTATCTTTTATTATAATGAATGGTTGAAAAAAAGAGATGGATTAACAAGAAAATAATGCTATTCAGTTGGAATACTTATATGTTTAAGATATTTAAATGTAATCTTTATAACTTTCAGTTAGAATAAGTGGAGTTAAGTATAATCAATAAATATTATTATAGAATTTTATCATGTATTTTAATTTGATATCAAGTTTAATATTAATTCTGGTAATAATTCATAATTTAAACTTTTAACATTATTAAAGATTTCAAATTAGATTTATATTTACTTAATCAATATTATTTTATTTTTGTATATCTTTTGGTTAATGTTTACATTATCAATTTGATATTAAGCCAGCGTTTGCAATAATTCTACTTTATGGATTAGTTTATACAATATTTAAGAGTACATTAAGAGCATTTTAAATAGAAGCATTCTTTGAAGAGACTAAAGATGCAAGACAATTATAATTGAAAGTTTAAGTATTTAGAGAATTTTAGAAAAATAATTAAATAATCAATAAAGTTGGTGATTTAATTTATTTTGGAGATATTTATCATCATTTAGCAAATAAATGCAAAAATTAATATTCAGAATTTGGAATGAGATGTTTTTGTACAATGAAAATAACATTTGATTCTAAATTATAAAAGGATATAAGAAAAACGATTTAAGCGATTAGAAATCATCGATCTAGTTTTACAAAGCTAATAATCAAATCATAATATGAGACTTTAATATAGAATTAGCCAAGAGATATAGAATTAAGATTTGTTTATGCTTAATTCTTATATTTTAAAATGAAGAATAAGATTTAAGCATATGAATAAATGATGTAAATAGGGAACAGAAGATTGAGTGTTCATTTATAATTAAGAATGGCTTTAATGTCATCAATAGCTAAAGAAAATATAAATGATTTAAATAGTTTAGCATATCATAGTTTTTTGGATTTTGAGTAAGTAATAGATATGGAGGATACAGTGTCTTAAATTTATTAAGTAATGTTGAAATTATTGAGTTTTTATTCTTCATTTTGGAGAAAATTGACTAGAAATCCATAAGTAGAAGAAATTCAAATAGAAATCAATAAGGATATTGATAAAGAATTGAAAAATTGTAATAAATTATGGAATAATCTAATTAAACATGAAGTAAGAGTAAAATAATAAGATGTTATAACTTCATATTTAAATAAAAGACTTAAATGGAAATTTGTATATTTTTGGTATATATTATATAATAATATATTATATAGGTATAGATTATTTATTTTAAATAAAAAGATAAGATTAACTTAAATTGAGAGTGTAACTTCAGCAACTTTACATTAAGAAATTGTTAATGAAGACTCTGATAGTGATTATGAAATTAAAGCTTATGAATAATTCAATAATTCAAAACCATTTAATCATATGAGTTTAATAATTCACTCATAATTAAATGGATAAATACTTAGATGTAGTTAAACTTGTAAAGAAATATTAGAATTTGAAAATCTAAAATCCATATCTTAATTAATACCTGAAATTTTATAAAGAAATCATCAAAATGCAATAAGATAATTACTTCATTATGGTAAAAGTAAGACATTACACAAAAGTCGTAAAATATTTGTTAAACATTCTTAAGGATATGTAATATAAGCAAGAAAGTATTTGAAATGGAATTTAGATTAATAGAATTAAATCAATTTTATAGCTATGATTCGACCAATAATTAGATTAGAATAAATCAATTACATTATATTAAATGGAGATTGGGAAGTAGATGCTGTAACTCGACCTTTATTTAAAATATTAGAATAGAAGATATGTTTACTTTTACTTTGTACAGGTCTATTTTAATTTTCTAAATTTGCACATTACTTAGATTCCGATGACATTACAAGATTTAAATTAACTTAAAAATCTAGATCTCTTAATATGACACAATCTAAATTACATAATTCAAGTGATACTATGAATTATAATACTTTAACTAATTCATAGAAAGCAAATGTTATTGATAAATAATTAATGGAATCTGAAGAATAATCTTTTACTTTTTTTGGTGAAGATAATATTGAATATTTTAATACTGATAATACATTTACTAATAAAAAACTATTCAAAATGGTTGATGAATAACATGTTAAATTAACTCTTAGATTACCAAGAAAAATTAATTAACTTAATTAAGAATATGAATAAATGAAAGCATCTACATTTTAGGATGTAATTCAATAAACTGAATTATCTACTTTCTATAAATAAAAGACTAGATTAATTTTCAGAAATTCTGACAATAAAATTAAAATTAATAAACTATTGCTATTTCGTAGATTATATGATTTTAATTAAAGAATAATGAAAAATATGTTTGATAATTTAAAAGATCTTTTTGACAAATATTGTTCATAAAATAGATTACTTGAGAAAATTATTAAATTAGATGCCACCATACATTTTACTAAAACAATCTCTATGGATAAAGTTACAATAATTAAAATTAACAAATATGAGATATTTGAATATCATTAAAGATAATTTCGAGAAGTTATTCTTATTTATTATTTCATAGACACACAATATACTTGCTGAATCTCGTATGAAACAATCAAGACCTTCTTTAGTAGAAATGTATATGGATCCAAGAGTTTATGGTATTCAATAATAAGGTAAATATAAATTATAAATTAGTCAATAACTCAGAAGTGGATTCTAATAGAATAGATTAAAACAAATCATTTCTAACTGTAGGATAAGTCTTTCCAGAATTTGTTTAATACCATCCCACTGAAGTAACACTCAAACATGAAAAAAATATCTTTTTTAAATAAGACAATAATAGAGTCAGTAAAAATATTAAAGAAATGAGCTTTTTTATATACTTTAACAGAATAATGATCATTACTCTTTATTTATTAGCAGGAATAGCTTTTATTAAAGGTCCCTCCTTAACCCAGCATGACTAAATTTTCTCTGAAGTAACAAGTTTTTAATCATAATATAGATTAAATAATTGCAACTTATTTCAAGGCTTTCTTTAAGTATAATTTAAACTTATGAACATGCTTTGGATATTTAATTATTTGATTTGTAAAATACTACTGACATTGATGTTCAATAATATTTGTAACAAAAATCAGATCTTCTATAATAATAAATACAATTTATTAATCAATCTCTTAAAGCTTAGGAGTTTATTGAGATCTTATTTGGATATTAAATGCTTAATAACCCTATAAATGATTTAATTGCTTAATTTATGGCCATCTTAAATTAATGGAATCAATCTGATTGGTAGAATATCAATTCTTAATTCAATATTTTGGATGAATTTAGATTAATCATAATTCCAGATATTTAAACAGGTTTGCTCAATTCCTATTCACAATAATATAATAACTAAATGAATAGATTACTTGAGTATTAATAATTTGCTATTGTTGAGATTGTTATTACAATTTGTTTAACTGTTTTCTTTATCATTGCAAACTAATATTTGATTCTAAAAGTAATCAAAAAGAATTAAGTATTTCTATATCTAATATAGGTTATAATCAATTCTTTACATTTATTATCAAAATAATAGATTACAACTTCTATAGAATATATTTCTTGGTTAAAACTTCAATTAAAATTCTTAATTGATTTAGAAACTATGAAGTTTTTGAATTAGAAAACTCAATAAACATCTTATTGCGATTAATTAACGAAATATGATAATTAAGAATAAAATGTTTTAACTAATACTAAAGCTAATTAATATATAGGATCTAATCATTGGATTTAAATTAAAGTAATATTATTGTTATACTTTTATAGTTCACTTTTTTGATGTATTATATTTTATTTAGCATAATTATAACATCTTTTTTTTTCTATTATTTACTTTTTCTTTAAGAATTTTAGAATGGAGCGTTGACAATATTTAATGAGAATTAATTTGTAAAGAATCCAAACCATCTTTATTCTATGGTGAGTATAAAAGAACTTTACATTTATTAATACATTAATAATTCATATAAAGGTATTCAATAAATAAAAAATAACGTTTAAAACTTTATTGATTAAATAGAAGATTAGTAAGATGAAATCTATGAGACTAATATTGATTTAGTTTTTTAAATGTTTTATGGAAACTATTGCGAACTTATGTTAGGTTTAATTTGATATAAATATAGAATTATTTCCAAATACAACAATAAACAAATATGATTAATGTAAATATAAATTAAGTGGAGCATTCACAAGAGGACTAAATCAATATCATTTATTATTGAGTTAAATGGCATATTCTTTAATGAATTTAAATGACACAAAGTATGATTAACCAAATATATATTCTCTATTTGAATTTAGTGAAGTAAATTTAAAATATAGAATTATAGGTATAATATAATGCTTATGAAATTGAATAACTTACTTTAAACATCTGGTGTGAACAGTACTTTCTATATGCTGATAATGAAATGTTTGTGGATATTCTATTAATGTATTATAATTGTTAATTATTAGTTGTTTAATGATATTTTTTACTTCTACTTTCTATGCACTTTTTATTGAAGTCATTTTAGTTAAAAAATTAAAAATAAATTATAAATAAGCATTAAAATATATTCACAGATATTATTCAAATGAAGTTTTAAATAATTAAAAAAATATAAGAGCAAAATTTATATAAGAAGGATTAATTCATAAATGAAATATAATAATTTTTATAATAAATTAATAAGATGTTAAATAGATTTAATGTATTCATTTTTTAACAACATGACTTGTCTTATTTTTACCTTGATTAACATGAACAATAATTTTATCTTCATCTTTTTTTATATGCTATAAAGAAGTGACTTTATCTTATAGTTCTCTATTTCTACTACGTAATAACTCTTCAAGTTATTTTACTTTGGCTAAGAGAATCTCATAATTATGTTATCTACTTAGATTGAAATTGATACAAATCATCTCTTTCATTAAGAGAATCCTCCAATTAAATTTTAAGATTAGCAATTACTTATTGTAATTCTACAATCTTTCTTTTCAAAACTCTAATTTCTTCAATTAATTCTTCATCTTCTGATTCACTTTCTATCTTCTTTTAAACATTTTATTAAACAACAATAGGTTATCTTGCAGGTACTCTTTCTCTTATAATTCTTTCAACTGGAACAATCTTTTCAATTTCTATTATTCTTTCAATAGGTTTTTCCACAATCACTTATTATGGTACATGTTATATAATAGTTTAAACTTTATCTTTTTTCTTAGCTAATTTTGCATCTTTTACTCTAATCTCTCTCTCTAATTATTCTATTCTTTATTCTAATATTCTATCTCTAGATGGAGAATGATCTAAAGTTTATGGTTTTATTGATTCTATATGTTCCAATCTTTTACATTTTGATTTCCATTCTTCACATTCATATGTTTTCTCTTATAATTATTATTTTATTTTCTATTTTATTATATTAAAATATCATACTTCTAATTCAAATAAAATTTATTAATATTTTTCATCAAATTATGCTAATTGACTTTTCAATTTATAAATTTAATCTTCTAAAGATTTCTTTTCAAATTAAAATTCTTAAAACAATAATTATTTTTATTGATTCTATTAATAATAGATATAATAAAATACTAATTCTTTATTTAATCTTTCTCTCCAAAATTATTCTTATTCATTTAATTTTTAAATATGAAAATTATTTTGATTTTCCATTTCTTATTTATAATATTTGATTTTATCCTTTTTTTTAAATATAACTTCTTTAAATTTCAAATTTTCTGCTTAAACTTATTATAATGTATTTTCTGCAGTTTACAACTTTTATGTTAATGTATTAATTATAGAATCTTTTTAATTGATTTATGGTTCATATGTTTAAACTAATTCATTTAAAGACTTTTACTAAAAATATAATAAAATGTATAATACTAATATTCTTTCACTTTCTGATAATAGATTGATTTTTAATTCTTCAATATCAATGTGATATCTGTCTTCTAATTCCATCAATTAAATTCTTAATTATTCTCTTTCATTAATGATAGCTCCATTAATATCAGGTTAAGTAGTTTAAACTAAACATTGTTATTTAGTCACACATTAAGTTAAAGGAATATGACAAGATTAATATGGTTAACAAGTTGGATAATACATTCGTTAAAAATTAAATTAAAATATATAAATAAATTTATGAAGTAAACTTACTATTATGAAGTTCAAACAAAAAAGTACTATATTATTTGATATGATAGCAATCACAAATTTCCAATAATTACGAACATTAATATTTCATGGGAGGAAGAAAAAGAACCTTTAAAGTCATTAAAAAATCAAAACCAATGAAACCAAGAGCATATTTTGATTGTGCTGTTTGTGGATGGAAAGATTGTATAATAATAAAAATGTATATACAAATATTACTTATCTTTATAGTAAAAAGTGTTATAAAACAGCTAAATTAGAATGTGAAAGATGTGAAACTAAATTTCAAATGAAAGTACGATCTTTAGATGAACCTATTGATATATATCACGAATGGCTTCATAAATTAAAAAATAAATCTATTACACCATATCCAAATAGAATGCAAGATGAATATGATGATTCTGGTGAAGATGCAAATGAAAATGATGTTGAATGTAATACTTTTATATATAGTTATTTAGAATTGTTAAAAAATCAAAATTTTAAACAAAATAAAAGAAAGAGAATTAAAAAAAATGCATCAGATGAAGAAAATACATCTAATAAACCCTCTGATTCAGAAGATCCTCTTGATGATCATTAAGACATTTCTGAAGATTCATTATTAAATAAATAAAAAGTAGAAGATAATATAGAACAAGATCAAGAAGATGAAAAAGAAGATCAAGAAGATGAAAAAGAGGATTCTCAAGATGAATCCTATAATATTAAAGAATAATACAAAAAAAAAAGAGGTAAAAAAAAATGACATCTATACATAATTATATATATATATCTATATCAAATTCACTATTTTGTTGGGTCTAATTGACTTTATTGTAGATTTGATTTTAAAGTTATTTATGATTCTGACAAATTTATAGAATCTTAATCATTTAATTAAGAATTTAATAATTATTTCTCTAATCCTTTAGTCTCTTTAAATTGTGATACAACTAAACTTTCAGTCAACAAAGAATCTTTTAAAAGATTACCTTCTTATTTGTTTAATAAAGAATTTGTTTCTTAAAATTATGGCTCCAATTTCTAATTTTATTATTTTGGATCTTTTTAACTTTCAATTCTTTTTATTTAATTCTCTTATTATACTTTCTCATTTTTATTAGGATCCTTTATTTAATATTATTTTTACATCAATATTTAAAAGTCCTTCATTAATTGGTAATTAAATGAATTCAATTGTTTAATCATTTTCTTAATTCACTTTCACTTCCTCTTCTTTTTATTTTTCAATAATATCATTTTATTATTCTTCCTTTTTATTAATATTTAAATTGATAAGATTATTTTGATTTGTATTATTTTCATCAATAATATTATTATTGATTTAATCTAATTATTATTTATTTTCCTCAATTTTAACACTTTAATTATCTATAACCACTTCAATTTAATTTTCTATTTTTTTAGATTTATTATATTTTGTAGGAATAGTAATATTATTCAAATTTAATGGTTTTTCTTCTTAAACTCTTTTTCCTGATGATGAAGCCCTAATTTTTGTGTTTCCAGAATTTTCTTATTTAGGAATATTTGGATTTTTAAAACTGCTTGCTCTAGTTAAATTTTTTGGTTTCATTATTATTTTTTAATTACTCTCTTAATTCTTATTTTTAGGTGTTTATCTATTTGATTTTTTTTCCTCTGAATAATAACGACTTCTATCATCTTTATCCTATATTTTTCGTTCTTCTGAATATTAATTTGACTTCCTTTCTTCATCTAATCGTATTCTTTAATTATTAGATTTATTAGTATTTACTGATTTGGCTTTTTCATTTATGTTATTTTCCTTTTTTACGCTCTTAGTTTTCTCTTATTTTATACTTTACTAATTAGATTTTACACTTTTTTTATCGAATTGCTATTCTTATTATTACATTTTATTTAATTTAAATGTATCGCTTTTTGGTGTCTATACTATTGATTTTTACTTTTATAAACTTTACATTTAAATTTAACTTGAATTTTCTATAAATATATATATTAATTTTTACTGTCTTAAGCCAAATTTATTGAATGAAAAGATTAATTCTTAATTTCTTATTATTAATTTTATCTCTAAAATGAAGATGGAGTTGCTGGTTTAAACTTTTTTGTACTATCTTATAGAGTTTATAAATTTGATTTATTTTTTGGAGTTAAATCAATATTAGGTTTATCTGTTAATTTATTAAAATTTTATTATTATTATTATTATTATTATTATTATTATTATTATTATTATTATTATTATTATTATTATTATTATTATTATTATTATTATTATTATTATTCTTTATTTATGTGTTTTTATGCTTTTAATTCTTGAATTTCTTTTTGTTTTAATTCTTTATCCATAATTTATTTTTATATTTGTTTATTTTTTTATTCTTAAATATCTTTATTTTTTTAATCTTTAGCTTCTTTTTCTTTTTTCTTTAAATTTGATTCTAATATTTATTATTTTTTTTAATCATCTCTATGTTTTTAAAAAGAAAGTTTAGATTTTTATAATTCTTCTTCTTCTTTTTTTTCTAAAATATTTAACATATTTTTCCATTTATCAACATTGTTAAATAAATCTTTATCAAAACCATAAATATTTTATTTTTTAGCATTATTTACAATCTTTCTAGATCTAAATAATGTATCTGCTTTTATAAACATTTTATTAAGTTTTTCAGTTTAATCTTTATTTTTTGTTGCACTTAGCAATCTTGATAAATTTTTTTTAATAACTATTTTGCCATATTCTTGAGTTTTTTCTTTAATATCTTCTTTTTCTTATAGTTTATGATTTTTAGGACATTTAAAAGGATGTGGTATTTTAACTTTTTTTTATAATAGTTCAAATCTTTCTATACATTCTTTTCTTTCAAAAGGATCCTCTTAATATGAAACCTTTCTAATTAATAGTTCAGTATATCCTGCTTTCACATTAGGTTTATCATGTTACGGATTTAATTTTAAAAATACTTTGTTACCATTCTAATCTATAATATATCTAGGTTTTTGTTCATAATCATTAATATGTTCATAAGCAGAAGAAATTACTCTATTTATGTTAAGGACTATACTCTTTTGGTGCAGTAATGATAAATGGTACTTTTTTATCATTTTTTTTCTCCTGATTTTAATCCATTCTTTTATAAATAATAAATTATATAAAACAGTTTAGAATTAAATGAGAAAAACTCATTCTCCATAAGGTTTCTAATACTTTATGAAAAGAAGATATGAGTAAAGGTTTCCAAAATTTAAATTTTAAGATCCAGGAGAAACTTATGGATTAATGCCTTTAATTACTCAAAATTCACATTTAAGAACTGAAATTATATAAAGTAACTCTGCAGAATAACTATAACCTCATTAATAAAAAAGAACAGCAAATAGTTAATCAAAAGATAAAACAGATGATACTTGTATCCTAATTGGTAATACATTAAAGTCACTTGAAAGAAGAGTATTAAAGCCAAGGATATCATATTAACCTGAAATTTTACCTAATAAATTTACAAAACCTAGAAGTAAATCTATAAAAAAATAACCTAAATTTGATGGAATCTATTTTGAAGGAGAAAAGTTTTGTTAAGAATTAGAATTTTAAGAAAAATATGCTAATATTAGATAATATTACAATTACATTAATATATCAAATGGGATATTCATTAAATCTACTGTAAATTATTATAAAGCAAATGTATCAAAAAGTAATAATGGATAATTGGTTAAAAATCTATTAAAATAAAGATGGTGGTGGTTAGTTGTAGATAATGATAAAGATAATGTAAATTTTCTATGGGAATCATCAAGAAATGATAATTTTATTATCACTATGCCATGTTCAGAACAAATTGATACAAATGATACTTTTAATATTTAATAAGATCAATTTGATATTTAAATACATTCTCATCCTTATGCTAAATTACTTCCTAAAAATTTAATCATATAAATGAACTTATAAGAAAAATAAATTGGAAAATCTAATAAATTATTAAATTATGATTAATGCTAATAATTTTGTGATCACATAAGAATATTTGAAATTACATCAAATACTAAAATACATAACCATATATAAAATAATACTCATTTGGGTTCTAAAAAAAATTTATTTCTTAATTTGAAAAAATATTATGAATTCAATTCTCTTAATGTATTTGAGTTTCTTCCTTTAACTTATCATATTAAAAATAAATTTGATTTGGAAAATTATCTAATTGATAATATGAATACAAAAAAAATTTGGATTGTAAAACCAGGAGAATTAACTAATAGAGGACATGGAATATAAATTTTTTAGAATATTAATGAAGTTAACATGTTTTTAAAAGGAAATCATTAACATAAAAATGGATTATCAAAAACCTTTATTGTTTAATAATATATTACAAATCCATTATTATATAATCAAAGAAAATTTGACATTAGATGTTTTATACTTTTTACAGGAATTAATGGAAAATAAAAAGGATATTGGTATTAAGAGGGTTATATTAGAACATCATCAAAAGAATTTAATCTAAATAATTTATCTAATAAAATGATACATTTAACAAATGATGCTGTTTAAAAATATTCTGAAGATTATGGTAAATTTGAAAAAGGAAATAAAATATCTTTTGAAGAATTTAAAAGATTTATAACTCCTGAAAAATTTAATCAAGTTTATTAGAAAATGAAATAAATTGCTTTAGATTAATTTAAGGCTGCTGCTGAACTATTAGATCCTTTAAAGAGAGAAAATACATTTGAATTATTTGGATTAGATTTCATGATTGATGATTCATTTAATACTTGGTTAATAGAAACAAACACAAATCCATGTTTAGAATAAACAGGTCCATTATTAACAGGTTTTATGCCATAATTGATAGATAATCTACTAAAACTTGTAATTGATCCATTATATCCTCCTCCTCAATTTTACACTTCAAAAAAATTTGTCTATGATTGCCTTAATAATAAATTTGAACTAATATATGATTCTTCAAAAATGAAATTAAATAGGAAAAATGTTGTTATTGATAATGAATTATGAAATATAGATACCTACTTTTTGAGATTTCACTTAATTAAATAATTTTTAAATCATATCTTTATAAAAAGTTAATCAATATTTTATTTTATTTTCATATTTTTATAGTATCCTTTCTAGAATATTTTATATATTAAGATTTCCAATAATTTTCATTATACATTTCTAATTCTAAATCCTAAAATAACTTATATCATCCTTCAATAATTTATATGTTCCTGATTTTTAATCAATGAAGTATGGATATCTGATAATATTAATTAAATTGATTTCAAAATCTGTTATGAATAAAAGATCTAAAAATGAGTCAATTACTAAATTGAGGGTTTAATTTCTAATTAGGAATCAAGAAAAGTTTTTTAGATTCTTAAAATCCAAACAATTAATAGATTATATAAATTGACATTTAAAACAAAATTTAATTTGAATCATTCAATCAGAATTAATTTTTTTTTAATTTTTATTAATTTATTGCATATTTTACTCCAAGGAATATCAAAAAAAACCAAAAAACTTATTTATTGAAAAAAAACAAGATAAAATATTCAAGGATTTGATATAAAATTAAATCAATTTTTTTTTATCTCATTTGTAAGTTCTTATAAAAAGTCTTCTGTTTTCCTCTCCAAAAATACATATACTTCTTTGTTGTTAGAACTATTTTAAAATTTAGATGACTAGATTAATAAATTTACAATTTATTTTTTAATATCATCTTATTCATTGAAGTTGTTTTTGTTTTATTAAAAATTATTAAGCTCAATAGCTAATTCATCTGTTATTTGATTTATCTTTGGTCTATTTAATGGATTTGGATCAAGCATATTTTTAATTAAATTTTGTATTTTTTATCCAATTTATAATTAATCGATTTGAGAGTGAATAAATTATTAATTTTTATAATAATTAAGAATTTTTTAATTGAGCTAATCTACATAATCAGCTTAATTATATAATTGATTGAATACCATAAAATAAAGGTGTTCCTTTGAATATTTCATAAAAAAGACATCCTAATTACCAAATATCAATAGAAAATGAATATCCACCCGATTTCATAATAATCTCAGGAGCTTAATAATATGGATTTCCAACCATATTATTAAGATTTAGATTATCTTATTGTTATTTGATAGATCCAAATTCAATTAATTTGAATATATTTCCTATTTAAATAAAGTTTTCTGGACTTATATTCCGATGAATAATTCCCATTTAATGCAAAAATTAAATTTATTCAGTTATCTAACTCATTTAAATTTATAGATACTTATTAACAAATTTATATTTTTTAAAGTGCTGATAATTATTATTAAGTCTCCAATACTTAGTTTAAATAATTAGTTCCAAGTTCCATAATTATAATTTAGTTTTTCTACCATTGAAATCTTTCATAAACACTAATAATACTAAGGATTTTGTTTTATTATTGTTTCTAATATTCTATTAAATAATCTATAAATTTCAATTCAAGATCTGTAAATTTCGATTGAATTTTTATAGCTACATCTGTTTAATAAATTTGTGTATTAATAGGTTTAGCTTGATAGATTTTTAATTCTGTTCCATTTTATAATAGTTCACTTAAAATAAATTAATGCTCAAGATTCTAAATTATTGGATCTTTCAACTGATTAGTTTAAATTTATGATAATTTTTATTCTATATCATCTAATTAATCTTCACTTTAAACCAAATTTAAAATCTAATTTATATCTAATTCAATTATAAAAACATTATTTAATATATATAATATTATATTTTACCATTTTTTTTGTTCAATATTTTTAATTTAAGTAATATACTTTTAATTATCCTTTTTAAAATTATTGATACTTTATTAGATTAATTCATAATCATTTTAATTGTATTTTTATAAATTAAATAATTTTTCTCCCTAAATTATTTCATAAAAGAGGCATGCTAAACAATAAATATCTATATATTTTGCATCATTATAATTATAACCCTATTTTTATAAGGTACCAAATTTTGATTAATAATGGTTCAATTTTTTTATTGATCCAAATTCATTCAATTTACATTATTTATTGATTATACAATAATTTTCTATACGAATATCAGAATGACAATAATTATTTTAATGAAAATACTAGATAGACTTGGTAATCTATTAATATAATTAGTAAAATACATCCAAAAGTATAGTTTCTTTTTCTGAAAAATTTAAATCAAGATTAATATTAAGATAATCTTTTAAGGAAATCCAATCTGATTCCATTATAATATAGATTTTATCATCTATTATAAATTATTCATAGACTGAAATATGGGGTGAAAGTTCACTTAAAAATATATCAAATTAGCTTATCAACCAATCTATAGCCTCCTATTGTATGCTCTTATCTTGATAAATTGCTATGTTAATTATATTTTAATAATCATTTTAATTTATATCTTACGCTTAATACAAATCTCTTTAAGCAAGATTTTGTTGAAGTGAAAATTATCTGTTTGGATTCTTTAGTGTAGGAGCCTACAAAATTTTATTTTATTAAAATGATAAAATCTATTCTACTATATCATTTATTTTCGGTCTATAATCAGGATTAGGATTAAGCATGTTCAAGATTAAATTAGACCATTAAAACCATTTGATTTACTTTATCTTTTAAGTTAATTAATTTTCTTAATTATTTTATTTTAACTCTTCCTTTAAAGATGATATAGTTTTTTTTTTTCCTATGATAATATTAAAAATAATACCTGAAAATAATTGCTCCCCTGAAAATATTTCATAAAATAGGCAACCAAGAGACCAAATATCAGCAGGCTATGAATATATCTCACTGGTAGTTTCCGGTGCTTAATATTAAAGTGTACCAACTCCGACTGTTTATCTTTTAAATTAAAATTTAATTGCTTTAAGCATACCAAAATCAGTCAGTCGATATTAATCTCCAATTTTAACATAATTATCTGGTTTTATATCTCTATGAAAATAATTATATGAATGAAGAAATTATACTGATTTTGATATCTAAAATAATGAACATAAAATACTTTAAGGCATATTTACTCCTTTTCATAATATCTCATAATATTATTAGAATTTAAATACTCCTTTAAAGAAATGCATCCTAATTCCATTACAACACAAGTTTTAGAATTATAAGTAAATTTTTCATAAGTTTTTACAAGAAAAGATGTTTAAATTTTTTCATAGTTTCTCTAATATTCAATTATCCAATCAATAAATTCTTCTTCTGTCTCTTTAATTTAATTAAATATTTTTATGGCAACATTAGAGTTATAGAATGATTAATTTTCTGCTTTGGCTTCATATACTTCTCCTTCAACTCCTGTTCCTAATAAATTTTTCAGAATAAAATATCTTTCTTTAAAATTTTCATTTGGTGATTTAATTATCTGGTTTTCTAGCATTTTATATTTATTTTTAATAGAAAAATTTTATATTTTAATTTTTTTTTTAATTAAATTTTATATATACTTCTAAAATTTAAATCAATATCTTTAAAGAGAATATGTGAAGTTAGATGATAGCTGCAATTTTTATTATAGAAGCAATTAGATAAAACTAATATAAAGTACCTATTTTTTTTTCTTTTTAGATGATACAGTACCATATGAAATGGATTAAAAATTAAATATTCTAAAAACACTAACTGAAATGATATACTAAAATATTGTATATAGCTTAAGCCTTCTGTCGGTAAAATGAGATGGTAATAAAATAATCAAATTTTTAAAAGTTGTCAAGAGCTAACTTTACACTGAATAAAACTATTACCCCATCTATTATATTATGAACTCAAATTTTATCTTAAATTTTATTTACTTGCTTTATCTAATAATTTTCTTTATTGATTGATGAAAAATTGAATTTAAAATTAGTTATTAAAAAGTTGTTTTGTAATTTTGGATTTTAGCATCAGATTTAAATTTATTTTGTTTAAGACATTTGAACATGGCTTCAAAAATTATGTATCCTTTTTCAAAATGATTTAATTATCAGATTATAGAGGAAATACCTAATTTTATATAATTATGATTATAATATAATTGTTTTTTACATAACAATAAAACTAAATGGTTTGAAATTAAATTGGCCAAAATTTAATCATTCTAATATTTTTCAAGAAAATATAGATCAAATGGTGTTATCAACCTAAAAAATTTAAAAAAATATGAATAAAAATGTGGCTTTTCATCATTTATAAAAATATTAATAATCAGAATAAATTTTTATGAAAAAAAAAGGATTAATAGTATGAAATAAAAGTCAGTTACTTAAGATATAATTCAACAAATTAAGTTGTTATTATGTCAAAAACTTCTGAAATGTTTAAATAAATACTATTTTTTTTTTATAATATTAAATGATAAATACATAAGTTAATAAATTTATTAATCACCCATTGAGTTGTAACTTAAAAAATTTTTCTATCTTTTCTAAATTTTTTTATCATTTGATAAAGATTTGTATTCTTAAATTATTGAGAAAGCAATTCTAATTTATGGATATTCATTTATTTTAGAATATAAAATTAATGTCTTATTAGTAGGATATAATATGTTTTTTCTTTTATTTGTAAATTGTAATAATTTAATAGTTGATTTAATATGTTTTGATTATTTTAAATGATATTTGTTTATGAAAAATAATAATAAAAAATGGTTAGAGAATTGAATATGTTAAGAATATTAAAAATAATATATATTAAATAATAAATAGTATGATGATCTTTTTAGTTGTTTTGCTATAGATAGTAAAGTCATAAGTTTGTAGTTGTGTTTAATTAAAATCATAATAGGATTGTTAATAGAATATAGAATGTTAATGGATGAAATAGGTTTGTTAAAATAATGAGAATAAAACAATAGGATCATATTGTAGATAATTTGATAAATAAAAGTGTTCATAGATGTTAGGTTGTATGTATTATGAAGGTTAATGTTAGTAATTTACAGGATGTAGATCATTTGAATATAGTAATGAGGAATAATGTAAAAGTATATAGATAAGTTGTATAACAGATGGTTAGACATGTATAGATTTAGGTGAATGTGTATAGTATGTAGATAAGAATACATGTAAATAGAATATAAGGAATTAATTATGTTATTGGGATGGTAAGAAATGCTCATTAGCAGATACATGTTAAAAATTACCTTATGAAAGTGATGAATAATGTAGAAAAGCAAAATCATAATGTACTGTAAATTTTGGTGAGAATGGTTGTATGGATGGTGGTAATTGTAAGGATATGTAGAAATAATCATAATGTTATTGGAATAAATCAATGACAATAAAATGTAAATGGATAAATAGTAAGTGTTATGATCATATATGTTTAAATGCTCCTAAAACACTTACAACAGATGCAGAATGTGAATCTTTTTTATAAGGTTGTACAACTTAAAAAGGTGGTGGTTGTACTACTAGAACTACATGTAGCAAAGCTTAAAATTAGAATGCTTGTATTATTGATGCGAATAATAATTAATGTACTTGGATGGATACATATTGCAGTGATAGATATTGTTCATAAGCATCTAAAACATTTACTACCAATTCTTAATGTGATTCATTTCTAAAAGGATGTATTGCTAAACCAGACGGAGGATGTTTACAAAATAAAGAATGTGATTCTGCTTTATCTTAAGATACTTGTTAATATGATATTCATGGCAAATAATGTGTTTGGAATAAAACTATTTGTTAATTGAAAATATGTAAAAATGCTCCTATTATTAATAATATGAGTCATTACTATTGTGAATCATTCATTCCTTCTTGTACTATGCTTAATAATCTATGTGTCACAAAAACATGTGATAATGCCCCTACTATTATTACTAATTGTACAGAATATCTTACTGGTTGCATCTCTAAATTAAATGGAGGTTGCTCAAAATTAACAACATGTAATTCAATCATTAAATAACAGGATTGTATACATGACTCAAATCAATAATTATGTTTATGGTTCAATGATAAATGTATTGATTAATTATGCACTGCTATCTAAAAACCATTAAATTAAGATTGTAACTCTATATTACAAAATTGTATTAATGATTCTAATGGTAACTGTATGGATTATAGATGTTCTCATATCTAAACTTTAGATTTATGTACTATTGATTATTATCAATAAAAATGTATATGGAAATCTGTTTGTTATTTAAAAACATGTTCTAATGCTCCCTAAAATTTAAATACCCATCTATTATGTAACACATATTTATCTAATTGTACTGTAAATTAACATAAAAGAGGATGTATGGATATTACTAATACTTGCGAAGCTTATCAAATATAAGAATAATGTATTAAGAAATTAGATAATACTTAATGTGAATGGTTTAACGAATAGTGTTTATCTAAATCATGTGAAACTGCTGATATTAATCAATATACCACTATGTAATTATGTGATTAATACTTATCTGGATGTGTTGTTTAATCTACTCTTAAAGGTTGTATGAAATTACCTTAAAAATGTAATCTTAGATCTCTAAGTGAAGTTTGTCTCTTTGATAATACCTGTTATTGGTATGAAGATTAATGTATTGAAAAATCAAATACTTGCTTAAATACTCCTGAACCATTTTGTAATTCAGGTTGTGTTTGGTCCAATTCATAATGTGTATCTAATTTATGTCATCTTATACCTAATCAATCTCATTCTATGTGTAATGCTATAAATAATACTTGTACTGTTAATGAAAACAGAACTGCTTGTATTAATTTACTACAAAAATGCTCAGATTATAAACAAAGTTACTAATGTTTTTTATCTAAAACTTAAAAATGTTATTGGAATGGTACTGAATGTCTTGAATTTTAATGTTCTGATATTCCAGATGATCCCATCTAATTTAATTCCTTTGAAAAATGTTAAAACATATCTAATAATTGTACAGTCATTCCTTTATTAAATTAAACTGGTTGTTTAAATAGATTAGAAAAATGTGAATCATATACTTTTAATCAATGTACATATACACTTGAAGGTAAAAAATGTGTTTGGTTAGATGGTTTATGTTAATAATTTGATAAATTAACATGCTAGAGTATTGTAGATTATTCTAATTGTGATTCAATATTGTTTCAATGTAAATAATAAAAAGAAATCTGTGTCAATAAAACTTGTACTGAAATTTAAGTTGAAGATTTTTCATTAAACTATTAAAAATGTCAAAGCTATGATAAAAATTGTTCAATTCATGCTAGCTTAAATAGTTGTATAGAAATATAAAATGATTGTAATCAATATTTAAAAGAGGAACATTGTATCTAAAGTAAATAAAGTCTTTGTCATTATTATAATGATAAATGTGTTAATCGTGATATCATTTATGGATGTTCTACAGTAAGATTAGAAAATTATAATGATATTAAATGTAAAGAATTTAAATAATTTTGTAAACTTAATTCTATATCTAATGGATGTGCTGATACTGGATGTGTTCTCTATTATGGATTAACTACTTTAAATGAATGTGAAACTGTAGATAATACATGTACAGTTAATGCAGCTAGAACTGGATGTACTACTAAAGTTTAATTATGTTCCTCTTTAGATTAAAATAATTGTATAAAAGCTTAAGAAGGATTTTGTGCTTGGGTTGAACCAGATTGTTTACTTTTTAATAATCATCCTTGTACATCTATTACATTATTTTAATATTCTCATTCACTTTGCAGTTCTGTTAGTATTACATGTACAACTAATGCTTAATAAAATTAATGTATCAATATGCCAGAAGAATGTCCTTCATATACATAATCTGATTGCTTCTAATCTAAAAATTCATTCTGCTTTTATAATGGTATTTTATGTGTAAGTATAAGTACTATTACAAATTGTTCAGATATTAAAGCTAATACTAAACTTATTTGTGATCGATATGATGGATCATAAAATCCTTAAGCAATATGTACTTTTTAAACAGGAAATAGTAATTGTACATCTAGAACTTGTTAAAATTATCCAGATAATAAATTTACACATGAAAATTGTTCAACATGGCTAGCTGGATGTACTCAAAATGTAGGGAAGACAAGTTGTATAAATATTTAGAAATCTTGTGATTTATATGTAATGGAATCTAATTGTTTTAAGAGTGAAGAATCATATTGTTAGTTTAAAGGGAGCTGTTAAAATATTGATAATAATATTTGTGATTAAATTCCAAGTGATGAAAGATGCACTTAAAATTCGGTGTGCATAATAAATAATTTATAAAAATGTGTAGACAAAACATGCGAGAATTACAATAATAATGTTTATAATAAAATACTTTGTTAATAATTTAAAACAACATGCACTATTTTAAAGGATTCAAGTAAGTGTATGACTGTATTAGAGAATTGTACAAATTATTAGATAGAGAATCAATGCACAATATCAAATAAAGGAAACTGTATTTGGTTTTAGAATAAATGTGTGGATGCAAGTTGTGAGAATGTAGTTGATTGTAATGGGAATAATTGTATAGTAAAAAGATAGGGTGGTTGTACAAATTTATAATAAGAATGTTAATAATATGAAACAAATAGTTAATGTAAGAAATCAATGAAAAGTATATGTTATTGGAATGGCAGCTATTGTGTAGATTTAATTTGTAATAATTTAAAAGGGATAGGATTTAATAGTTTTAATGATTGTGATAGCATACTAAAAAGTTGTACAATAGATGGATCTAAAGTGTTATAATGTATGACAAAAAAAGAATGTAGTTAATATAAATATGAGATGGAATGTAAGGTAGATTAAAAAGATATGGAATGCTAATGGAAGAATAATAGTTGTTATTAAAAATAATGTACTGTAGTATAATTGAATGGATATAATCATATAAATTGTATGAATTAAATAATAAACAATAAATAGAAGATATGTACAATAAATGATAATGGAAATGGATGTATGGAATTAAAATAATGTTAATAATATAAATCAGATAAGAATTGTATAATTGATAATAGTGGATAATAGTGTGGTTGGAAGAATAATGAATGTAATTTGAAATCTTGTGAGACAGCACCATAAAATGTTAGTACGCATGAAGATTGTTAAAAATATGAAAATAATTGTACAATAAATTTAACAAACGATGGATGTGTTAAGATTCCAGAATAATGTTCATAAATGATTGAAACATAATGTAAGACATCTAATTGTGTATGGATTGATTCATAATGTTAAATTAAAACATGTTAGAATGCTCCAGAAAGTTTGAAATCTGAATAACAATGTAATTCATATTTAAAAGATTGTGGATATGTTGGTCAATAGAAATGCTATAATTTTGAATGTGAAGATATTGAATTGAAGAATCATGAAGATTGTTATTAATAATATAAATGTACAAGTAATGGAATGAGATGCATTGCTTTATAAGAATAATGTTATTATTATATTACTTAAACAAGTTGTGTAATGGATACATCTAAAAAATAATGTACTTGGGTTGAATCATCTATGTAATGTTAAACTAGACGTTGTGATAATGCTCCTTAAAGTTTAAGTACTAATGAAGATTGTAATAATTATTATACAAATTGTACAACTAAAGCAGGAGGAGGTTGTTAAATATTATAAGATTTATGCAAATCATATACAAATTAATAAAGTTGTGTGAAAACTGTATTTAATACTTTATGTGTTTGGGATTAAAATACATGTAGAGATAAATCATGTATAGATTTATTTGGTTATACTCATACTTAATGTAACATTTAAGATATCAATTGCACTATAGGTTTATAAGGTAAATGTGCAATATAAAATTTATGTTCATCTAAAACATCCTAAGAAACTTGTATTATTGGAACAGATGGACCATGTTTATGGATTATTTAACATAATATAGGTGGTGCATGTTATTAATATAATGATTGCACATCTATTAAATGGAAAACTGATTAATTATGTAAATTTATATCACCTCTATGTACAACTAATGGTGATAATTGTATTCCTATTTTAAAATGTTCTTAAAATAAAATACCTGCTTGTTTTACTGGAATTGATGGAGAATGTATTCTAACTATTGATTCCAGAAATAATCAAGTTTGTTCATTGTTTAAAAATTGTACTCAAGCCAAATTTAAAACTCATGAAGAATGTTAATTGGCTAATACAAAATGTACAACCAATACTATTGATTCTTGTATCTCTTTATATGAAAAATGTTCATCATACTAATTATTAGAATAATGTAAGAGAAATAAATTTGGAATTTAATATACTTAAGATCATTATATTTCTTCAACTGGAATTTGTGTTTGGGAATCTGGAAAATGTAGAGATTAATCATGTTAAGATTTATAAGGTTATAACCATCAAGAATGCTCTAAATAATTAATATCATGTACCTATAATTCTATTAATTGTATTTCTATTCTTAAATGTTCATAATATTAAGATTAAATCACTTGTTCAACAGCTATAGCATCAGATGGAATTTGTCTTTGGGATAAAACTATTTGTAGAATTAAATTATGTACAGATATTTCTTAGCCTAAATCATCTAATGATTGTCAATCTAATTTGAATTTCTGTATCTATGATGAAACTAATTTAATTTGTATTCCTAAATCAAATTGTTCATCTTACTCTACTTAATCTATTTGTTAATAAGGTGCTCTAACTGGTTAATGTATCTGGAACAACAATAAATGTGTTCCATTTACTTAATGCAATTTAGCTAATTCCTCATAATCTGTTTGTATCTCTAATTCATACTGTAATTGGGTCACTAAAATTACTAATTAACAAAATTCCACTAATACAACTATATCATATTGTGAAAATTTTAATTGTACTACTTGGTACAATACTAAATAAAAATGTGAGCCTTTTCTTGCATTTGATTAGTCTAAATATAATTATTGTAAATTTAATAATAATACTTGCATATCTATTGATGAATCTTAATTTGATTCTACTAATTGCTATACCTTTAGTAAATATTCATAAACTTGGGATACTACACTCTAAAAGTGTGTTATTTGTCATCAATCTCTTCCAAATTCCAATAATAGTTCAAACATAAATAATTCTACGGTTGACGACTTTGCAAATATTGTAGAAGTATATTTATTAATAATTTTGATTATATCTAATTGATATTAATCCTACATTAGGATTATTATATTTTTTAAAATCTAACTTTATTGCTTAATTATAAAATTAACAATTTTATTGTCTTAAAATCTTCTCCAATATAAATGTTTTATTAAAGTAACTTTAAAGTCATGCCTGAATACCTGAAGAAAAGTTAATAAAGCTAAAGTCAAACAATTTAACCTAATTATAGCCTTAATTCTGTCAAAACAGACATAAATATGTGATTTAGAGAAATTTATAGAAAAAATATGAGCCAACATCGAATAAATATTTAATTTTAACATTTGGCTCATTTAATTTTAATACTTAAAACTGAAAAACTTGAATTTAAGTTTATTTTGCAGTAATTTTTGACTTTATGGTCAATAAACTTCGTTATTAATTTAATTCGTAGAGAAAATGATATCAAACCTGAAATTTTTTACAAGGATTGATTAATAAATTAGAAAAAAAAATTATTTTAAATTTAATATCTAAAAACAACAGAATATTCAACTCCTCAAAAAATTTAGAAAAAAAATAGATTATTAAATCTAGAATAATTATAATAATAGTCTTAAGATTTTACAAAATAAGAATCATAACTTAAATGAAGATCAAATATATCTTAATAACTGTAAGTCGTAACTATTAAGTTAATTCTTTATTAAATTCTCCTACAAAATACTCTTCGAATTATTAATCTATTTGTTGGAAAATGGAGGAGTAGAAAATCTTTTTTAAAAAGAATAATATAAAGAAAAATTTTATAAAGCATACTATACTTCTAAAAGGTTAATAAAAATTAATGAATTTGAACTTAATTTTATTGCTTTTCAATATATTATTTGAAAAACGCAGAAAAATAAATATTAAAAAAACATAATTTTAATAGAACTTTCGAAAGATTAGAATGACAAGATGATTAATACTAATGAAAAATTAGTAAAATAATTGACATTCTAAAAGAATAAAAAAAAAATTTAACGAAAAAAAAAATTTAATTAAGAAATATTATTTTATATTTATTATATTAGATAATTCAATCAATTCAATTTTAACATAAATTAGGATTGATTGAGACATTTAAGTAGGTAATAAATTCAAATATGTTATTTGATGATATTAGTGATTATTTTATTTTAAAGTTAGAACATAGAATGAAGTTTAGTGCAAAATTAATAATTATTGCATAAATTAATAAAAGGTCATATTTAAATTAATTAATTAATAATAAATTATATAAGAATTACTAGAATTATTAAAAATATGCTTGGATATCTTTTAAATAATTCAAGAATAATTATGATTGTTTTTACTTAATTAATAATTAAGTTGAAAAATATTAAATTAATTTTCAATTTTGAGGTTGATAAAAATCGAAATATGAGCAAACCGAAAAAACTTCTTAATTGTAATTTGGCTTATTTTAAAAAATTTGAATTCAATAATTGCAATTTATAAGAGAATTTTGATGTCAGTTTAGAGTGTGTTATATTTTTTTATATATTGTTGTTAAATTCTTATAGACTTTTTAGATTGAATAAGAAAAGGTGACTATACTTAGTTAAGAAATAAAAGAGATTCATCAAAGGCACATATGGTTTTATTATGTTGAGCAACTTTAACTTCTAATTCAGTATGATCCTTAACTTTTAGATATCTTATTCAAGTTTATTATTAATCTGTTTTTCTTGAAAATTAATAATGACTTTGGCTAATTTTAAGCAATATCAGTGTTAAGGTCAGCAAGTATNTGGAGGAGTAGAAAATCTTTTTTAAAAAGAATAATATAAAGAAAAATTTTATAAAGCATACTATACTTCTAAAAGGTTAATAAAAATTAATGAATTTGAACTTAATTTTATTGCTTTTCAATATATTATTTGAAAAACGCAGAAAAATAAATATTAAAAAAACATAATTTTAATAGAACTTTCGAAAGATTAGAATGACAAGATGATTAATACTAATGAAAAATTAGTAAAATAATTGACATTCTAAAAGAATAAAAAAAAAATTTAACGAAAAAAAAAATTTAATTAAGAAATATTATTTTATATTTATTATATTAGATAATTCAATCAATTCAATTTTAACATAAATTAGGATTGATTGAGACATTTAAGTAGGTAATAAATTCAAATATGTTATTTGATGATATTAGTGATTATTTTATTTTAAAGTTAGAACATAGAATGAAGTTTAGTGCAAAATTAATAATTATTGCATAAATTAATAAAAGGTCATATTTAAATTAATTAATTAATAATAAATTATATAAGAATTACTAGAATTATTAAAAATATGCTTGGATATCTTTTAAATAATTCAAGAATAATTATGATTGTTTTTACTTAATTAATAATTAAGTTGAAAAATATTAAATTAATTTTCAATTTTGAGGTTGATAAAAATCGAAATATGAGCAAACCGAAAAAACTTCTTAATTGTAATTTGGCTTATTTTAAAAAATTTGAATTCAATAATTGCAATTTATAAGAGAATTTTGATGTCAGTTTAGAGTGTGTTATATTTTTTTATATATTGTTGTTAAATTCTTATAGACTTTTTAGATTGAATAAGAAAAGGTGACTATACTTAGTTAAGAAATAAAAGAGATTCATCAAAGGCACATATGGTTTTATTATGTTGAGCAACTTTAACTTCTAATTCAGTATGATCCTTAACTTTTAGATATCTTATTCAAGTTTATTATTAATCTGTTTTTCTTGAAAATTAATAATGACTTTGGCTAATTTTAAGCAATATCAGTGTTAAGGTCAGCAAGTATACTTCACGTTGTTCGTAAAAATTCAAAATAAAGTTTCCCTATCATAATTTTTTATTTTTTAGTCAAATAATTTTTGATAATGACTAATAAAAATTGATGCTTGTGTATTAATTACTGTTATTCTATCAAATGCTAAAAAACAAACTATATGCAAACAACTTATTCCAAAATTTTACTTATTATTTAAAAAATAAAAAAATATTTGCTTAAATATAAATTATTTAACAAGAGTACTTATACTATATAATATATATATATATTTTTTTATCAAAAATCCAAGTCAGAGAATACGAATCTTTTCAATCATTAAAGTTTAATTGTATTAATTAACAAAAAGTATTGTTTGTAAATGTTGATTTTTTTCTTCGTTATCTCTTCTACTCTACTTTAGTTCTGTAAACTTTTTATATAAAATTTATATTACATGTCCTATCATTTATATTCCAACACTATTCATATAATAACCAAATCCTAATATTTATCCGTTTGTAAAAGTTCCTGTATAATATGAGCCATCATTCCATAGAAACGTTCCTTCTCCGTTAAAGTAATTATTTTTAAATTAGCCTTCATATCTAAAGATAGATAATTTCATACTTGCAGCCGTCATTTAACATAAGAATTCCTCTGCCTTCTTTTTTTCCATTAGAAAATTAACCAAAATATCTACTTCCATCACTTTTGATTTCTTAACCTTCTCCTTATATTGTATTATCAATCCATAGGCCTATTATAAATATATATTAAATTACCTTTCACAATCTTTTTTTGAGATTTAAATACTCCAAACCCATTTGTTTTCCCTGATTTAAATTAACATTCAAAACTAATTTAAAATATATATATTTGTTACCTGTCCCCATTTGCATAATACATTCTACAATATCCTTCTAATTAATCATTTTCCCATTGACTAAATATATTTAAATATAATTACCCTTCTAATAAGTTTCCTATTTTTTACCAGATTTAAATCCCCTCTCCTTATTTTTATTAATTTTCCATCATTCCGTAATAAATGCTTTCATCATTTTGTTTTATCAGTTGATAATTTGTTTTAGGAATCAAACTGTTCAACTTTTATTTTAAATGATTGGGTAGCTCTCTAATTACTTCCAAAAGTCTTGAATCTAAAGCAGGGCTACATTGTCTTGAATTGTCATCGTCAGCTAAAATTTCTTTATTTTTTAAGTACTTTCGCTTAATTACAGATGGCTTAACTTCTATATTAATTCTTCTTATAAATTTTCATTATTGTTCATATTAAACATTTGAGTTTATTAGAATAAGTTCCAAGATTAATTATTATTAATTAAAAGATAAGAAAATGAGATATCACTTATTAATTAATTAATTAAAGGCATTAATTTCGAAATTTTCCTTTTCATTCTTACCAGAATAACATTGCAAATTATTAGGAAGCTTCTTTTCATCTCTCCTCTATTTTTATAAATTTTTTTACTTAATATTTTTTAATTTAATTTGTATCTAAAATAATTTCATTTTTTGAAAGAGGTATTTTAAAAAATAAAAAATATGAATTAATTAAATAATTATATTTCATTTTAAGAAATTATTAGAATAGTTTTAGGAAGGATAAACTTAAAAAATAAAATTTATTTTGAATCAACTTAAATAAGGACTCCCTAAAATTTCGAAATTAATTACAAATTTCTAATTTGAACAAACTATTTAATATTAGGTTTTAAATTATAAGTTTCTATAACATTTTTTAAGTGAAATAAAGAATATAATTTAAAATTAAGTAAGATTTCAACTGAAATATATATATTTTAATATTTTTATTATTAAATAATTAATGATTGTAAACCCATTTGATGTTGATATTCCAGAAGCCTGGAAGAATGAAATAATTTATTAGAAATATATAGCATTTTTAGCATTAAGATAGACTACAAATACACTTAATAACATATAGAATAACAATTTAAATTAGGATGATTTCATTTACAGAGATATATTATTTAAGAATTAAATGCCTTAAGAATAGTGTGATACTTATTTTGACTATATGAAACAACATTATAAATCAAGAAAATAGTTGAATAGTAGTGATTTCTTAAAATAAAGAAGGGAAGAATGTTAAAATAAGAAATTTAATTTTTGGTAAAAATGCACAAAATTGCCAATAAATACAAAATAGAAATTAGAAACAAGAAATATTGTGAGAGACATCAAATATTAGCATTTGATTCTTCCTCAAATTTTATTTCTTTCAGGGTCAATAATTATTGCTTATTTGTTAAAAATGTATAGAAATCCAATAAAATTTTAATTAATAACAATAGGATTTGGATCATCTTTAGGTTACTTTCATGGAGTTTACAATTGTATTGTTAATATAAATATTCAGATAGTAATTAAATATTTAATGATATTCCATATCTGCCAGACCCTGAGTTGGAGGTAGAACATTAACATATAATGAATTATTGTTTTTCTTTAGATTAAGAGTAAATTTAAATAAATAATTATAGTTTGATAGCAAGGTATGTGTTTAGCCATTAGAATTTACACAAATGAAAATGATTTTTATAGAAAATTAAACAAAAAAAAACAAAAATACTTTTGTTATTAAATGATAAGATAATATATTTCTAAATGATAGTGTTCCGTAATATAAGTTGTTAATATAATAAATTGTATTTTTTGAAGAACTGAATGAAGTTGGGAAAGTGGAATAAAGATAAAAATTGATTATATTATTATTATTAATGTGAACAGATCACTTTCTTCCAAGGGAAGTTTATGAGGCCAATGATCTGACTTAATCTTTAAAGAGTTAAATAACAACATCAATAATAGCATTTTCCTCTAGAAATGTAATGTATATATATATACCTTATCTTCTAGCAGTTTCAGAAGCATAGAATTCTCTTTTTTCTTCTAAATCAGCAGTAGCTCCAGCAACTGCATTCAAAGAATCTTTCCATAATTTGAGAGCTTTAGCTTATTAAGCAAGGAGAGCAGGTAATTACTTACAAAATAGATATAAATAATACAGTTTCTAATTTTTCAACAAGATTAGTTCTTCTTTCATGTTCAGAATTCAACCAAGCAACTTCAGCATTAGTATCTGATACATATTTAGCTAAAGCAAATGCTGCATGAATTTCTTATTCTTAAAGTGTTGCAAGAGTAGATTCTAATTCAGCTTATAAATCTTATAAGATAGAAAGAACTTATTCTCCAGTAGTTCCTTCTCTTTTAACTTCAGCAAGTGATTAGAATTTTTAAAGAGCATCTTATTAAAAGAGATGACTATAAGCAGATAATTTATCAGCAATAGTTTATGCTTTTTCAACAAGTTCAACTCCAGCATTATTAGTAAGATAACCTGCAACATCTTATTATAAAAGTTAAACAACAGCAACAGCATCAGCATGATCAGCAAGTGATTTAACAAAGAGTCCATTAGCCCAACATCTTTAATCTTATAATTAAGCATTTCTTCTTTCAATTTCAGCAAGTCTTGATTCAGCCCAAGATAACCAAGAATATCCATCCTAAAATTATTAATACAATATACTCTAATTTAAGCTTCAACATCTGTTCTAACAGCACCTAATGCTTCCCATTATTATTTATTAAGTGAAGCAACATTTGTCAAGTCACCAATAACTTAAGAAAAGATTTCTATAATGATATAACACTATGAAGATACCTTCATCTGTGTTATTCTTTTTATCAGCTGCTGCTTAGACATTAACATTTTCTGTTTTAAGATCTCTCAAAAGGTTATATACTGATTCAACAGCATCATTTCCTCTTGTTCCTGTTTATAGAAGCACAGCAAATTTGTTTGTATCTGTTGCTAATACAGCAGCCACTAAGCAAATTATGGTAAGAGCTCTCATTATTTTTTATTTTTAATATTATCAAAAACGGGCACATTAATCATGCTTTTAATAATTAATCATTTTATATTCTTAAATCCTCAACCTATTTACAAATTTCTTAATATTCTTAAAAGAAATCTTATTTTTTTGTCCATTAATTCATTTATTCTAATTAACATTTAAGTTCATTGTTCATAGCCTATTTGTTTTCAATTTGTCTCTTTAATTAAGTTAACTCATCTTATACACATAAATTGGCTTTAGGTTTATTTGTTTTATTTTCAGATTTGCTTTTTAATTATTCTAAACATTCTTTCTTTTACTTCACCAATTATTTTCCATTTTCTACTCTCTCTAATAATTCACAATATTTTTCATAATTCTATTTTATAAATTGTCTCAGATCAAAAATATTGTTTTAGAACAATTATTAACTATTACAATAAGCAAATCTTTCTAGAGTTTCTTTTTTTTGTTTAATAGCATTTCCACTCTTTGCTGATTAAGGTTACTATTTGAGCATAATCGTTAATTATTAATTTATATTTGAAATAAATAATTACAAAACTTCTTAAGTCGATCTCTCTATTATTGCTGAATAGTAAAATACTTATTCAAATGTAGAGCTGCATGGCTAAAATTAATTGCTATGATTATTATATTGTTATGATCCAAAATCCACCTAAGTCTTCTAAATTGAAGGAGAGCATCAAATTAAAGAAANATAGAAAGAACTTATTCTCCAGTAGTTCCTTCTCTTTTAACTTCAGCAAGTGATTAGAATTTTTAAAGAGCATCTTATTAAAAGAGATGACTATAAGCAGATAATTTATCAGCAATAGTTTATGCTTTTTCAACAAGTTCAACTCCAGCATTATTAGTAAGATAACCTGCAACATCTTATTATAAAAGTTAAACAACAGCAACAGCATCAGCATGATCAGCAAGTGATTTAACAAAGAGTCCATTAGCCCAACATCTTTAATCTTATAATTAAGCATTTCTTCTTTCAATTTCAGCAAGTCTTGATTCAGCCCAAGATAACCAAGAATATCCATCCTAAAATTATTAATACAATATACTCTAATTTAAGCTTCAACATCTGTTCTAACAGCACCTAATGCTTCCCATTATTATTTATTAAGTGAAGCAACATTTGTCAAGTCACCAATAACTTAAGAAAAGATTTCTATAATGATATAACACTATGAAGATACCTTCATCTGTGTTATTCTTTTTATCAGCTGCTGCTTAGACATTAACATTTTCTGTTTTAAGATCTCTCAAAAGGTTATATACTGATTCAACAGCATCATTTCCTCTTGTTCCTGTTTATAGAAGCACAGCAAATTTGTTTGTATCTGTTGCTAATACAGCAGCCACTAAGCAAATTATGGTAAGAGCTCTCATTATTTTTTATTTTTAATATTATCAAAAACGGGCACATTAATCATGCTTTTAATAATTAATCATTTTATATTCTTAAATCCTCAACCTATTTACAAATTTCTTAATATTCTTAAAAGAAATCTTATTTTTTTGTCCATTAATTCATTTATTCTAATTAACATTTAAGTTCATTGTTCATAGCCTATTTGTTTTCAATTTGTCTCTTTAATTAAGTTAACTCATCTTATACACATAAATTGGCTTTAGGTTTATTTGTTTTATTTTCAGATTTGCTTTTTAATTATTCTAAACATTCTTTCTTTTACTTCACCAATTATTTTCCATTTTCTACTCTCTCTAATAATTCACAATATTTTTCATAATTCTATTTTATAAATTGTCTCAGATCAAAAATATTGTTTTAGAACAATTATTAACTATTACAATAAGCAAATCTTTCTAGAGTTTCTTTTTTTTGTTTAATAGCATTTCCACTCTTTGCTGATTAAGGTTACTATTTGAGCATAATCGTTAATTATTAATTTATATTTGAAATAAATAATTACAAAACTTCTTAAGTCGATCTCTCTATTATTGCTGAATAGTAAAATACTTATTCAAATGTAGAGCTGCATGGCTAAAATTAATTGCTATGATTATTATATTGTTATGATCCAAAATCCACCTAAGTCTTCTAAATTGAAGGAGAGCATCAAATTAAAGAAATATTTAATAGATTATTAAAGAAGGTCATAGATAAAGCATTAGAAAATGAAATTTTAAGATTATTGCTACTTTTTCTGCTTCCAATTCATTAAATCTTTTAGTTATGTCTTTAGCATAAGCATTCTCATTTTGTTAATTTAAGTTACATATTTAACATGAATAATGGTTAACATCAAAAGTAAACATGGAAATTAAACCTGAAAATAGACCTAGTACTCGTTAAACTTCAAGTCCAATAAAAATTTGCAATATCTAAAATTTTTGTATTTTAATCAATAATTTAAGGATTAGACATAAATAATAAAAGAAAAGAAATAATTAGATCTTATGCATAGAGAATTAGTTGATCCATAGGATATTAGTTAAATAGAAGAATAATTGAGAAATTAAAGGGAAAACAAAAAAAGAAGAACTCTCAAGAATAGAAGCTGAAAGAAAATGAAAATTAAAAGAAGAAAAAGAAGAATAATTAAAATATGAATGGCTAAGGATAAGAAATCTAAACAATATACATATATATGATTATGATGGCAAATTGATACTGTAATAGTATGAGAGTATCTATTATTCCAACTAAAGAAAATAAAGTGTCTCCTGCATCCACTTTGACGGACAATTCAATATTTTTTAAGATTAAAATTTGATGAAGATTAAACAATGAAAATAAATCCAAAAAAGAGATATAATAAAGTATCTTAGAATAATAGGAAAACATATGATGAGATGGATAAAGAAAAAGATACATTTAAATTCAATTAGATTACTCTATTAGTAGTAGAGAATATGAATTTATAACCAGGAATTGTAATAATTCAAGAAGGGAAAATAAAAGTGGAAACTAAACTAAATACTGTAGATTTATAAAATATGAATAATCTTGCATTAAGAATGACAAGATATGAATATATTAGTCTTACTTAACAAATCAATTCAACAATTAATCACAAAATTTAAATAAAGGTAAATGTTAAATCAATAAAATAAATTGATAAAGATAAGGGATTTAATTATGATAGATTTAAAAGATTTAGCCAATAAATGAATAATTACGGGGAGTTATAAAGTAAACTTAAATCATGAGCTTCTGAAAAATTGCCAAAAGTCACATTATAATAATAAAATTCTAAAAGTTCTTAAGAAAATACATCAAAAAAAGTCAAAAATCCTGTTGATTAATTTAATTTATAATTATATAAAAATAATGTAGTTGGCAGATATTAGCAAAATGAGATTGGATTTAATTATAAAAAATTAAAAACAAAAAAAGTCAATTTAAGGTATCTGATATATTCATCTTACAGATTTTAAATCATCAATAGGTTCAAGAAGAAATAGGCCTAGAGAAAGAAAAATGATACCAGAATAAAGTTCTCCTACTGTAAGGGGTTAAAAATACTTTAAATTATGATAAATTTTATTGTATATATATTTATTGATAAATTATGTGATTATTAATATTTATATGGAATTATTAAAGGATCCATCCAATGATCGAGTTGTGAAAACCTTGAAGCCTCCACCTCATCGCCCTCTCTCTCGATAACTAATGTATCCAGAGAAACTTAAAAGTATTAAATTTTAATATTATTAGATAAACCTGACTGGAGATTATTATTAGATCATTTATTAAAAGAGGGAAGAATAGCAAAGGATGACCTTTTCAAATTAGTTTCAGATTGCAATAAAATATTTAGTAAATATTACCTTAAACAACAGAAAATGAGGGAAATCTCATATATTTACATGATCCTTTAACAGTTGTTGGCGACATTCATGGCCAATATTATGATTTAGTTAAAATGTTTGATGTTGGAGGAAATATAGAAACCACAAAATATCTATTTTTGGGTGATTTTGTTGACAGAGGCTCATTTTCCATAGAAGTGGTCGTTCTAGTTTATGCAATTAAGATCAACTTTCCGAATACTATTTTTTTCCTAAGAGGAAACCATGAATGTAGACAGCTTACGAGCTTTTTCAATTTTAAGGACGAATGTATACAAAAAAAAACCCTCTCATCAAGGCCTCTATAAGTATGACCAAGAAACCTACGATTTGCTGATGGACTCCTTCGATCTCTTTCCCCTTGCGTGTGTAGTCAACAATAAGTTTCTAGCTATTCATGGAGGTATCTCTCCAGATTTGAAAACGGTAACAAGGTTCTGTATTTCCGATTTTAGCTTGAAGACATCAAAAAAATTGATAGATACCATGAACCACCTAGGAGTGGACTGTTTTGTGATATATTATGGAGTGATCCAGTAGATAATGATTAAGGAACATTAGAAAATGGATGGAGAGGAAATGAGGTTAGAGGTTGTTCTTGGTTTTTTGGAGTTGATGCAGTACATCGATTTCTTTAAAGGAACAATCTTATTTCTGTTATTAGAGCTCATGAAGCATAATTAGATGNGAATAATGGTTAACATCAAAAGTAAACATGGAAATTAAACCTGAAAATAGACCTAGTACTCGTTAAACTTCAAGTCCAATAAAAATTTGCAATATCTAAAATTTTTGTATTTTAATCAATAATTTAAGGATTAGACATAAATAATAAAAGAAAAGAAATAATTAGATCTTATGCATAGAGAATTAGTTGATCCATAGGATATTAGTTAAATAGAAGAATAATTGAGAAATTAAAGGGAAAACAAAAAAAGAAGAACTCTCAAGAATAGAAGCTGAAAGAAAATGAAAATTAAAAGAAGAAAAAGAAGAATAATTAAAATATGAATGGCTAAGGATAAGAAATCTAAACAATATACATATATATGATTATGATGGCAAATTGATACTGTAATAGTATGAGAGTATCTATTATTCCAACTAAAGAAAATAAAGTGTCTCCTGCATCCACTTTGACGGACAATTCAATATTTTTTAAGATTAAAATTTGATGAAGATTAAACAATGAAAATAAATCCAAAAAAGAGATATAATAAAGTATCTTAGAATAATAGGAAAACATATGATGAGATGGATAAAGAAAAAGATACATTTAAATTCAATTAGATTACTCTATTAGTAGTAGAGAATATGAATTTATAACCAGGAATTGTAATAATTCAAGAAGGGAAAATAAAAGTGGAAACTAAACTAAATACTGTAGATTTATAAAATATGAATAATCTTGCATTAAGAATGACAAGATATGAATATATTAGTCTTACTTAACAAATCAATTCAACAATTAATCACAAAATTTAAATAAAGGTAAATGTTAAATCAATAAAATAAATTGATAAAGATAAGGGATTTAATTATGATAGATTTAAAAGATTTAGCCAATAAATGAATAATTACGGGGAGTTATAAAGTAAACTTAAATCATGAGCTTCTGAAAAATTGCCAAAAGTCACATTATAATAATAAAATTCTAAAAGTTCTTAAGAAAATACATCAAAAAAAGTCAAAAATCCTGTTGATTAATTTAATTTATAATTATATAAAAATAATGTAGTTGGCAGATATTAGCAAAATGAGATTGGATTTAATTATAAAAAATTAAAAACAAAAAAAGTCAATTTAAGGTATCTGATATATTCATCTTACAGATTTTAAATCATCAATAGGTTCAAGAAGAAATAGGCCTAGAGAAAGAAAAATGATACCAGAATAAAGTTCTCCTACTGTAAGGGGTTAAAAATACTTTAAATTATGATAAATTTTATTGTATATATATTTATTGATAAATTATGTGATTATTAATATTTATATGGAATTATTAAAGGATCCATCCAATGATCGAGTTGTGAAAACCTTGAAGCCTCCACCTCATCGCCCTCTCTCTCGATAACTAATGTATCCAGAGAAACTTAAAAGTATTAAATTTTAATATTATTAGATAAACCTGACTGGAGATTATTATTAGATCATTTATTAAAAGAGGGAAGAATAGCAAAGGATGACCTTTTCAAATTAGTTTCAGATTGCAATAAAATATTTAGTAAATATTACCTTAAACAACAGAAAATGAGGGAAATCTCATATATTTACATGATCCTTTAACAGTTGTTGGCGACATTCATGGCCAATATTATGATTTAGTTAAAATGTTTGATGTTGGAGGAAATATAGAAACCACAAAATATCTATTTTTGGGTGATTTTGTTGACAGAGGCTCATTTTCCATAGAAGTGGTCGTTCTAGTTTATGCAATTAAGATCAACTTTCCGAATACTATTTTTTTCCTAAGAGGAAACCATGAATGTAGACAGCTTACGAGCTTTTTCAATTTTAAGGACGAATGTATACAAAAAAAAACCCTCTCATCAAGGCCTCTATAAGTATGACCAAGAAACCTACGATTTGCTGATGGACTCCTTCGATCTCTTTCCCCTTGCGTGTGTAGTCAACAATAAGTTTCTAGCTATTCATGGAGGTATCTCTCCAGATTTGAAAACGGTAACAAGGTTCTGTATTTCCGATTTTAGCTTGAAGACATCAAAAAAATTGATAGATACCATGAACCACCTAGGAGTGGACTGTTTTGTGATATATTATGGAGTGATCCAGTAGATAATGATTAAGGAACATTAGAAAATGGATGGAGAGGAAATGAGGTTAGAGGTTGTTCTTGGTTTTTTGGAGTTGATGCAGTACATCGATTTCTTTAAAGGAACAATCTTATTTCTGTTATTAGAGCTCATGAAGCATAATTAGATGGATATAAAATGCATAGGTGGAAAGGTAGTTCAGACTTTCCAGTTGTTATTACTATCTTCTCAGCTCCTAATTACTGTGATGTTTATAAAAATAAAGGAGCTGTTATCAAATTTGAAAATAACACTCTCAACATTTAACAATTTAAAGATACTCCTCATCCTTACCTATTGCCTAATTTTATGAATATTTTTTCTTGGTCTATTCCTTTTGTTACTGAAAAAGGTAAATAACTTCAATATTTATATATTAGTCACTGAAATGTTATATATGTTGCTCAGACATGAGGATTAAGAATAAGAAAGTGAAGATGAGAAAATTAATCAAGCAGATATTGAAAAATTCAAATAAATTACATAAATAGAAAAAAATAAAAACTTTGAAAAAAACAACTCACTTCAAAAACAACTCTCTAAAACTGGAAGAGAAAAACTAAGATCAAGACTCAAATTTGTAGCCACCATGATGAAAATGTAAAAAACCTTAAGGTCTTCAAATATATTTGTATTTTCAGAGAAGAAAACGAAAGTATTGTTTAATTAAAAGGTGCATGTCCAGATAAAAGATTACCTAAAGGATTATTACTACAAGGCAAAGAAGCCATTACTGATGGTATTAAAAAATTTTATTTCAAGCCTTGTAAGAATTTAATTACATGAAATTGGCAGATAGCATTAACGAAAAAATGCCCAATATTCATATTCCTTAGTAATCGATTTAGATCAAAAAACCAGGATAGTCCTCAAAGAAAAAATGAATTTTTATCTTAGAATTACAAAAAATATTATTGTTCATTGTTGTAAAACCTCTAATTTCTAATGATTTGTCATTTGATATTTTACTCTCTAATAGATTGTTTTAAATTACATTAAATTAGGTCTATTTTCTTTTGGAATTAATGAAAAAATAATATTAAATATTTTCGGAAAATATGATGGCAAAATCTTGTATTTTTTTAGGTTATTAAATATTAAGAGTTTAGTTAAACAGTAAGTTTTTGATTAGAAAAATTGTTGTAAATTAATTAAGTAATAATAGAATATTTCTTTTAATTTCAAAAAATATAAAATAATTCTTTTAAATTTTAATTAAATAACTTTTA